TAAAAGAAGGCACCCATAATTTATACTATTTTTTATTCTGACAGCATGTGTTTGGTTACTATTATATCTCCAAACGAGCATTTGCCAAACACGACAACAAGTTACGTGCGTTGGCACGTGTCCCGGTTGACGTCTGCATTCCGTAGTTTACTGCTTTGACTCCGTCTCGACTCTCGCTCGCTGCTGCTGGCTGAACTCCACTGAGGTGGAAATGCTTGCTAGGCGACAAAGTTGGGTTTTCTGTACAAGCCCTTGTAGTTCTACATATTTAGGCAGAGGTCCTCTGAGACTGAGAGTTGAAATGTCATCACTTGGGTTTTCACTGATTAATAGTTATTTTAAATTTATTTTATATCAAATGACCGACTAAAATTAGATTGTACGTGGTGATCACTCCACATCACAGTCTGCATCACAAAAATTTAGTCGTAATTTAATATGGTACTATTTTTCTAGCGTTTCAAGAGGTTTCACGTTCGAATTGCTCCCTCTTTCGTATATTTTTTAATAACATTTATTCTCCAAATAATCAAACAAAAACTTCGTATGTCAACTTGTGGTATTGTTGGACCAAATTAACATAACCATTTCTTTTTATGCGACTTAACATAACCATATGCAACGAGTGAATTTGTTTAATTACCAAAAACTCCTCAAAGGAGGAGTTGGTTCTATGTTTGATGTATAAAATCAAACCACCATTGGTGAAACATTTTAAAATTTTAGACTATCGTCTTTTACAATGTAATTAACTATCAATATTTTATGAGTATCGATTTTTACACTTGTATGAAAAGTTCATATCCATAAGTTAGGTATTGCATTCCCAACGAAGTATTTACCAAACAAGTGAATGCAATTCCATACCTATTCCAAAGCTCATAAATCTTGGACCAAACGACCCCTTAATTTTGTTCATTTATCCCTTATTTTTATATTTTGTCTTTTTTTTTCATTTATTAAATTGCAAATAATAAAAATAAAAAGAAGGGAGTTTCACTACTATGCCGAATATAAGGGCCCAAATTATATAAGAAAACCTACATGAAATAGACTTTATAAACACACCCAAAGTCCATTTACAACATAACAAAGAGGCTTCGAACTTCCTATAAATTAAAAAATTGTCATCGATTTATAAAAACAAACACAACCCCAAAACCTCATAAAAAAAACCCCAAAACACTCGACAAGGTATCAAAGTAATTTAATAATCAAAATTAGGGCAAGATATCATTTTTTAAGTTTGTTTATAAAAATTAAATAATATAGAATTTATCTATATCACTAATGCTAAAAATGGGTATATAACTAAATACCTCTAAAAAGAATGAGTGCACATGCATAAAATATGAGTGAAAATCGCCATCCTATAAGCTTTGTAGTTGTAGTAGTATCTTATGTTTAAATTTCCAAGTTTCAATATTCCTTTTATAAAAAGAAAGTAAAATTATATATCCACATATTGTTATATTCCATTCTTTTTTCTTTTTCTTTGTTGGTTAAGAAGATTGTTATAAATATACTAGCCTCTCTGCACGCACTTTCGCGCCTGCTAGAGACTTTAAAAATAAAAAATAAAAAATTATTTTAGAATTAAAAAAGATAATGGGTAGTTGTGTTCCATAAAAATAGGATTCATTATCTGATTTTTCTTGTAATTTTAATTTTTGTAATATGGAAAAGTGAATTTACCATATTATCCTCATTTAATTAATAATTTCAATTCTTAATATTTGTATTAACTAAGGTATTTTTTGGTATTTTAAATGTTTCACCATTCTCTGTCTTTTGCTTTATATATATAGATTACGATATGACATTCTAACTTTAATTCTCAACATATAACTTTATAAGCATATTATTAAATAAATGGCAGATGGTATGAGAATTCGTCATTGTGGGGGTGTGATTTTGGACGTGCCAAGAACAAATAATTGTGTGGAGACAATCGTCCTTAGGCACTATGTTGCCATGCTCATAGAATCACGTGTACAAAATACCAAAAAAAATTAATTTTGCTTTTTACTTAAGCAGTTCAAAACAATGTTGGTAAGAGGCTTGTAGTTCAAGTGGTTATAAATAATTATTAACTCCTATTTGTGTTTGAATCTCCTATCCTTTAATATTGCTTGTAAAGAAAAAAGAGTTTATATCCATATTCTAATGCGCACTCGTTTGGGAGTGCTTTTGAAAGGATTAAAAACGCTTTCTGACAAACGAAAGTGCTTCTAATGGCGTTTGACATAAAAGTTTAGAAGTGCTTCTGGGCCATAAAAGTGCTTTATGGAGAAGCACATGTCATGTGCTTTTTTAAGAAGTACTTCAATTTTTTATGAAAATTTCAACAATTTTATAATAAAAATGCTTTTGTTAGACTCGTTTATGAACAGAAGTGCCCAAACGAGCCTAAAATGTTTGCTTTTAAAAAAACAAAAAGGGTTTATTTGGGAGTGCTGTTGAAAGGGCTAAAAGAGCTTTATGATAACTAAAAACACTTCTGATAACTTTTGACAAAAAAAGTTTAGAAGCGTTTCCGGGTTATAGAAACTCTTTATGGAGAAGCACTTGCTAAAAGCACTCGGATTTCTTATGAAAATTTAAGCATCTTTATAATAAAAACGCTTATGAGTAGAAGTACTTATTAGAAAAGTAGTCTCAAATGAACCCTAGATTATTAATTAGCTATACATTTTTTGTTTCTTAGCCTCGTAAATGATCATAGTATAATAGTTGACTAACATGAAATCACAAATTATGATGTTGTGATTTATTTATTTTTGTTCATTTACAATTGGTGTTGGGTACACTGCTTGCTTGAACAGTTGTACTTCTCCATGGACCCAACAAGGTGAAAATTGTAATATCCATATCCTACTATAATTGGGAGGCTCATAAAATTTACCTCCTTTATTTATTTATTTTTATAGAAATAAAATCTCTCCTTGTGTCGGCAAAATAATAATCATTTTGTCAAAATTTTGGTTGGGAAGGACTATTTGGTAGGTACTTCCAAAAAGGCTCCTATGACTTATCCTTCTCAGAATAAACATCACGCCCATATTTCTCAACCAAACCAACACCATGGCCATCAAAAACAACCTAACCAAGCAAAGACAAGAAAGAAGAACCCTAAAGCTGGTCTCCATTCAAACTTTGAAGCTGCCCAGCAAGAGCTTAATTTGAACAAAGAGAGAGATCAAGATGAAGAAAGGAGCTCTTCCTCTGCCCTGCTGTTTGTTTGGTATTAGTTTAGAGAGAATATGTAGGGTTTGAAATTGCAGGATGGAGCTTACCTTCTTTGCGAAGTTCTCAGCAGCCCACCTTCCTTTTTAAATGCTTCTGCTTTTTTTATTGTTACATTTGCATATATCTGAGATTCCCAATTTTTTTCCTTTGCTTTGATTCTTATTCCTAGAGGTTTTGATAAGTCATCTCTTGCTTACTTCATCGAGCTTCATAATGTTCTGCTTCGAGAATAATCTACTTTTAATTAAGCTCTGCTTTGAGAATAATCTACTTTGGAGGCATTACCATATATGCCTAATTTAGATTGTCTTGGTGGGTGGTGATTGTTCATTTTGGGATGGTTGGGATGAAGAAAGTATATAAGGTGATTTTTTTTTTATAATAATTGGTAATTTCATATTTCTCATGCATAGGGATTTTCAATAATTCTTCTATTAGTTAAATAACAGATTGTCGATATGATATTGATAAGATGCCGTTATTATTGTCGATAACAAAATGTACGGATACAAACTGACACAATATAATTACGATGTTTTTAGGAGAAATTAAGCATTTTTAGTTGAAATATAATTAGATGAAAGTTTAAAACGAAGCACTTCTCTACATATGCACAATCAACACAATAGCAAAACGTTTGAACTTTTTATTACATCAGAGATAAGAATTGCACTATATATTTGCAAGTTGATGATAAGATGCATGTGCACCACTATAGCTAATTAAATTTGTTCTTATCAAGAAGATGCAAATAAATAAATTAACGTTTCAATTCGCAACAACCCATATTTTGCTGAGATATTATTAAGATAGATAGAGGAGTCAACTCTAGCAAGAAAAGCTAAAAACTTAAAAACCACGGTCAACTGACCCGGCGTGACACGCAATTGTGTCATTCTGTAAAAGCAGCAAGGGTACGTTCGTCATTTCACATAAAGGAAAATACAGCAGGCAACCACCGCTCCCTTTTTTCCCGTAAATAAGGCCCAAACCATGGGCATTTTGGTCACGACGATGAGAACACAGGCGGGGGCCAAAGTGAAAAAGAAAAAGTTTGATTGATTAGGGAATAGGAAAGTAGAAACCAATTAGAAAAAGTAAAAGATTTGATATAAATAGGGGTTATAAAAGAATATAAATAAAAAAATGAGTCACCAAAATAAAAAAAGGATTTATTTCTAATTTAAAAAAAAGAAATTATATTTATTTTCGGACGGGAATTGAGATTGAAATAGAGTTTAATAGGGGCGTTGAGATCCGGATGCCAGTCTCTCTCTCAAGGCTCTCTTTGTCCCTTATCGGCTCACGGTTCTCACTTTCTCGCCCCACAGGCAGATTTTCTTGAAGCCAAGAAAGAGGAAGAAAGAGAAGGAAAATTTTCCTCAGAGGAAGAGAAGGCAGCCGAACGACGACGAGGCGGATAACAAGAGCAAACTCTAGGAGAGTCATCGTCTCCCATGGCTCACTAAACTCCTCCTATATTTTGTTTCGTCCACGATCTGGTTTCGAAACCCTAGGGCAACCAACCGCGGCTGCGGCGCAGGCTCGAAAGGCTCTTCTACGATTTGGTTTGCAGAAAACCCTAGATTCAGTACGGTACGGATAGGCAGCTGTGAGTTCTGTTGTTTTTAGGGCGTGGAAAGGCGAAGACTTTGGTGGGCATACGGCCGAGAGAGATCTTGGCGGTGGTGTTTGGGGTTTAGAATTAGGGTTGTGAAGGTGTGGCTGCCCATGCGATTGGGTTGATTTTGATGCCGCCAGAACCATTGCCTTGGGATCGGAAAGACTTCTTCAAGGAGAGGAAGCACGAGAGGTCGGAGTCCCTTGGCTCTGTGGCACGATGGAGGGACTCGCCCCATCATGCACCTCGCGACTTCAATCGTTGGCCTTCGGCCGATATTCGCAGACCACCAGGTATTTGTCTATCTTATTTACAATAATCTCTCCTGTGCCTCTGTTTCTCTGTGGGCTATTTAGAATTAGAATTCTTGGCTTATGATAAATATGTATATGCACACAAACATATGTTTCATTAATTTGCTGTTCTAGGGTTGTAAATCACTTTTTGAACGGGTTGGGCTTGCTAAAACAACAAACAAAGAGAAGGGTCGGACAGACTTGATCTTTAGCCTTATGATTTTTTCATCCGTAAGCGGTTTTGGGTTTTTTCTTATGATTCAACACAGCTAATTTTGTTGTTTTAGTATTTTTTTTTTGGATTTCATATCATATCCTTCACAAGTATCGTTTAGATCTGCCAACTTTCTGAGATCTGTTATGGGAAATATGTATTCTTTTTTTTTTCTGGAAAAAATGGTTTTTGCCTTCTTTCTGTTTTGTTCGAAATAAACTTTACTTGAGTTTTGTTTGGTCTGAATACTTTGCTTGAGTTGATTGTTTTTCTTTCCTTTCCTTTTAAATATTTTCTGAAGGTCATGGTAAGCAGGGTGGTTGGCACCTATTTTCCGAGGATTCTGGTCATGGCTATGCATCTTCTCGGTCTGGTGATAAGATGCTGGAAGATGAGAGCTGCCGACCATCATTTTCGCGTGGAGATGGAAGGTATGGTAGGAACAGCAGGGATAACAGAGGGTCTTACAGCCAGAGGGAATGTAAAGGTCATTCTTGGGAAACCAGCAGTGGGTCTCCAAACACACCAGGCAGGCCAAATGACGTGATTAATGAACAAAGGACGCAGGATGATATGCTGACATACTCATCTCATCCGCATTCTGACTTTGGAAGCACATGGGATCAGATTCAATTGAAAGACCAGCTTGACAGGATGGGTGGTTCTACTGGTCTAGGTGCTGGCCAGAAATGTGAGAGAGAGAACTCGTTGGGCTCCATTGATTGGAAGCCCCTTAAATGGACGCGGTCTGGAAGCATGTCTTCTCGGGGTTCAGGTTTCAGCCATTCAAGTAGCTCAAAGAGCATTGGGGCCATTGATTTCAATGAAGCAAAGGTTGAGTCACAGCAGAAAAATGCCACTCCGGTGCAGTCTCCTTCAGGAGAAGCTACTACCTGTGTGACATCTGCTGCCCCATCAGAGGAAACGACTTCTAGGAAGAAGCCGCGCCTTGGATGGGGTGAGGGATTGGCAAAGTATGAGAAAAAGAAAGTCGAGGTCCCTGATGGAAGCATGAACAAAGATGGGGCTGTTTGTTCTGTTGGTAATATGGAGCCGGTCCATTCTCTGAGTTCAAATTTGGCTGATAAAAGCCCTAGAGTTACAGTTTTCTCAGATTGTGCATCTCCTGCAACTCCATCCTCTGTAGCTTGCAGTTCCTCTCCAGGTATATTGTTGCATCCTTACATTCCCTTCACATGTTACCCTATCTTAAATTGTGACCTGATATGTGAGTGGATTTTGACAAGATTTGTGTTTTAAAATCTGTAATGTGGTGTTGGCATTATTGGTTACTTATTAATGCAAGTCAAATAGAAGTTAGTATGAGATTCAGTTGATATAACTACTTGTTGCTAGAATGTGGGCGATGAAATCCTCTCCTTGATAAGGAACATCATACATGAAGCTTTTCTCATCTTGACATATTATTATCAACGTGTTGGTTTAGTGGAATGGGAAGGGCCTGGAGGTAGAAAATTAGGAAGTATGGATTTTAAAACCTTTGGGTCTCCTTGGTTGTCCTTCTCAGTGGTTTTAGGTTGTAGTCTAAGTAATTATACTAAGTATTTTGCTTTTGTAGTATTATGTGTTCATATTTTTTAATTTTTTTAATTTTTGCTACCACACATTCTTTTTGAAACCTTCACATATCTTAGTTTTTACAAAAAATGCATTTGATACATTTTTCTGTTGGTAAGTTATCTGTTGTCTTGTTATTTTGATGCATTCCATATTGTTATGTTTATCTCTCCCTTACACATATATGTTATAGGTGCAGAAGTTTTATGATTATATCATTGTTGCAACAGGTGTGGAGGAGAAATCATTTGGCAAGACAGCAAATGTTGACAACAATAATAGAAACTTTTGTGGTTCCCCTGGTCCTATGTTTCAGAGTCATCATGAGGGATTCACATTCAATTTGGAAAAGTTGGATTGCAATTCTATAGCTAATTTGGGCTCGTCACTACGGGAATTGCTTCAATCTGATGACCCAAGTTCAGTGGATTCTGGTATTGTGAGGCCTACTGCAATGAACAAGTTACTTATATGGAAAGGTGAAATTTCGAAGGTGTTGGAAGTGACCGAGTCAGAAATTGATTCACTTGAAAACGAGCTTAAAGTGTTGAACTCTGATTCTGGGGGCAGCTGTCCACGTCCAGCAACTTCTAGTTCTTTGCCTGTGGAGGACAATGATAAATCTTTCAAAGAACAGGTTACTGTCACAAATTTGATCACTCGGCCTGCTCCATTGCAAATTCATTCTTCTGGGGACACTGATGCGGAGAAGATGTGTCTTGGTAATGGTGACCAGGTAGAATTTTGTGGTATTGTTAAGGATGAGGATATTGATAGTCCTGGAACAGCGACGTCAAAATTTGTTGAACCATTACCTTTGGTAAAGGTGGTTTCTTCATCAGATGTGATGAGTCACAATGATTGTTCTGGGGATTTGGATCCAATTGAAACGACCAAAGGGGAAGCAAAATGCCTATTGCCAGGAAAGTATGAAGAAAAGACTGACCTGTCTCCTTGTGGAAATAGTAGCATGCTTTTGGGTAGTGAGATAGTTGCACCTGTTTCTGGTGGTTCAGGTCTTTGTTTTAGTGTAGTTGATACGATATGCGATTCTATATGTTCTTCCAATAAAGAATCTGCAAATAGATCTTTTGACGTATTTAATAAGCTGTTACCAAGAGAGCACTACAAGGTTGATATATCTGGAGTTAGTATTTCCTCATCCGGGAAGAATGATTCGTTGATCAAAGAGAAGTTCGCCATGAGGAAGCGGCGTTTAAGGTTTATGGAGAGAGTCTTAACCTTAAAATATAAAGCCTTTCAACACCTGTGGAAGGAAGACTTGCGTTTGCTTTCCATACGAAAATATCGTCCGAAGTCTCACAAAAAAATTGAATTAAGCTTGCGAGCAACAAATAATGGGTATCAGAAGCATCGCTCTTCTATTCGATCTCGTTTTTCTACACCTGGTAAGTAAATCTTTCTTCTTTATCTGTTTATTGTCATATTTTTCTCAACCTCATGTGTTCTTTCTATGAGATTGGAATAAAGTGCTTGGTTTATATGTGTTGAGTCTGTCAATGTTGATATGCTGATATCAGAACAAAAAAAATGAAAGAAAACAGTTCTGTTGTTGATGGATATGGGTGTAAGGGGACTTTAGTTTATATTTTCAATGCCGCTTCAGCTTTCTTGTTTTATTGTTTCTGTGCTCTGTGTTGCATTTGATTTTATTTCTCTTAGTGTTTGAACATGGTTATGAAATATTAATTATGCTTGAGGAACTGGTAATGCCTTTTTTATGTTTCAATATTGTTGTCTTATGGTATGCTGGTACCAAAACAAGAGAAATGAAAAAAACCATTTCTGTTCTTGATAGTAATCAAGTGATTAACTTTGACGATTAATGCATTATTCTTGCCTACGAGGCATGCATGCTGACCTCTGGTGACATGGTTCTCACTAATTTTCCCTTTATTAACATTAGTGGTTAGTACTGGAAAAAAATAAAATATCGATGCTTTGTGATTTTTGTTGGTGTAATCCTTTGAGAACAAATATCTCTGCATTTTTGTTGTGTTCTTCTGTTGAAACATTTTTTGATCACATTTTTCAAATTTTTTTTTCAGCAGGAAATCTGAGCTTGGTCCCGACTACAGAGATCATTAATTTTACCAACAAGTTGCTGTCAGATTCCCAAGTCAAGCGTTATAGGAACTCATTGAAGATGCCAGCCTTAATCTTGGACAAGAAGGAGAAGATGGTGACGAGGTTTATTTCTAGTAATGGCTTAGTTGAAGATCCCTGTGTTGTTGAGAAGGAAAGGGCATTGATGAACCCATGGACGCCAGAAGAGAAAGAGCTGTTCATTGAAAAGCTTACCACATGCGGGAAGGATTTCAGAAAAATTGCTTCTTTTCTTGATCATAAGACGACTGCTGACTGTGTTGAGTTCTACTACAAACATCACAAATCTGTTTGTTTTGAGAAAACAAAGAAGAAGGCTGATATGACTAAGCAAGGAAAGTCTTCAGCTAAGACCTACCTAATTTCAAATGGGAAAAAAATGGAATCGTGAGATGAATGCTGCTTCCCTTGATATTTTGGGTGCTGCTTCTGCAATCGCAGCTCATGCCGATGGTAGCACGAGATCTCGACAGGCATATCCAGGAAGGTTATTTTTGGGAGGGTACAGGAATACTAATCCATCACGAGGTGATGACACCACTGTTGAAAGGTCTTGCAGTTTTGATGCGATTGGGAATGAAAGAGAAACAGTTGCTGCTGATGTTTTAGCAGGTATATGTGGCTCGCTGTCATCTGAGGCTGTGAGTTCTTGCATCACTAGTTCTATTGATCCTGGTGAGGGTTACCGAGAATGGAAGTGCCAGAAAGTGGATTCGCTAGCGAGGCGACCTTTGACGCCTGATGTTATGCAGAATGTTGATGATGAGACTTGCTCAGAGGAAAGTTGTGGAGAAATGGATCCTTCTGACTGGACAGATGCAGAGAAGTCTAGCTTTATACAGGCAGTGTCATCCTATGGCAAGGATTTTGCTATGATCTCACGATGTGTTCGAACAAGGTCCCAACATCAATGCAAGGTTTTCTTTAGTAAAGCTCGAAAGTGCCTTGGGCTTGATTTGGTACATCCTGTGGCTGGAAATGGAACATCTGTTGGTGACGATGTTAATGGAGGTGGGAGTGATACTGAAGATGCCTGTGTTCTGGAAACTGGTTCAGGTATTTCCAGTGATAAGTCAGGGTGTAGAATGAATGAGGACATGCCGTTGTCTGTCATTAACATGGATGATGAATCTGATCCTGCAGAGACCATGAATTTGCAAACAGGTCCACTTAGATCAGAGGAAAACAATGTAATGGGACAATTAGATCATGAAGGTGGTCAGACACTCAAATCTCTGGCGTCTGATGCATTAGAGGCGGAGGATAGGCCTAATCTAGTTTTGGACGATGCCGATTGTGTAAGAGATGCCCAGAAAAGTCGAGTATTCTCTGCAGATGCTCTGAAAGATGATGTGGCTGAAAAGGGAATATTAATTGCAGAATCAGAACCTGTTGGTGGGGGAATCAACTTTGACCCACCTAATCCTGACATGGATGGGGAAAAATTGATGGGTGAACTTTCTTCTGATGGCAATACAGATACAAGCAGATGCAGCCTACCAGGTTCAGTACACGATTCTAATTCAAGTGGCAATGCTTCTGCCCTGGCTGGTGGTGGTTCTTGTTCAGGTTTCAGTCTTGACCCCGAGTGCTTGCCTCAAGTTTCTGTGGGGCTGAATTCTATGCAAAAGCCTTCTGTCATCTCAATGCTACATGAGAATCGTCATGCTCCTGCAGATTCTGTGTCACAAGATTCTGCTAAAATTGAATGCGAGAAAGCCTTTAACCAAGATAGGTTGTCGTCAACCCTGGATCTACAGGAGGGTAGAGAGCCTAAATCTGTTGGGATAGATGAGTGTCACCAGCACTTACCCGGTCTTCCAATATATACAAATGTTGAATCCTCCCAGGTTCTCAAGGGCTATCCATTGCAAATGGCAACCAAGAAAGATACTAATGGGGATGTAACGTCCGGTAATTTATCTGAAGTTCAAAACTTTTCAAAGCCAGACAGGAAGATCAATGGTCATTATATGACGAAAGATGGCTTTCTTCAATTTGGTAACTGTAAGCCGCAATGTTCAGAGGTTGATTTTCCCCTTGCTCCCCAAAAGGTAGAACAACCAGTTGGCCCTCCAAAAGCCCATTCATGGAGTTCGTCAGATTCAGATAAACCAAGCAAGAATGGTGATGTGAAACTGTTTGGCAAAATACTCAGCAATCCATCATCCCTGTCCAAGTCAAGTTCCAACATCCATGGGAATGAAGAAAAGGGAGCTCACAACCATAAGTTAAGCAACATGTCATCTAACCTAAAATTCACTGGGCATCACAATGCTGATGGAAATTCTTCTCTCCTGAAGTTTGATTGTAATAGTTATCTGGGGATTGAGAAGGTTCCCAGGAGGAGTTTTGGTTTTTGGGAAGGGAATAAAGTGCATTCTGGTTATCCGTCTTTTTCTGATTCAGCTATCTTGCTGGCCAAGTACCCTGCAGCATTTGGCAACTTTCCTACTACCTCTTCCAAAATGGAACAGCAGCCATTGCAGGCGGTTGTCAAGAACAATGATCGGAATATTAATGGTGTATCAGTTTTTCCTTCCAGGGAAATTAGTGGCAGCAATGGAGTTGTGGATTACCCGGTTTTCAGTAGGAGTCGGGATGGTGCTAAAGTGCCCCCATTTACAGTAGATGTGAAGCAGCAGCAGCGGCCAGATGTATTTGATATGCCAAGGCGAAATGGGTTTGATACAATTTCGAGTTTACAGCAGCAAGGAAGGGGGATTGTTGGGATGAACGTAGTAGGGAGGGGAGGGATCCTTGTAGGGGGTCCATGTACTGGTGTTTCAGATCCCGTTGCTGCCATAAGAATGCATTATGCAAAAACTGAACAGTATGGGGGTCAGCCGGGGAGCATGATTAGAGAGGAAGAGTCCTGGAGAGGAGGTAAGGGTGATGTAGGAAGGTAGTAGATGTTGCAGAGGGCCTTTGAGAGGCCCTCAGTGGCAAATTATTTATTTGCTGCGCCCTGTATAATAGTTTTTTTTGTGTTCAGTCAGTGACATGATAGGGCAATGGACGGTTTAAAGTCCCCGTCTTTTTGGTAAAATGCTTTTTAGGTGCTTGTAATATTGCAGCAGCTTTGTATTTGTTGTATTTTATGGAAAATACAGAAATAAACTGCAAAAGTTGGGAGGGATGGATTTATTCCAGTTCACGAGCTCTCATCTGACGTTTTTCCCTTGGTCTTTTCTACATCTCTTCTCCATGTTTTGTTTTATGTGTTTTACTTTACTTGGGGAGTGAGACGTCACTCATTCTTTTATCAACCAACTTCAGGGTTTGGTAAAACTCCTCTTTTTTTTAGTATAAAAAACTCAAAATTTGCTTTGGCATGGTTCTCTAAGGGAAAACTTAACTCTAGGCAAATACAAGGGAATGCGTCTAAACTTCTAAGTCTTGGTAAGGAAAGTCTTCAAGGAAACCTGTTGAATGTGCACTCTCCATCTGCAGCATTCTTAGTATTGGTAGTGCTAACAAGTTCTTCGGTTTCTTTCTGAGTTCGGAGAATAGCCGGAAGTGGTGCTGTAACTTCGATTACCTGCAAATAGATACCAAAAACTTGACTATTATAAAAAATAGAAGATGCACAGCATCCTTTAACAGAAGTAGCAATCGTTGTTTGAACCTTTACCTCATTGGATGATGGGTGTGAGAGAATCACTTGATGAGCATGCAAGTTGTAGCCACAATCTCCTGGAACAGGATTTGTAGGCCTCAGGAACCCTCTGCATGCAATGTGAAATAAAATGCAACTCGTATCAAAATGGAGAAGAAAAAAAACATAACGTTCTTTTAATATCAATATCGGTTTTGTACATTGACAAACACCAAAAGAAACCACGCAAATTCCTCCATGATAGTGTTTACAATAGGGTGAGCATCCACAATCATGCTCCTTATTTTTTAGTTAAAATTTAGCCAAAAACACTAGAAATCTATTTTAGGAGCTTCTTATAAAATTTCAACCCCAACCATGATCTCTAGTTTAGGGAATCATAAATGATTTATTCTTTTTTTAGTTTAGCATAAATGCTCCCTCTTCATATAAATAATAATAATAATAAATAGTTAGCATTAAATAATTATTTAAAATAGCATTAAAGTAAAGCACCATTTAATTATAGGGAGCCACTAGGAGTCCTTTCTCTCATCTCAGATTTAGGAGCTCCGAGGTCTCCCTATTTTAGGAGTTGGATAAAGAGCATGCTTGGAACTTGGCGGTGAGTTTTCTCACTTCCTCCCTAAATTTTATCTATGGAGGTGGTTTAGGAAGTCCATTGTAGATGCTTTAATAGTATGATGAAAAACCCAGAAAAGAATGCTCTATATCACAATAACTGCATACCCATCAGCTGCAAAATTCTCATCTACAAAGTCAGAATCTAAGCACTTTGGTTGTCCACCAAGAACATAAAGAGGATCTCCTGTTAAAAAGAAGAAGGGATTTCTTAAGCATTCAACTAGTCCAAGCAATAATACAGCTAATTCACAACTACAGTCGATATGTAGGTGCAACCCCAACCAGCACCTTGCAAATTAACAAATATGTGGGAAATGAGGATGTGAGGTTTCTCAAACCCAGGGCCTCCTAGAACCAGAGTTTGATTAAAAAGTTTACCTAACAAAGGATGTCCTATGTAAGAAAGATGGATACGAATTTGGTGTGGCCTCCCTGACTGAATCTCAACCTGTTAAACATATCAGTGCGCTAAAGTAAGTTCTAAAATTCCAAAAGAAAACGAAAAAGAAAAAAACACAACCTGACTTCCTTGCCCATCGTAAATTTCAGATATCTTTTTTGTACTTATCATAATCATTAGGTTTAATTTAATTCTTGTGGTTAATAGAAAATCAAGTTGACTTTCGAATGTTGGTTTATGTTTCATCCCCAGATTCCCTCCCTTCCATACAACAGTATTGCTAATATGGTGTTCGAGTTAAGCCATCAATAAATTTATCATTCATGAAAACAAAACAGATGGATATAATCATATAAGAAAAGCCTATATATGTATTTCTGTAGTTTAAACTGGTAAAACTGGGGTACCTGGACCAGTGTTTGGTTTTTATGAATCTCTCTCTCAAGAACTTCAACTTTACTCATAGCTGGTTTTCCTGGTTACGTGAAAAAATTACAGAGAGGGATAAGTATGATGGGATAGAATAGATTGTTTTCTGCATGAGACACTCGAGGGAAAGGGTGACCAGTGCAAGATAGCACAGGCATGACTTAAAAATTGCCATTTTCTTTCTAAATCATGGTGTAGCAATTGGAGGGAGCTTACAGAAATCAAAATTCATTCAGTACATTAGAGAACGCAAATATACCTGTGGGAGAAGCAACATACAGCCCTTTAGCCACACCAGGATATCGCACCACTCCAATTGGCTGTTTGACAGTTACCTATAGTAATTTCACATCAATCACACAATCTATTTGGATGTATAGTTGGAGTAAATATCCTTGAAGAAGACAGCCAAAAAATAAACAAAAAGGAAGACCACTGGTCCCAAGAAACCATCAATTTAAATTGAGACTAGAGACAACTAGAAGTCAAATTACTAATAAACATAGGATGTTAAGATTGGTGGGCTGCAATGGATAAGACAGGAAAAAAAATGGCATTAGAAGCTAATAAATAGATTTGCAAGTTATTATAAGCTACCATTGGTTGAGTCCTACCTGAAGACTTTGCCCTAAAGACCACTTAGAGTATTTTCCTAAGTCAAATAAGGTATGGAAACAGTAGATATGAATGCTTTCTTTGAGATATAAACCTTATACACGCACAAACTGACATTAGTCATAGTAGCTCACACTTCAGCAGTACTTCACAAGGATGTTACCTTATCTTCACAAAGTATCCCAGTCACTAGTGCCCGGTATATCTTTGAGATTTTCCTCACTGCATGCGCCTCCATGGAGGTATTACTGCATTGATATTGTAGATGTCATAGGCAAAGTGAAAAAGATTATGACCCAACTGAAAGAAATCTTAAGTTTACATAGAGAATCGGATATTATCTCATTGTGATTACTAACAATGTTTTCATTCTTAAAAAAAGGGGAAGCTAAAAGCAGATGTGAGCAAGATGGAATAGGTCATTTCTCTAACCTGTCATCTCCAATATTAGATGTCCCATCAGCAAAGTATGCTGCAAGTTGAGTTTTGGCATGCTTCGTCTTTGCACAGAGTAATATTCCTAAAACCATATGAGACCAGTCAACAAGAAGAATATCAAGAAGTATAACCATTTCTGTTAGTAACCATAACAATGAACAGATTTGTGAGAAGAGCTGGAAAGTGAGCAACGCACTGTGTACAAACGATTTTGTTATTTATAAATGTTATCTAGTGAGAAACAATGAACAAAGCATGAAGTTTTGCATCTTTACAAGTTAAAAATCGGCTCAGAAATATGAAATCTATCTGCAATGAAGCCTAAAACAGAAAAAGCAAAGGAAAACTATGTATACTAACATGAAACTTCTCGAGACACGGTGATAAAACAAATTATGTCTAATGTTTAAATGCGCATTAATAGGTAACTATGAATATTTTAAAGGCCTTGATGAGTATGGGTTGTGAGCTTAATTCAATTAGTTAGATAGAGCATGCATCCAAATCATCTCATGTCCACAGCCATATATACGAAAACTTAGCCACAATGATTGAAAGGAAAGAAAAAAAAAAGGACCTCATTATTTTGTTCAGCATTGGAATTCATGGGTACCTGAAGTGCCTCTTCCTAAGCGATGAACAGGAACAGGATGTGGTTCTTGGCAAGATAAGGGAGAGATCTTCTTTGTTGCCTGCCAAAGGAGCTGTGTGAGAACTGTCCGTTGCTGGAAAAGACCTCCAGGTAAAACTTGCAGGCCAGAAGGCTTATTTAGAGCAATCTGAATTCATTAGTACAACTTCACGTCAACAGCAGTCATCAAAAAAATGGATGAAAACAAACAATACACATTATATGCAGAGAAACCATACATAACTCCAATGCTTTATTTCATGAAAACAAAATTCTCAGACAAAAACAAATCTTGAATTATTTCAAAGAATCAAAGAAAATAATTCTTATGTTCGAACCTGTCCATTCCAAATTCTCATGCATTTATAAAATAAATAAATAAATACCAGTAACACTGATAGCATTCACCTAAATCTTTTACAGTGCACAACTTCCATAATTTCAATTGTGGAAGTTAAGTCCATAATCTTTTACATTCCATTTTTTGCATTCACCTAAATAATATAAAATGAGTTGTTTAAAACAGTATTAAAACAATGAATCTACTTGAGGCCAGTTGTTTAACATCACTAATCTTGATGAAAAGAAGCAAATATAGACACAGCAACGAAGATGAAAGATATGATCCAACACACAGAAACGATCACTAACCACGGTGAGACATTTACCATATCATCATCGTCATATAGAACCTCCAGCAAGTATGGCACATCGGGCTCTCTCCACGGAAGCCTATGATAGACCAATTCCAAACCGACCCTAAATAAATTGATTATGTTGAATAAAAAAAAAAAACCATAAGAATCTTCTATATGCATAAGAGCAGACATAGAATATAAAGCCATATAGCATCCATCAAACAAACAACACCTGAGGATCGTACTGGGATCTTTAACAACTTCGCCATCAACTGTTATCTGTAGACCAACAAATAAAGCTGAGAATTTCCAAAGCATGCGTTTCCATTTCTCATAACAAACTTTTCCATGATTTTCAATATTCAAACCTGTCCGTTCCGAATTCTCTGCAACCAACTGCAAAACTATCATCAGTACAGATTTTTATATTGGTTCTTCAAAAAAAGCATATTTTTGATTGCTTAAAAAACCAAACTCAATTCTCCAAGCAAACAACAGAGGATAGAAAGCAAAGAAAGCAAGAGCAATTTGGCAGAAGTTGGCATAGGCTGCCTGCTTACCCTTGTAGAGGAGCTGAGTTCTTATACTTGCTCGAGTAGAACTCGATCAGTGTCAGTTCTATAATTTACACCAACACTAGGAGTCAAATTCAGAGAAAGAAAACGACAGTGAAGTTTAAATCCAAAAAAGCATCGATTTTTAGCGCATGGACTGCGTTTGGATGCTGAGAAAATGCAGTAAAGGAAAAAATATATAGAAAAGGCTATCTTTATCTTTGAGAAGAGGGAGAGAAAGAGGACCAGAATCGGAGGCTCGAACGACGTCGTTGTAGAGCAGGCCGTGGTTGAGATCCGGCCATGGCAATCCGAATGTCTGAGGCTGACGTGTTGGTGAAGAGCTGGACATTGTAACTTATGCAATTCAATTTTCAACCCAGAAAGAAAGAAAAGAAAGTAACTTTCAGTGAAGAATGGCCGCTGCCTTTGCCCGACGTCGTTCCCGGGTCGGTTTCCGACCCGCAACTGAACTGACTTCTCCAAAAGTTTGTTGCCCGACTGTGACTAATGTGAAGTTTTGAGTTTTGCCGGTATGACTTTTACCGCTACAAACGGAAAAAAAAGAAAAGGATATTCATTTGTTAACAATAAATTTTTAGGGACTCTTATATATTCAACCAACTATGTATAAGAGCATTCACTTGTGCATCTGAAGTTTTATGTTTGATTCTTTCCTTTACATTTGCTTGTGCATCCGAAATTTTATGTTCGATTCTTTCCTTTTACAATAAATACATTTGATTGCAAGGTTGTTACAAATTTAAATAAATGAAAATTAACTATTATTTGATAAATACTCTAGCCATGTGACCATTTTGGTTAGGTCTTTCTAAACCTTTAATTTAAATCTCATTTAGGTCTTTCTAAACCTTTAATTTAAATCTCATGAACGATAATTGTTGATGTATAACGATTCAAACTTGTACGGTAGTGGATAAGAACCAAATTAACCAATATTGAATTTTCTAGTTTAGACTAGATTACCTTGTACAACTATTACAGCTCATTTCCCTCCCATCTCTCCACTGGATACAGGTCACATAGCCAAATACATACTCAAAATTTGGCAAACAAATTTGGACGATTGACCCAAATTGGGGCAACAAAAAGAAAAATATAAATAAGGAAATAACAAAAAAAAAAAAAAAAAAAAAAAAAAAAAAACGTGATTCGCATGATACATTTATTCTTCTCTTAAGTCTTCAAAAGACAAAGACTCTGTTTAGAGGCACAAATGAACTTAGTACAGAGAATTAGTCTCTGTCAAAATACATAGAAATGATGGATCAATGCCATCAAAATTCCAATAACAATCAGCAGAACACATCGGTTGATGAAGAAGGACGCGTAACCTGAAGAGCAACTGAATTCCACTCCTCAATGTCATTGCAGTGACCAGTTTTTGCTTTAAGCACCTGTAACTCGCTTGTCCCACCAACAGAGGTTTCAGTCAGAGACAATTTTTTGGCAGCCACTGCCTTCAGCCGGTATCGCTCTGCTCTCGAGCCAATGACCTGTCCTAGCACTGATGCTGCAATGGTAAAAGCCATGGCTGATTTAGGCATCAGCACAGACTTCCGAAGTATGGCTATGAATGGAACGGCTGCATGCACAGCAGCAAACCAAGATGGTGAGAATTTCTTGGTGTGCTCCCTCCATACCCCTAAAGGAACATTGGCTGCCATGCCCAACGCTCCAATCACAAGTACTTTTTCAGGAAGGGGTTGTGGGCGGAGGTTCTTTGCAAATGCAGTTCGTGCCAGAGCTGCTCGGGCTGCAACTATTGCTGGTGGGCACTTAATTTTCATGCCCGGAGGGGGCTGAAAAGCCTTTGCAACAAGCGGAATTACACCACTGACAGCGCGGTATGACTTTGCAATTGGACAGCTTCCGGATTGCAGCCACTCATTACTTAAAGCCTCGTGATTAGAATTTCCTCCCTGAAACATCAATTCCAAATATAATAAGCACCGGAAAAAAAATAAAAAACTTGTCTAATGATATGAAGTAAAAAAATTCAACAAAATCACAAGAAATTTCAAAACTTATAATATGTCAATTACTCAGCAAGCTGGGAAATTTGTAGTGTGAAGCAACAATCAATTTACCTTTGAAGAAGAATCTTTTTTGGAGGAATTGGATTTTCGTTTCTGATTCTTCCACTTCTCAGAGAATGCATCAAAGCTGAATGGCCCTCCAAAGGATGAGAGACTGATAGTGGCTGCCTTTGCAGCTAATGGATTAAACATGGATGGGGCTGGTTGAGGCTCAACTATGTTAGAATGCACAAATGATCTTCCAGAAAGGGGGACTACTCCATCACTCCCATGGAAAAGCCTAAATGCCATGTCAAAATTGGGACCATCTTCAAAAATTGGACCTTTGCCGCTGCGTCCCTGATCAAGAAAAGTAGAAAGTAGTATCAGAAAATGGCTCAATTTCAATCAAGCCAATAGGAGATGCAAATAACCAAAAGTACGCCTACAGTAGTATAGAAAACAATAGAAGATGCAAATCATCGTAAGGAAATATAACTTACAGGCACTGGGAAGGCCAAGGATGAGGCGAAGGAAAAATTGGTGGGCTCATTGATGTTTCTCAAAAAGGGGCATCTGAGAATGTCTAGGTCAGAAGGCACACAATCTTCATTTGCAACTTTGAAAAAGGAATCCATTCCTAATGCAGAGAAAAGTAACCTGTAAAACGAGGTAAAATGCATAATCAATAACTCCTGCTTAGTACGAAGAGTAAGAAAACACATGCTTCTAAATGTTACCAAAAATATGAACATGCCTATAATCAGATATTGATGCTGCATCTAAGGTAAACAAATAGTCATCACATAATAAAGTTGTCAACATTATCTTGCAAACCCGAGCATCCAATCCAGGTCTCAGTCAAGATTAAGAATCATCGCCAACATAAAAACCAAATTTTCTCAAAATTCTAAACCCACCCACAAGCCAAAACCGATAGATATGATTTGGTCAAATGGATAGTCATCGAAAAAGCTTATTCTGAAGTTGAGAAAATGCTATGCTTAGAACAAGAACTAAAAGAAAGTCAAGAACCCCAGTTAATTGAAAATCAAAATCACGACTTTCCTCAATCTTTACTTAATAATACAAAATCTGTCACCAAAATAACGATCTTGATTAAATTACGGAAAATCCATCAATTTAGACCAGTTAAGACTCGAGTTCAACATCAATTGGAAATCGTCGGAAATCGTCAAGATTCCATTTCCCAGAAAAATATTATGCTCAAACAAATCATCCAACTCATGTTAAACCTCTTAAAACCCATCAATTTACTCCATCCAAATACATCAATTTAAACTGAAAATCAAACAAGATCACCAACAAAATCAAGAAAGACAACAACTTTGAAGAATACAATGCAATTCACGAAGGCGTCAATTCCAAACCAGAAAAGTACAAGAACCCAAAAGCAAGAAGATAGAAATCGTACCTTGAGAGAGGTTTTGCGAAGGGAAGATTGGAAGACAGAGAAAGCGAGAGAGAGAGAGAGAGAGAGAGAGAGAGAGAGAGAGAACAAGAAGAAGATGATGAGGAAAGGTATCGGTGGTGTTAGGTGGAACCGAAATTGACTTTCGTTGGGGAAAATGAGAGAGAGGGCTCAGAAGGCTTAAGATTAAGAAGACGACGTCGTGGCGAGCACACGCTTTTTTACTTGGATGGAGCTCCCCAAGTTGGAATGGGAAAAGAATTCGGTTTCGGACCGGTTTTGGTTATTCGGGTCCAATCTATGACGTGGTAAGTTGTTGAACGGTTTTGATAGCGGGGCCCACCCGAGTCCAAGTCCAAGTCGCTGTTGGTGTGTACACCACGTGCCTTTTTTCATTTTTCATTTTTGTGTGGAGTGGATGAATTGCATTTTTGTTTTATTAAATAAATAAAAATAATTTCTTGTCAGGGATTTTTCATGGAAGCATGTGTTGGTGTGTTTAGCAATTATGAGAGACGTGTTTCACATTTTTTGTGGCAAATCACGTTTTCTCTAAAATTTGGAGCTTTATGATCGATTACTTGAGTAGAGTCAGTTAAATCCCACATTGATTCTTAAGTTTTGTTAACATGTTTAATTTAATTACGATCTCAGATAAAAGAGTAACTACTCTTAATTATTTGAGGAATAATACTAATCTTACTACATTTTTATATCACAATTTCATACCACATAATGTGGCAGCTGATGTGTACATACCATATTATGTAAATAATAGTTTCTGTTTTTTTAATTTTATTTATTAAAATACACTTCATTCATTTAATTGATGTGACATATGATATGGACATACTACATCATGTGGTATATAAATGTGAGATAAAAATGTGATAAATGTAACATTACTCTTATTTGAGTTATACAAACTCGTTTTTTTAATATAAAATTTCACAGAGGACAACAACGAAGGCGTCCACAAATCCCACGTCACTGCTGAAGTAAGATTTGATTCTAACCTCTTCAATTGACTTTGTCATAGATTGTATTATTCAGGCAGTTATACTTTAAGTCATTGACCAAAACAATAAAGCAAAACAGATTATTTGTTGTTTTAAATTTTATAATCCCCAAGTCTAACAATTTTTACTGAATTTCAGTCAAACTCATACAAAAAGCCATCTGATAATGCCAGTGGCTGAGTGCATTTTCATATTACAAAAAGGAAATGTAAATGACACAGGAACGTCTCTAAATCATGTGAACAAAAGAAGGCTGACTGCTAATTGTATACAAAGATATGAAAGTGCATACTTCAAATGATGATTATATGCCCATGAAATCCTAAACCTACAATCTTAAACAAAAATTCCAGTTCTCTGCTAAAAAGAAGGGTCAGGTCAGTAGCCTAAGAAGAATGGAACTAGCAATTATCAGTAACAGAGGCCTTTGGCTGGGAGATGTCTGTGTCTGCAAAAGTTAACCTATATCATACAACCTATTCGGGAGTTGGCTCCTCGACAGATTTCCTGTATTCTGGTTTCAGCTCATACGTCCCTTGATTAGCTCCCTTGTTGTTGTAAACACAAAGTTCCTTAAGTATGTCTTTCAAGAATTGCTGCAAAGGGACAAATTCATAAGAACAGTCACATTTCCAAAAGTAGGAGTAGAATGATGATATAACGAAAAGCTTACAATTAATCAAAGATCATCAGGTTATTGGTGTGTTACAAGTTCAAAGGATAAGTTTCTTATCTAGCTGCCTTTAAATTATGTTTTTCCCACTTAAATGCATATGGGATTTAGTTTCTTGATTCTGCTCATCTTCTATATTCAACCATGTGTAATGCATTCATCTCAATATCTCTCATACTTCCATTAGTAAAAGTAGCATTATGATTGCCAAATTTTGTGCTATTTAACATGGAGGATGTCTTCAAATTTCCTCTGGAAAATTTTCAGCAATTTTCCTTCTCAATATTTAGTAAGGTGTCTGTACGAGGATATTCAGTAACTTTCCTTGTCAATAATGCGATGCATGTATGTATATTGTGTATGCAAGTAACAAGATGGGTCTTACATTAATCTGGAAAAAGACGGATTAAGATAGTAATTCTAATATTAAGATTCAATGGGGGAAGACTTATAAATCATGCAGAAAGAAATAACCAGAAAACATAACATACTTCTGGTTGATCTGTTTCTTGGATCAGTTGTCTTAACGTCCAATTTGGTTGCCTTTCGAAGAGCTTAAACATAATGGCTTCCATTTCTCCACGGTCCCTCCTTGTTCTTTTCATGTCTGACCCCTTTGTTGGCATTTTCTTCTTTTCCTATATGAAAGACAATTCTTCTTATGCTTAATACTTAATGGTGGATAATCAATACTAAAATCAAATGCCAACATACAAATGCAGTCCCAAATAATGTGACTGTCCCATGGAAAGCATGGAACACTTTTACTCAGGAACAATATGTACAAAAAGAAGGTGGTTTTACGTACGCTGGGTCCAGGAGCTATAAAACCAATCATCCCTGGCATAGGCCTCATATGAGCCCCATTGTCATTGTCAATCACCTGAAAATTGGAAAAAAGGGACAAATTAGTGATTATACTACTGATAGCTATTAGATTACCGAAATAGAGTGTGAGAAAAATATATAAAATAATCCAAGGAACCTGAATCTTTCTGTTTTTCATATACTTTTTCGTCCGTTCACGGCAAAGTTTCCCATAATTCTCAAGGTTCTCATTATGGGGCTTCATATCAAATTTGTTCAAAATTTTCCCCTCCACAGATAACTTTCCTACGGTCACAAAAGAATTTCATACATTCAGTTGAGAGTGCACAATGGACAGTTAAAGTTAATATGTGCGTGCAGCTCTGTTGAAGTAATATAACCCCAATCAATTTTTAACATTATGTTTCTGATTTCCAGTATCACACCTTGTAAGCATATCTTTCCGCTAAAATAAATTGAAGAGTTAGAACTAACAAGAACCTAAACTAGAAATATGTGATACTAAAATGTAGCCGAGAAGAAATTGAATTCCAATCTCAAATTTAAAAAGCCTAACCCAGGAACTTGGGTATTTTCATTTCTTTGTGGCACTAAAAGCTGATTTCCCAACACAAAACCATGCAAGCCAACAGTGATGCAACAATCTGTTGGATGTAACAATCTGTTGGATGTAGCATTTACCATTTTAACTGAAGTAAAAAACCATCAATTTTTAAATGCTAGCTTTTGACAAAAATAAAGGAGCAGAAAAGTTTAGCATGATGTCAAGTGGATACCCAACTAGGATAGAAGCATCAATATGTCAAGCCAAATGCATTTCAGTAAAGAAAAGCCACAGAGGAAAGAGGCATACTTACCTTGTGATAACTCAGAAAACACAGACATTGGAATGAAGTCTTTAGACATATCCAAAGAGTAACACTTGGGCATATTTCCAGATTCAGTGGCCGCCAGTTCCATGGTGAACTGCATTTTAACAACTTATGTAAAGGAAAGGGCAACAAAAGAGGATATCTACAGAGATGAGTGATACTATCATACTACAAAGATGAAGACTTTAACCCAAAACTTTGCAGAACAATAAAAATTGATAGAAAAGCCAGGACCTGGGTCATGAAAACCTAACTTGTAAATTGGGTTTGGAGATAAACACATAAAGAGCTGAACTCTATAAAACCCACATCATGAAAATTCTTAACCCCAAAATGAAAACTTTGGGAAAAATGATAAAGAAAGAAAAAAAAACAAGAAAATGAGCAACAAAACCCAGCAACAGAAAATCCATAGAAAAGGGCATGCATAGGATCAAAGACCGAAGCTTTATAAACAAGAAAATGCACAAGAATTACAAAGATTATGACTGAAACAACAATGCATGCACAAAAAAGTAAAAACCCAAAAGGGAAAACCGTCCACTTTTTGAGTTGTCGAGTAAATGGAAAAGAAAAAGTACCTGAGGAGAGGAAGAGTCGTCATTGGAGTTAAGGGGGTCAATGGAGAGAACGACCTTGGCCACAGGGCGAGAAGACTGCTGATCAGATGGAGAAGAAGCAGAGGCAGAAGTGGAGGAGGCGTCAGGCTTGAGACTTTTAGCGACGAGCGGAGGGCATTTCATGAGCCAAACAGCTCGCTCCGCTCTGGTCGTCTCCAAAGGCCCATTGGCATTGTTGTTGTTGCTGCCTTGTCGCTGCTGCTGCTTTTGGTCTTCCATGTTGGCGCCACAGCCACAGGGTTCTTTGTTTATTTGTTGAGCTTTTTAGCTCGAGAGAACGAAAACAAACGGTTTTTCCGGATCTTTCTCCAACAGTAAGCTTTTGCTGCCTCGGACCTGGGGGCCATTGGGTTTTATTTATATAATATGAGATATGAAATGGACTCCATTTTCGTTTACTCGTAATTTTTTTTTTCTTTCTATTTTTGTTCTCGGGTGATTTTATTTGTGACAATCGATAGCACTAAGTGACAATTGAATCGAATTGAGTCGACTCATCGATTCAAGTACTTATTGGTTCAAGTCGACTCATCGATTCGTGTAACTTTGTCTCAATTCATAGCACTAAGTGACAATCGAATCGAGTCGACTCATCGATTCAAGTACTCATCGTTCAAGTCGACTCATGAATTCGTGTAACTCTGTCCCAATCCATAGCACTTAGTGACAATCGAATCAAGTCAACTCATTGATTCATGTAGTGTTTAAATCATATCATTTCAGTTAGTGTTAAATACTTTGATTTGTTTAAATAATCGTGTGGAATGGCCTAACCAAAACCCGACCTATTTGTTTAATTGTGGACATGTGTTAGGCATTAGTCATACATGGTAGAGCATGAACAGAACAATATCCATTTTGCAAGGATATGGAGAGCTCCTCCCTTGCAAGAACATGCATTATAGAAAGAGGTACAACCCAAAAGAAAAATATATAAAAAATGATGTAAAAAGCTTGAATTTTTGGAAGAAGAATAGTTCCATTCATGCAAGAATAACAAAATGAACAAATCCGATTCCCGAATTTGAGATTTAACATGGAGATAGAGAGAACACAAATATGCTAAAATAATAGAGTATAAATTACACTCAACAACATCTTGATATTTTCTCCCGTTTCTTGAGATCAAGCCATAGCCAAAAATAGTATATGGGGTAACATTTGTAACGGTGATTATTGAAACCAGTTTAAGTTACATAGTTGAGTAGAGCAGTGTTCATGATGGAACTGAATCGGAGTTGTTGCTGCCGATGGAGTTCTGCTTCCTTTCTGCTTGAAGTGATCGGCACAAGGATTCAAGCTTTTCTTTCTGATTCTTTGTTTTCTCCAACTGTTTCTTCAACCGTTCACGCTGCACAGACCAACATAAAAATCTGTGTTATTCCTCATCTATGCTGTTTCTTAATATGGCATCATAAAGGCATATGCCTGAGTTCAACGTTTACTGTTGATTGATGAGTAATTGAAAGAAATAAAAACAAAAAAGTGCATGCAAACTATACCTCATCTACGAGTTCTATAAGAGTAACATCTGTTTTCTCACATTTGCTCTTCAAGAATAAATTTTCCTTCTTGAGTTCCTTGATAGATTTTGCCATCTACGATTTTGCACATGTAACAAACAGGGTAGCTTAGTTTAAAACAAACATATCATGCGAGTTACACCGTGCTAGAGAAATCAGGAAAAGTGTGTCTAAATGAAAATGTAATTTGAAGGAATAATTCACCTTTTCGATCTCCTGTTTAAATGTCTCAAAAACTTCATTGCTTTTCAACAATGCATCCTACACAATAAATATAATACTTAATTAAGACCAGATAGAGTTGTGTATTGATAACACAAACATTCAGCTTGAAGCACTTGTGAGGTGATCCGCCAAGTATCTGAAAGGTCCATTCTGAAAGAAGAATGCTCAAATTGAGCACAAAGAGTAGGTTGCCTTCTCTTCAGTATTGCCTAATGAAGACATACATTGGAAGGCTCTAAGCGCACTTTTTTTTTAATATTTGAATGATATACGTAGAGCAAGGAGACAGATGGTGAGTTCACTTCTGCCAATCAATTTGAAAGTTGCCAATTTTTGGCCCAAATGTCATCCTGTTAACAACTAGGACTTATAATTCCAAGTAACTCAAAGATACTCAAAGATACATAGAGCAAGGAGACAGGTGGTGAGTTCACTTCGGCCAATCAATTTGAAAGTCGCCAATTTTTGGCCCAACTCTCACTCTGTTAACAACTAGGACTTATAATTCCAAGTAACTCAAAGATACTAATCACAGAATGATCATGAAATCACAAAGTTATTGATATATCCATCAATAACCAAGGTAATCTCTTTTCTTTGTTTCATGACATTGAATAACATATCAATTACGCAACAACCAACCTTCTAGAGTGTAATCTATGTGAGACTCAACCTACTATCATGGCTACATAACTAACACCATACAGCCTACAAGGAAAATGAACCAACTCAGTTTTGTACTCTCGAGAATTCTGCAGATAAATTTGACAGCCTCTAACTAAGTAGTTATTCATTCTGGTGACAGTTTCAAAGTAATGGTTTAAAGCAACACATAACACAGAAGTTGACCTGAAATTGTTGGAATTTCTCTCCATCAGCTGTCAACTGTAAGCGCAAATTCTTTTCAGTTGATAGTAACTGTGACACCTGTTCTGCATATAGTTTCATCTGGGACTGTTCCTGGATTAACTTCTCTTCATGCTGCTTAATCTTCAAATCAGCAATTTGAAGCTCCAGAGATTTCTGCTTCAACTGTTAATTCAAAACAAAGTCACTACAGAAAAGTTAAGTCCCTACCTAATAAAGTAAACAATCATTATAGGTAAACTAACGTCATTTGTACAAGTTACAGTTAAATTTTACCTTCTGTTCATATTGCTGTTCAGAAAGAGCATACTGATAGGTGAGCTGCTGCAGCTTAGTTCTTAACCTGAAAATGAATGAATGGCAATTTAACTAATTTTAACACAACAAAGACAAATTATAGACAGCCAAAAAAGAAATAAACCAGTGATATCAATCAACCAAGTCAACAAAAAAGATACAGAATCTACGTTGTCAGAGATTTATAACAAACAATCCATGACATTATCCTATATAATAATATATGACACTTAGGATGAAATTAATCGAGTTCAGTCTCATTGACACATGCATGTGCAAGGGATCTCCAAGTCAAGTAATTCAAGTTTGCTTCAGTATATGCATCAAGATAGTAAGCACAAGTTTCCATGACATCTGGCTCTTACATTTCATTCTCCTTTAGCTGAGAGATACATTCTTCCTTTTGCTCATCTAGCTTATTGCTCACATCCTATAACCATAAGAACTTAATGTTAGAATATCATTTAAAAAAAGGCATTTAAAAAAAAAAAAGCACTGAACAGATAAATTTTGCTTTCAAAATAGAAAGGAACTAGTTCTGAGTTCCGATGTTTGGAAAGAAAACAAAACTTGTTAATTAACTGAACTCTTATTGCTTGTATGTGCTCTCTTGAGCATGTAAATAATCATGATTCATGACAGAACAGAAATCTTGTCTGTTTTTCCTTTTCAACACACACAGAATTGTAAGTTGAGGAAAAATATGGACTTTGAGTGTTTGGAACTTTAAAAGATCTCATGTTTTGTAGTGTATAATAGAGGTAATGTTTCTTCAACCTTGGATTAAGTTTAACTTGTCAACTTACAAATTAATTAGCCAACAACAATAAATATTCAAATCCCCTGAGGAAAAGCTATTATATTATAAATTGTCAAACCTTTATTGCATCTTGGAACTTGACTGATAAATCTAATCTCAAGTTCTGCCCCTCTGTTGACACCCGCTTACACTCATCCTGTTTAAATGATCAGGAAGCCATCAATGTTTCTAGGTGGGTGATTGAGTATTGATCAACTTCACAAATTATCATATCAAATGGTAAGATACAGTCAGAGTAGAGAACATATCGACATAAAAATTGTAAAAGATCACAAGTCAATGATGTGAACTTATCATTTCAAAATGTTGAATATATTGGACATGATGATAACAGCAGATCTTATTTAGATGAACTGAAAAGTTTCACTCAACTCCACAAAAATTTATCCTTTTTTTCCTTCACCAAATATGCCTCAATAACTAATGATAGAAAAAATGCAGAATCACCCAATGCACCCTTACTTCGTGAAACAACCTAGGCTCAAGCTCAAAGTAATGGGAGAATGAAGAAAAAGATAATCAATACTTTCAGGTGCCTCTTTGCACATTTGCTATTTAATAAAAAAAAAAAAAAAAAAAAAAAAACAAAGGAAGACATTGAGGGCAACTTGTCACAGGCCTGCAATGTAGTTAAGTGAGCTTAGTCATGGTATGAATAAAAGGGAGCCGTACAAGGCCCCGGTATATGTATTAAGGGTACATCCAATGGTTGTAAAAACTAGTTTCTGACCTCTACTTCAATTCACCAATGGCTATTAATAGAAAGTAAGAATTAAGTTTGCATGGTCAAACGGAACCTAAACAAGTTAAAGAATTACACTGAGATGAAAATTATGATAATGAAGAACTAGGAAAATATGAAAATATGAAAGTTCACAAACAAATCATTTTAAGGACATGCAGTCAGTCAAGATAGCATACCATTAGCACTTTGTTCTGGCGTTGTAACTCCCTGCACAACGACTCAAGCTTATCTCGAACAGAAATGGCTAGAAATAAAAGAGGATGCAAGTAAATAAATAATAAAACCATCTACAATACTGCTCATAATATATAAAAATCCATGCATATATACAATGAAAGGTATGCCACTGCACTAAGACTTCGCAAAAGCTACATCTTTCCATCAGAAATTAATCTTAATTTAGGTTATCAACATTATCATATCTAGTTACTGATAATTGGCAATTATTCATACCCTTCGACTTCGTGAAAATTTGTGACACACAAACATCATATGTGTAAGTAGTCCATTTCTACATCAACTATTATACTACCACATAAATGCATTATACTTAACATTCACTGTTCCTAAACAAATATATGATTTCTCCCACAATATCGGAGGTGTAAACATCAGTATATTAGTTATGGAAACACTGGGTGTAAACATTCACACAACTATCTCAAAATACCTGAATCTCTTTCAGCAAGAACTTGTTGATACTTCAAGGTGAACTCTATGAACTCCTTTTCTGATTTAAAGGTACGCTTTGCACTCTTACGTTTGGTTTCAGTGGATTCCTGAGGCAAAATTAGTCCACATTACTAACCTTACTGATGACTTACATGTAGCGTGGGAATGTGGTTGCAGGTACACATTTTGAGTGAAGATTGCATCACAAATATCAGTCTCAACAAAGAAAATCACACACATGATTTCTTGCATAGATTGCAAGGATCAACAACTGTACAAATTGATATCATATAAAAAAGAGATCAAGTAATACGTAGTACTAACGGTCTTTTTGCTTTTCAGAGTTTCCACACTCTCCAATGATGATGTTTCCTTCACATTGGCTGCTGACGCATCTGAGCCTCCTTCAGTCGCTGAAAAGCAATAAGAAATGAGGGTGGCAAACTAATGTCAAAAGATCAAACGAAAAAGACCAGATATAATAGTACACATTTTGACTTAAATTTTTCAAAAAGGGAAAATCACAAAGGTAAAGATATTTACGTCTCTCTGAACTTTGACATCTTGCTTCAACTTGTTCCTTTACCTCACTGCATTCAGGTACCCCAACCGAAGCCTCAGAAACAGAATCAGCTGCGTTGGGCATGACTAGCGTACCTCCTTCTTCTGTCTGCTCCGTAGAAGCCCTTTTGGGCACTTGAACTGATTCTACTGAAACATCAGAACTATCAGTTTCCGATAATGGAACAGGAAAGGTTCTCAGTTTCTGGGTCTTCTCTGCCCTACCCTGACTTGTTTGAAACTCATCTGCAGCCGATTCTTGTACAGGTTCCTTTGAACGATCAATATCTGAGGCAATATCATCCTCACGGTTGTCCAGTGGCTTCTCTTGTTCAAAGGTTGGAGTTGGAGGAGCCAGGGGCTCTGCAGGGCTCTCAACAAACCCATCAGGCAATGAATCAACTTCAGGAAGCTGATTTGCTTCTGGGTTCTCCATTTTTACCTACAATCTTCATCATGCATTCTTAGAACCATCAACATTTATACCATCCTAAGAATTAGAACAAAAAAGCCCATTCCTTTACAGAGGGATGAGAGAGTAAAAGCCAGAGACTACAATCTAGTTTTGCAGCTGCTGTCATTCAGGAAACGGCAACACTAGAACCCATTTGGTTGCTAAGAAAATTTGAAGAGAACCCAAGAGAAACCCAAAAAGATTCCATATTTAAGATGTTTAAGATATCCTAGAATGAGATTGAAGAAGTGCCCAAGTAAAAAACTACACCAACTATGACTAAAATCTCAACCTTGGGTTAAATTTTCACACTTTCTCTGGGAAACCAACCCAAAAAAGAAACAAATTCATTCTTACTTTATCAAGAGAAAAATAAGAAAGAATACGAAAATTTCAAACACCCTAACAATCAACCATCGGCATCATTGAGCAATCTGAACAGTAATCAACGAAAATTGAGAGAAAAAAAATTAAACAAAGAGAAAGAAGGAGACATTACCAGGTAGATTATGAGAGAGAGAGAGAGAGAGAGAGAGAGAGAGATTGAACTGAGACAATGGAAGTGATCTCTCTATCTGTGGAAAGTGTCCAGTGCGAGCGTTCCGTAGAAGAACTGATCTTTGTACTGCGCTTTTGTCACTCACCTTCACTCCACCTAGCTGTTGTGTTAGACCGAGAGAACGACACTTTTCGTTCTCCTAATTTATTAATTTTCTCTCATATTTTTCATTGGTCTGAATTGAGCATTTTGTACCCCAATTCATTTTTATTTTTATTGTTTGGTAATATTTCCCATATATATAAAATTTTAAAAGTTAGAAAGGGAAGGGGGAATGTCACAAACACTAGTACCATGGCATTCACGATATATGTTTTCTTATATTGAAGCTATAGAGTCCACAACTCTATCTTTCAACATGTAGCATATAAAGTTGTTGAGTCTGTCACGTAGATAGTATATTCTTATATCAATAACTATTTATGAAAATTATGAAATTTTTTCAAACACAAATAATTTTTTAAATGAAAAACTTCAAGAAATGTTAAATTGAACAATAATTAATCTATTAAACAAATAAATTTCATAAATACCATATGTATGATAATTATATAAAAGAAAAAAAAAAGGATATGACACTAGTCATAAGAAAAGTATTATAGTTCTTTTTTTTTTTGGAGTTTCACTAAAACACCCAAAATAGGAGATGAAATTATAAAAAAACCCAACACCCAAAACACTTTATAAACACACTAAAAATCCATCATTACACACACTCAAAACCCATTTATAAACACACTAAAAAAAAATACAATTGTTGACTTTGAGGTTGATTTTAGGTGTGTTTCTATGTTTAAATAGTGTTTGGGTTAATTTTCATAAAATATAAACCCAAAAAACAAAGTTCCCGTCACGCAAAATCGAATGAGATGATGGTTTGTACCATATTCAACAGCTATAAAATAAGGGTTTTGAAGGAGAGCTAGGCATGCACAAAACATTCCTATACCATATGATATGGCTGATATTAAGAAGCTAGGTATGGTGGTGGTGGCTATGGTGCTAATTCTGTCCACCTTCGCTACAAAAACTGTCTTTATCGCTGCCGAAATAATTAACGGCAACGAACCTACTAATGGTAACGGCAACGATAACAGTAAGACTCGGTATCCCACTCTGATGAACAGGATAGATATGGAAGAAGGTGGTGGCGTGGGCAAGGGCGGTGATGGGTGTAAAGGTTCTATATGCAATATGCTGGTGCTCCCTTGCAAGAGTGGGTGTTATTGCATCCCCTTTGGAATTTTGCCAATTGGGGTGTGCGCTGGTATATGTTGTAGCAGCTAAATCAAACTCAATATACTTTTTAAGTTCATAATATGTGCGTGCATTCAATGAAATAATATTGGTGGAGAGAATGTCTTCCTGAATTTTCTGGAAAGATGAGAGCCTACACCATCCACAACAACAAACACAAATAGGAGAAGGGTTGCACAATGAACCAACTTACAATATAAACAACAAGTCACCAATGTAGTTGAGGGATATTAAAATCATGAGCAAGGATATATAAATGTTGGATGCAACCAAATTCTTTAAGAAAATCTCTTAGGGCAGGAAAATGTTTCCACGGCCAGTCGATGGTGGATAACTCTTCGTCCCAAATTCCAATCTTTGCCACCCTTAAATTTGAAACTTTCACATGAAAATTGGAGTAGTTCATGTAACCATTGAAATGAAACTCAAATAGATTTGGAGTATCGATTGTGGCCTTCACACTTTCATGGCATCCGTATAAAGAAATCGATTTGGAGTATTGATTGTCGACAATGTATCGAGTGTAAAAAGGAGGGGGAGGGACGAGTGTAAAAACTCAACCCACTTCGTCCCAAATGCTCCAGTGCAACTTACTCATTCTAAGGCTGATATCTAACTCTTTGACGCTTCTCTCAAATGAGAAATTCAACAACTTATCTACAATTGCTGCGTCTTTGCAAAAGTAGACCGTGCAAATTCTGAATTTGGCTAAGAGATCGTTTTTGTGCTAGTCTTTCTCATGATATTACCAAATACCTTGTCATCAAGATATTGTTGATGAACTTTTTATGGCGGAGTAAGTGGTTGGCAAAAGACGACATCGTTGGGGGTAATAATCATCAGAGTTGCCTCCCTCGTCGAAATCCTTGTATATTATGTCATGTTAAAATAGGTTTATTAGTGAAATCCTCTTTCTTTTTCTTTCATTCTTTTTTGTTCTCTCTCTTTGTATTTATCCTAAAAAGTCTTTTTTATTTCCTTGTCATATCAATTGTCAAATTAGCTACCCACCTGAAGCTTCCTTCAAGTTTCACTTTTTTGCTACTTTTATTTTCCTGGTTTGTCGATGGGGTTTTTTGATTCGTGGGTTTAATGAGGTGTATATATTTGGTTTAGGGTTTGAATGTTTTGGAGGACACAAAAAGATGGCGTGATTAGTTATCTATGAAACAAAACAAGGCACGAAAATAACATGAGTTATTTCTAAGTTAGGCTGCCGTATGGTACTATTTCACAAAAGACTAGGCAGATCCCAATGAGGACAAAAAATCATGCATGTTGCATGCAATTGTTGGTTATAATAACTTATATATAAATTACTCAGAAGAAGTAATTAAACAAGAGCTCAAGAGAGAGACAGAGACAAAGGGGTACGTAGAATCAAGATATTGGAAAACTATGGAGATGATGAGCAACAAGCTATGTTTTGCCGTGGTAATGACCATGGTGCTTACGGTGTCCACCTTTGCTCCAGCTGCCTATGGAAACCCTAGCAAGAACAATATTGCTGAGGCACCCGCCTCTGAGCCTGACGCCAAATGTGATGCAAAAATCATCGATGCCAAAAATCTCTACGATGGAAATTTTGGGGTAGCTGCTCCCATGGCTAGTCGTCTCAACGAGGAGAGCTTGGCGTTGATGTCAGGGAGGATGAAAGAGCTAGAAACGAGTGGAGGTGTGGGCACCATCAATGGGTGCAGAGGCAACCTCTGCAATTTTTTGGTGGCTCCTTGCCAGATCGGCTGTGTTTGCGTTCCCATTAACATTGGACCTTATGGGCTCTGCAGTGGCGTCTGTTGCTAGCTATATAACTACTCCTACTATAACAAATTAATGTATCTGCATCCATGATCCATCCATTCATGCATGCATGCATGCATTTCATCTAATCATGAACATCTACGAACTGATCGATTCTTTAGCATGAAATAACGTCGACCGTATATGTACACGTACGTGTGTACTTGTGTACGGTTGCTATGTTGTTGTCTAGTATTATATATACTATTGGAAGGTACGGGTTCATCTCATGCTTCTTTTCTCTTAGTTTGGTTTTCTTCTTCTTTTCCTTTCAGCTTAATTTCATCTTTTTTGTGTTATACTGTGTTGGGTTAGGTACATCTCACCCCTAGCAACTCTTTTCACTTGGTAAATTAGGCTCAAATTTAAAATGTTATGCCACACCTAACATTAAAAAGAACACCTATAAAAACCATATATTAAATAAAGTGTCCAAAGATCAACTTTGGGTTTCCATAGAATTACTCCATCAAAAATTGTCCTGGGCCTACATTTATGCTTACCCTCACCTAAATACCGAAATACAACCTATGTTACGAGAAAAATCCAAGGTTGGCAAATCGAATCTATGACCTCAGGTGCAGAGGTAAATGCTCTTAATCATTTAAGTTACAAGCCGCTTACAATAAAATAACAACTTTAGTAAAACTAGCTTTTTTACACCGATGAGAGGGAGAGGAAAGAGATTCATTAATTATGCTTATATATAAGTTTTGAAGAGTAACGCTAGGAAAACCACAAGTGAATACATACGCATTTATATAAGCATAATCATGTTTTAATCAAAATACTAATTTAATACGTCAACTTGATCAAGAATAGTTGTAGGCTACATACAATACAACGCAATTATCTAGGAAAATCTAAAGTGCATTAACATTTAATCAATCAATTCCAACATTACTCACCACTATAAATAAAGGTTCATGATTTCCCTGAAAAAATAAATCATATTCTGATATTCATATAATAATGGAGGGTAGCAAAGTGGGGTTTGTGCTAATTGTATTAGCCATTTCTTTTGCAAAGTGGGGAAGGCAACAATTCTTTCTTTGTTTCTATACTTGATCACGCCGATAGAAATGACCCGAAGTACTATTATGAGCTTGGGTTGGCTTAACTCATCTCATGAGAACAGTTATTTACATTCCTGCAGTCTGCAGTCCAATGCAAGCTGCTGCTTTTCAAAGATGTCCCTGTATTTACTCAAAATTCAACTCAAAATTTATATATTAGCCACCCAATAAAGTTTAGAAACAGGCATTCATCTACTGCAGAGGAAAAAGGTTAGGCATTTTCTGAAAGGCATTAACGGAGGAGAGATTGCTTTCTCAACCTGTAATAGGCGTTGGATCGCATGCATAAAGAGTAATGCCACGAAGACCACGAGACAAGTGCACTAAGCGTGTTTATAAGCACAATGAATTTCTCTAGTGGGTTTAGGTGGCACTCGTGCTGGTATTATATATCCACTTTCCTAGCTAAGAGAGTACTTAGTTGGAGCAATTAACCTTGTTAAACAGAAAATATACACTAATTCATTTTTATTCAGCCCAAATAATTGTAACTTGTATGCTACAAAAGTACTCTATGGGAGGAAATTAACTGTACATTCAACAGTACACGTCATTCTCCAAACCCAATTATGCCTATAAATAAAGGTTGATTTTATTTTATAGATTTAATAAGTTAATATCATATATATCATATCATAGAGAGCAGCAGCAAAGTAAGTTTCATCTTCATGTTGGTGCTAACTGTGTTAGCTGCAAGTATCATGACTTTGGCTCCGGTGGCCCTCGCTCGTTGTAAGCATGATGGCCTCAGCCTTAATTAGCCTCTGCAGGAGGAGGAGGCTCAGAAATTATGTTGCGGGAGGAAAGTGGAGCCGTGAACAAGGGCGATGGGTATCAAGATTCTGCATGCACTCTTATCGCCGACCGCTGCTGCACTAGCTGTCACTGCCTTCCTGTCGGTGTCTTTGTTGGCGGCTGCTGCAAATCAAGTTAATCTTTGATCTTAATGCATGCATGGCCCTAGGGTTGTGTTATGTTATTGCACTCCCCTTCACAATAATCTCTCTCCTCTTTTTGTTTGGTGATCACTATTTTTGGTGTCTAAAATAAGGGTTGCCTCTGGCCCAAAAATAATACCAATTTTATTTAATTTGCTTGGTTGGTTAAAATATATCATTCTAATGGCGGCCGAGGCTAAGTTTAGCCGGAAATAATGTCATCTGTATTACACTGCTCTTCAGCTTCACCCTTGTTTCTTTCCTCTATTTCTTTCGATTAATTTTTTCTCTTGCATTTTTTGTCTTATATATGCATGAGATAAAAAGGATAAGTAGCGAGGAACAGAACATGGAAAGTGGACAATAATACAAAATTAAATTCAGACCCAAATTCCTGCAGTCCAATTCAATTAGGGTGCTGCTTTTCAAAGATGTCCCTGTATTCACTCTGCTCATAATACAAATTTACAAATTCAAACTCATAATAAAGCTACACAGTAACATTAGAATTGCCATATTGCATAAACATGGAGAGTAGAGAGAGTAGTCTCTTTTTTAAACAGTTAACACTTGCATTAACCATGGGCATTCTAGCATACTTCCCCCTGTTGTCCATCTCTTCATCCCGTTTCTTTCTAAACTCTAAAGAAGCTGCAGAGGAAAAAGGTTAGGCGTGTATCTACTGCGGAATCAAATACGCATAGGCGGAATTTCGCAATCATAACTATAACTACAAGACCTACGACTTCACCAGCACAATGCTTCCCCATTGAAGTCACCCCTCACTACTGCTACTCTCATAAAGCATAACATATTATGAGTTAGAAAGAATGCATTCCACAACTGACAACCCTACAGATCAAAACCTTATCTCTTTACATATACAACGTTTGCATGCTAAAACATCTAAAGGTTTTACACTTTGTTGGTCATAGTGGCACATAAAGAGCACCGTTGAATAAGTTACAGGGGTGAAGCTTGCACTATGCCCAATTGTTAATTATTGGTGGATAGAGATTGATTGTGTTTTATAAAATGGTATTTTCAGTGCAAAATCATTGCAGGAGGAGCAAGTCGAACCTGCACCTTCAACAATATCACCAAGTAGAAAAGAAATACAGTTACCTGAGAAGAGAAAAAAAAATTGTCAGAAAATGCATCTGGTTTTAGGCTTGTCCAAACAAGCACGTCGCATGCAGGGACATGCAAATCAGCTGACTTCTACTTTTAGATGCAACCCTTAGTAATTCTCATATGAACATGTTAAAATCAACACTATCGATGCCAAAATTCGTCGCACACAATGATATGTATGATCCCTGAACTCGAAATATTATGATAAATGGAAAATGAACAGCAAGGTTTGGAAGTTATAGCTCACCACAAAATAAAGTGGTTCGAGAGCTGCCAATAAGATTAGTGAGATGAGAGGTTATAACAACTAACATTACGGTCAATCAGCTTTGCACATGGCTGAAACCTTGAATTTACAAAAATGAAGATGTTTGCTTCTCCTGTATAAATCAAAAAAGAAATATGAGACAAAACCCACATTCAGCATCAACAATCCAAGCAGATTTTGAAAATTGAATTATGCACCTCATGTAAGCACAACCTTTTCTATTCAGAGTTGGACTCTATCGATAGACACACTCGTTGTCTTACAGACCTCGGCTGACGAGGAAAGGAGAAAGGTCCATCGGAAAATTTCCTTGAATTTTCTCTTTTTGACCGAGCTCCATTATTTAGACCCTTAACTAAAGCAACTGCAAAGGATTTATAATATGAAAGATCAGCCTCAATAAATGTTAAAAATATCAAAATCTTCATATTTTTATAATCTCAGTCAACATTAGTCTTCCATCACAATTCCTTAATTAGTGGACATTCAAGTAAAGCAATTAAAAGAATCTAACAAAGCCTTAATCACCATAACTTTTCCATTAAATTTCTAGGTGCGTCCAGGCCCCTTAAAGATCAAGATGAACTACCATACAATTTGCATCAAAAGTAGGTGAATATAGTTGAAAATATGGGCAATGTTTATTATGATCAGACAAAAGTCACAAAACAACAAGATTACGCATTTCATCCTTAAGTAAAATCTTGTTTAAATAGATGAAGATTTTACCTTTATCTGATCCACTTTGGTTTCTCAAACGTAGTTCATTTGTCTTTGCAGATTCAGTGCAGGCCTCAATATCATTGGGGACAATTTCACCAATACTACCAAGTCTAAGAGACATCCAATCCTCAGTATTAATTCCATTTGAATCTGGATGTTGTCCAGAATCAGATTGCTCCAACAAACCAGAGGGCTGAGTTGGAAGAAAATTTTGTAGTGAGCCGTCCTCACTAACAAAGGCCAAAGGATCATCAACCAAGCTGTTATCCAAGTGAGCATTGGCATGGGAACCAGACGAGTTTAAAACCTGTCTGCTTGGATTTAGAATTTCCTCCAAGACCAATGTGTTACCATTTGTTGGAGCTGAATGGGCAACTTCTGTCTGCTCCAAATCAATGAAAGCATCTGAAATATCTGAATCTGTACCAAATAACTGGAACCCAGGATCTGCTTCAGTGCCTGAAGGATATTGATACTGAGACATCCCAATATCATTTCCAGTTTCATTAAAGAGACCCAAAGAAGAGCTTGCACACACTTTCAGAGATGGATCTTGTGCATATGAGCCTGAAAAGCCAGGAGGTACAGACAGAGAACACCCACTGCCACCTACTGGCAAAGTATTGTAGACAGTTCCAGGAGAAACCAAGTGGACATCTTCTTCTTCAGAGTCACTAAGAATAATGATATCAGCATTCCCAGCTTGAGCAGAACCATCGTTCATAATTGCAAATCTTGGGTCAAAATTACGAGAAGCTGAGTTGATTTCGTTGTCATCGTTGGCGGAGACATTGCAGTTCTGGTTCATACCTTCATCATCTCTACCACTTCCTGTGGCACTGCTGCTCATTGTTATCACATTTTGACTGCAAACCTCAAACTCTTCCTCTAATGGGCCATGCTGATGTCCACTAACTTCCGTAACCCCACAAGGATTATGCATAAATCCACTATGTTCGTTTGTACAAGATTCCAGCTTGAACTGCCTTGAGGTTTCCAAATTCATACCAGCACATAAAGATCCATCAGGCGAATGCCATTGTGCAAGATCATTAAACTCGCCTTTGGTCTTTGCACTCCAAGAACCATCTGGCTTCACATTGATCTCTGTTATGTCTTCCCCACACTTTAGCATCTGTCCACCAGATAAACAGTAAGAAATGTCTCTGGTTCCATAAGATTTCACAGTAAGTACATAAACTCAGATAATGTTCGCTACAGGAACTACCATCATTGTAATGCGATTGAAGTAGCGGTCGATGATGATGTCCTCCAAGGAGTAGTTCTTGAGGCATACAGGGCATTGCCACTGCAACCATAATAAACACTTGCTCATATGTGTAAATTTGTAAAGAATAAAAAAGAACAATTTACAGCTATATTGTATAACTTGCCTTCCTAGAGCGTTGGTTTAGCTCCACAAAAGTTTCAAGATCAAAGCAACCCATGTGGACACAAGGTTTGAATCTGCCAGCTACCTTCATTCGACAGCCACTCATCTGATTGTTACATGTAAACATTACTCCATACGCAGCATTATCTATGAGCTCTACACCACAAACATGGCTCTATGTACACTAAGTTCACTGATACTTTTCAGAAATTCACTTAAATGATATAGATAAGCCTTAACAAAATGACCAAAGAACATAAACCGTGACTTTGCAACCATGGGCTGTGAATTGCAGCTCGTGGCTCAGGGTGGTTGTTTATATTTTTTCACTGTGGTGACCCACCTGTTAACTGGTCGATGGACCAATGCTGGTTTTGGGCTCATATAATGGATTGGGCTGACCAGTTGAAAAGGCTTGTCAGTGTGTGGATGTAATGGCAGATAATCTTAGAAAATGTGTGTGTGGTAGGGTCGGATGACCACATAGGACATCCCTAAGACCCAAAGCAGGAATAGCAACAAGTAGAACGGCATTAACAAGCACATGCAACTACAGACTACAACAATGTCAAAAGCAACCATCACTCACAGGGCATCGGAGATTTACTGATACTGAGTCTGAAATCACTTCCAAATCACTGTCACTATCTTCGGGTGCCTTAGCAGGCCCACCACCAATGCAACGACAAACTCGCGCAAGTGCATCTTCAAAAAGCTCCCCATCTTCTTCTTTAGGAATCAAGTTGAGAACCTTGAGGATAAGTTGGGTAAAGGAGAAATGCAGTTGGTGAGATGAGATGCAATCCAGATTTGTAGCTTTCTTTCAACATCTTGAGTCATTTCTCAGAATTTTAGTACTTTGCACTTGAATGGCAAAGAATTCTCACAATTCTCACAATTTTCAGATTTGATGTCATGGATCAACAATGTTTCCTTGATTCCAGGTTGGTCCCATTAAAGATATTTGTATGTTCATGCTTATGGGACCTTTCATGTACGTACTTTTTAAATTTTATGTTCCGTGTCACTAGAATCAATTGCCAAGGACAGCAGATTAGAGATAGATGTTCATTGCATGCATGCACAAGTACCATCAACAAAACCTATTGAGTAGATAGTGCATTAACCAGCTGCACTTGCCATCATAAATTCCATGACTTAATTATTCTGTCAAAGAAATTTAAATGAAGAATCAGTGATGTACCTGCTGAACTGTACGTCGCTTGACAAGTCTGACACCGAAACAGAAAGCACGCTTATCACACCCTGATAATGAAATCTTATTGATTCCATACACAAGGCATAATGTGATCTGAGATAAAATAATTTTTTTAATTGAAATTAAACTGAAACATATTTTCTTACAATGAATGGATCTAATTATACTTCTACAAAATTAGATACTAAAGCAAAAAACTTTATAATATGTAAAAATTCTTGAACCACCACCAGAGGGGCCACAATCAAAGTTCACAACAATGAAAGATGTATAAACAAAATATTCTAGAATTTAACAACAAAATGAAGGATGGAACGCATGGTCATGCAGAAAATATATGCATACTTCAGCCTTAACCTCTATCAACAATGAAGCAAGAATTACAAGTGAAATGCCTCAGATTATGATATTAACAAACATATCAACGAATAAAAAGCAGAAGTAATAGACTCACTAATGCTCCATCATCACGACCATTAGCACCTAACAATTGATGTTCCGGCCTATTAACTGTCCTAACACTCATACCTGTAAATAGGGTACAAATCAAAATGTTAGTTGATAATTGGGATTCATTTACTTTTAATGAAAATAAACAAGGCAAGAACAATAGTAGGACAAGCCAGCCTGTAGTGCAAAAGTTTAATTCCCAGGTCATCCAAACTGCCCTAAATGTCAGCTGAACTCAGTAAACATCATTAGTTTATTTCTTGGGCACATGAGTAGAGGATAGCTAGCGTAGATACGTATATGCGTTCTCGTGTATCTACAACTATTTGACTGTACAGGTACAACTCAATTAATTTTTTTTTATAAGAAAGTAAGAAACAACTGTCCAGGTACAAATCATTTATCGCCAATTAATGGGAAGGGATCACCAAATTGCATACCGTTGACCTGTAAATCTGCAAACTGTGGCCATTGCATCCTAAATGGAACACTATCATTGAGAAGCATACACCAAGCCTGTACAATATATAGGTACCACTTATCAGTATCTAATTTTCAAAGTAAATCTTCAACAAGTGACCACAACTTATCAATAAATATAGCTTTCATTTACCACACTGACCAAAATGAAACAAACCTGAACATCATATTCATTATCCTGAAGTAGATCTTTATTGGCTCTGGAAAGTTGAAATGTCTTCTCCACATTCTGAGTAGGATTTGCACTGAAAACATTGATAAATCATATTTTTTAAAATATACCAGACTCCTTACTTAACAAGCATAAAGAATATTGCAACTGCTGAATATAATTAAACAGTAAAGAACAAACGGCTCTGTTACTAACACTGGAATTTAACATCTATGAGCAGGAAAAGAACATGTGTGTTGCACTGATATGCAAAGAAAACTATAATTCTAGACAAATTCAGCTTCAATGTGAGCGTGTGTGAGAGAGACAGAGAGATAGATAGACAGACAGAAAGTTACCCATCAATTGGAATATTTGAAGCCACTAATTTCACCGGAGATAGTAGATCTACCTCAGTCACCCAAAAACTGCATGTTGGACATATGCAAAAATTATCAACCACCCCTCATTTGGGGGAACGGAAAATGAAAAAAGAAAAAGGATGAACTCACCCACGAAAATAAACAAATAAATGAAAGTCTTACCACATTGAACCTAAAATTCCAATATAAAATTGAACGAATGGTAGTGTTCATATTCAATAACCTTCCTAATCTAGGAATTAGGAATTTAAGACATACTGAACACAAGTAATGCCTGTTTCAAACCATTCAATTACGTCTTTGCAAACCAATCTGATGAGGACATCTTTGTCAAACCCACTAGGGTTTACAAACAAAAGAGATGGATGAGGGAATTATTAATAAGTTTCCTAATTTATTTGTTAGTTCTTAGGTTCTCTAAGTTTTCCAGATTTCATTAGGATTTTTAGTTTTTCCATATTTCAGTAGGATTTCTAAGTTTCCTATTTTATTTGGATTAGGATTTCTTTCCTAGAATAAGTTTAATTCTCCTTTTCACTCTAGGGTTAGATTATTATAAATACCCCGTCTATGTAATTCATTATGGAGTTGTTGAGATATAAAGAAAAGCTTATTTCCAGAGATTGGAGACTACTTGGTGTGAAGCCAAACCCCTGGAGTGATTCCAGACCTATCCCCTTTGTTCTATTTTCTGTTTTCCATTGTGTTCGCTTCTGCTAAACTACCTAAATACCCAATTCACCCATATCCTACATCACAATCCTAAAGTATACCCCAGGTAACAAAACTACAAAATAAGCTGTGCGACTGCAACTTTATACATCCTTTCAGAATAAAGACTCAATTAATTTGAAATTGATAAAAGTAGGATGCATACGGATCTGCACGTTTGAGACGACACATTTCACAGTAGAAGAGAGGCTGGACTGGTAGATTGCAATCCGTTGTTTTCTCTGGCATAATAACACAGCGAACATGTTGCTGCACTTGACACCTTGGGTCCACACACTGCAGATAACATATACCTGAATTAGGCATGGCCCAATACTTTGTAAGTCAATCTAGTGAGGATTCAAATGACCTATGTGATATTTACAATTCACAAATAGATAATACAATGGTCCATAACTATGCGCTATGCAGAATTTCAAAGAGAAAACACAGATGGGAGAAATACACAAACATCCACAAGTAATTCCTATTAAAAGTCAAACAACATTCACATTCAGAAACATCGAGGGCAGAACATAAGATAATTTCATGCTACAAAACCTGTATAATTGCCTCAGTAGACAAAGAACTTCCACAGGGACAGCAAATCTTCGCATGTGTATCACTAAAATTCTTAACTTCCTTTTTAGGCTTCACACTGCAGGTATCTGAACCACTCTGTTCCTTTGAAGCAGAATCAGTTGACGGTGTAACCTGCATTTTTCTGGACAAGACAACAGATATAACAATTCAAAAGACCATGAAATAGAGAGGAGAAAATAACTAAATTTCCATACACAAAGAAAAGCGTACAAGGTTTAGAAGAAGGCATCCCCCCCCACTAAAAGTCACAACTTAGAAAAACTAAAAAACAAAATCTTAACAGGGAAAACATATACAAGAACACTAACATAAAGTGCACCTGTAAGCTTCATTAATTATTTCTGCTACTTCTTTCTTCTCAATGAATTTTTCCTTTGACAAATGGCGTGTATTGGATGCTGCACAGAACCATATAAATGACAATCAATCTAATTTCTTATGAAGCATTCAGTGCATAAATGAACAATGGACTTGAGTCTGAACTTGTTCAATTATCAAGAACTAAGTCTGCAATTTTAAACAGCATGGAGACTATTTTGCTAAACGCCTAACCTAAACAGCTATATGTGCCACTAGGATGTACTCCTTCTTGGGTTGTATTCATAGTCAAATATTGCAGTTTGGCAAGAGGGCCAGTGACCACAGAAGGAAACTGAATATGAAATTAATGGCGTGTATGATGACGTGTTTGAAGAACTTACTTTCTTCACCTGAAACTAATGCTAAGATTCTCTCGACCAGATCCTGCACAGGAAAGCGAAGTACAATAGACGGTTTACCTCATGTAACTATACTAACAAAAATATATGAAACAGAAACATTACATCACTCAATGGATATATGAAAGCCAGGAGGTTTTAGATCAACGATGCTCAACATGCTGTTAAGCATAACTGAAAACATAAAAAAATTAAAGTAGACTAACTTTTTCCATCCATCAGCTAAATAAGTGGCTACAAGATGTCTGATTGAGAGCTACAAGCACAAGTTGACTAAACAAAATCTAAAACATATGTCGATGCAAGAATGTAGAAATATATGACCAACAAAAATAAATGATTTGCACGACATGTTTTCCAATAACTCAAAGAAACTATTCCAAGTCAGTTGGAATTGGTTATTGGAAGATGACATAGCACAAAGGCAGTGCCAGTATCCTATAGATGCAAAGCAACACTGGCTGACACATATTTCAAAACTGAGCATTGTACAACTAGCCAGAAAATCTCTCCTAAATGAAAGAGAACAAGATTGCATGCTACTGGAATGCGCACCCACACCTCAACGGTTAAAGCCCATCATAGACAGCTATTCCTTTCAAAGTACATTCATACAGGTGACTAAATTCATGAGCAACTAAGAAGATAAAGAAAGAAGAAGCTAATAAATCACCAATCTACAGAGACAGACAACAATTGGAAACTACCCTAGCGGAATTCAAACCAATAAATATATCTAACAACACACCTGTTTCCTCCCTTGCTTTGGAAGACCCAGCTGGGTCAGAACATCCTTGAGCTCTTTGATTCGAAAAGATACCAACTTTCCCTACAAGTTAATCACATATTAAATAGGGAAAAAAATCACATATTAAATAGGGAAAAAAATCACATACAGTACACATAATGGCATGTGCAAATGTACAGAACAAACAACAATACACAAAAAGTAAAGACTGTAGCTAGCAATTTGACTACACAGAATGGGAAGCATCAAACTTTGACCATATTGAAAATCCCTCCAATTCAGAACCCAAATACAATGCCCACATTATCAAATCACATAATTTGAAGTTAAACTACAATAATCAAGCTAATTTTTACCTTACAGTGAGCTACCAAATCCATTTCTTTTTGCCCCAGAACACCAAATAACAATTATTGAGCCAGTTAAATTTGCAAATTTCAACAAACTGAGCCCAACCTGAACCCAAAAACCAACAATAATATCAGTAAAATCAAATTCAAGTGAACCCAAAACCCGATGAACAAGTCGGGTACTAACACTGTGACAAGCCGAGTTGCTTTCAGCTGAAGACTCAGCCTTGGTGGACCGTTTCGTGACGGACGTGAAGGGGATATACGAAATCTGCTTTGAACCCGGCGTACAAATCCGGGTCGTGATTGCGTGATTCGGTGCGGGTCTTACTGGTTTCGTTGGCGGTGTCTGATTGGACACGTGAGAGTTGTAGGTACGATGAGAAAACAATCGGTGGATATTGAAGTCTAGGTTCGGTGTTGAATATGTTAGAAACGATGATCGCTGAGGTTGCAGTATGTCTACTTGTTTGTTTTGCTCAGCAGCTATGGAGTCTGGGCCGTACAACGTGCTCGTGGCGGCTGTTATTGACCTGCTTCATTCATTCTAATTAAATGGATCATATATTCGTTAATTTTTTTTTTTCTTTGATGGACAAAGAAAGAGATGTTTTGGTTTTAAAAATTTATATAGAAAAAAAAAGAAAAAAAAAAAAAAAAGAAAAGGAAGTAAAAAAAAATGATATTATTTTCTATAAACATATTATTTTTTATATTGAGATTTTAAATTATTATAATTTATATAAGGAGGTTGGAACTCAAGTACAAATAACTTGACACATTATCTTAATAAATTGATTTAACTCATATTTGTAGATAATTCGTAATCATTAATTGGTTGTACTCTGAATAAGTATATGTTCAGGATTTTTCATATTTACTAATCTATAATCGAATTAGGTGGAATTGAATTGTAGAGAGTTAGATTTCCAATCCTCACTAAGTTGTTTACTAAACTATATAGAATTGAAGTTGTTTATATTCATATGAATTGGAATTGAAACCAAATTCATTATTAAAATGCCCTTATTGTTGGGTTAAAGTAGATGAAAATTTTGGAATTTTTTAAATTGTGTGAGTATATAATGGGTAAAAATATGATTTGCTATGGGTTAGTTCTTCGGGAACCTACTCCCACTCTCCAAAATCAAGGGTTGAATTCTTGATTTTGTATGAGTCTCACTCGCATTTTGATTCCTTCATGTTAAATAAACACAAAAAACCAGAGTGGTGTTTGTGTAAATAACTCATAAGAGATTGTGTGTCTTAACTCAACTTTCTTTTGACAAAATAAAAAATAAAAAATTGTGTTTCCTGGGGTTCATCGAGGGGTTCAGGAGTCCAAAATTGTAAATTCCAATTCGCATGTGTGTGTATATATATATATATATATATATATATATACAGAGAGCTTCCATTAAGGGATCCCTCAAATAAGTTTATTTGAGGGACACCCCTTGTAGGGCCCACTCTGGATTGTATTTCACTAATCCAAATCGTCTATTTTGTACATACTATTCAAAGATCATCTTTACACACACAAAACTTGAATCCGATATCATTTGACCACTCATTTGAGTTATTGAAATTTTAGTACTTTCTTGAAGTACTGTGTTCATTGATTTTGTAAGACACAATTAGATGTCAAAACGGTTTCCAATTTATCTAATTTTTTGTAAGGATGATCTATGAATGAAAACCTTAAAAATAGATGGTTTGGATCATTAGGAAAAAATTGTAGGGTACCCTAAAGGGCGTCCATCAATAGAAGGGTACTGTACATATATATATATAGGGCGGATCCGTAGCACCATATATTTGACACAAGTTTTGACACAAGTTTTAGACCTTTAGATATATGAACTTTAATGGTTGAGATGTACTTTCATTTCTCAAAACAATAAATTTTCTTCAATTAATATTTATACATTGGGATTAAAATTCTGATACCATATTAATTAAGAATTCTCTCTCTCTCTCTCTCTCTCTCTCTCTCTCATCTGATTAATTATCTTTATTTAGTTCTTTCCATTTCCCACTATACTCTTTTGTTCCTTCACAGCCTCTGCTTGCTCTCTCTTTCTTCTACATTCATCATCCACTTGAAGCAAATGAGAGGGAAAAAAAGTAGCTATATCTTCTATATGGTCTGTTGGAACAAAGAAATCTTCCATATTTTCTCTACTAATTTGGATTTTCTTCGAGTTTCTCTTATGCTATGCTATGTTTTAGCTTTAACTTTATATTAAGAAGAAGAAACTAGATTGTACGATACTATAGATTAAAATATAACATTATTTTTTTAAAAATGTAATAATTATTGGTGGGAAATTGTAAGATGTAGAGGGGAGATGAATGAATGGAGAAGAAGAGAGAGACACAGAGATGTAGAGGGACGAAGGGCAAGAGCCAAATAGGAAATAAAGAGAATGAAAACTAAGGCGCGTTACTTCCCTAGCTCTGAAGTAATTTTGATTGAACAGAAACAAAGACCCAGTTTCTCTCCAACGCCCACAAATTGGCTAGATTAATGTGATCTACTATGCAACTTATTGTGTAAATTATTAAAACAATAATTTATCAATATAAATCTTAACTCTAAGGATTAATTGCTAGTTTGTGATTTAGATGGAATGGTTTGCTGAAATTGGATGGCTAGTTTGTGATTTTAGGGTAACTGAAAAAGCAAGAAGAAGAAGAAGGGAGGTGGTGTTAATGAGAAGGCACGAAGAAGAGAAGAAGAGAAGAAGAAGAAGTGCCTTGGCCATCAAAACTTAATTAAATGAAGAGAGAGGAAATACAAAAGTCAATTAAAATTTATTTTCTATAATTGCTTATTTAAAGAATAAAATAATTAATTTGTTTAATCACATCCATTGATAGTGGGCTAATCCAAGGGTTTTAAAACTTGTGTCAAAATTTGTGTCAAAAATATGGTGTCATGGATCCGCCCCCATATATATATACACACACCCCTAAGTTTTTGTCATTTAAACTTCTATTTTAATTAGGTACGTACTAGGGTTTCTGCTACTTCAAGGTTAGTACTTCCGTTGGAAGGAGAAAACGAGTGCGCAAGGCAACCCAAACACCAGAAGATCACAACAAAAAATGCCATGGCCGTCAACAAAAAACACAGGCCTTGCTTGCCTGACCGTGTTATCGACCAAATTCTCCGAAGTCTCCCCACCAAAGCTATAGTCCTGCCATGGCGAACCAAGTGTTGTTTAACAACCCAACAAAAGAAGCTATCGTCCCTCAATTGCCTATGTTCTTTCAAGGTTTACACATTCCACCAAACCCAGAAGAAATGCCTCTGTGCTTTCAAGGTTTACCTATTTCACCTGTTGGTGCTAAAAACTAGATGAGTAGTAATGAGACCAACTTAAAGATGAGGTGGATGTTGAAGGTGAGGACCCTTAGTATGTGATAGCATTCGACAGGCAAATAGACATGCATGCAGAAGACAAATGTACTTAGTTCACCAAAATAATGGGCTACATCCATGGAGAAGTATGTTCTCATTATGATAATGTGTGTATACATTGTACATGGGGTTAGACCCAAAGATAAGAGGAAGAATGCTGAAGGCTGAAGGATCTGGCTGAAGACAAATTTGTGGGCCAGCAAATGGACTCATGGGTCAACCTATAGAGGCCCAATGAGCCATTTAGAGCCCCAGTAGCCTGCCAAGCTATCCCATTTCTTGCAGGAGAGAGGTCTCATTTTATAATTGAGGGAAGTCCCATTTTCTTATGTTTTGTTGATGTTGGACTCCATTCCCCTTGCTTGGAGTGGCTTGAGAGTGTTTAACCATATATTGTACAAACATCACCAAACCCAAAAGAAATGCCTCTGCTTGCCCCAAACCTAATGCCTCTGTTTTTTTTTAAGGTTTTTCCATTGCCCCAAACCAAAATAATGCCTCGGTTATGTCATCAAACAACTCAACATAAGAACCTATCGTGCCCCAATTTCCTCTATTCTTTAAAAGTTTACAAATTTCACCAAACCCATAAGAAATGTTTTTACACTTTCAAGGTTTACCCATTTCACCAAGCCCAGAAGAAATGCCTCTGCAATTTCAAGGTTTACTCATTTCACCAAACCTAGAAGAAATGTCTCTGCTCGCGCCAAACCCAATGCCTCTGTTTTTTCAAGGTCCTGTCATCACCCTAAACATAAATAGTGCCTTAGTTATGCGATCAAACAACCTAACAGAAGAACCTATCGTCCCTTTATTTCCTCTGTTCTTTCAAGGTTTACCCATTTCACTAAACCAAAAAGAAATGCCTCTACACTTTCAAGGTTTACTCATTTCACCAAACCTAGAAGAAATGCGTCTGCTCGCCCCAAACCCAATGTCTATGTTTTTTCAAGGTTCTGCCATTCCCATTGGTATCCGTGGTGACCCAAACCCAAATAGAGTCTTTTTCGTGCCATCCAACAAATAGGTATATGGGTTCCTTTGAACTTTTTTTTACATACGTCGAAACGCAGCTGTGAGAATCTTATCGCCATTAGCGTTCAATCAGATTGTTTGTGCTGGACATAACTTACACTACTGTCATTACTATGTTCGAATTCCAGAATTTCACCATATTCATAACCTTCTCAAGAAGTTATTCAATTCCAGAACAGCTTCTTTGTGACTTTCTTTCAAGGTATTTGATTTTTCTTGAGAATATTGGGGTCTTCGAGGTTGCGAAGCCACACGACGTCGTCCAGGGCCTTGGAAACCTCTGGAATTCGAAAATGCTTATTAGTCCACTGAATCCCACTCCCAATCCCCTGCTTCAGAAACTCAAAGTCCTTGCGAACCACCTGAGCCAAGTGCCCCAAGTCCCCTAGAGCTCACACTTGCTTCGTGCGCTTGCTCTTTGACGTCGTTTTGGAGGCCTTCATTGAGCTCAGCATGCATGCCGGCTTAAACGACATTTTGGGAGTAAAAAAAAGTGATGAGAACTTACATTTTTATCTTTTTACCCATAGTAAAAAGATAAGGCGGTAGCCTTGGCCCCTGTTCACACCAGGCCTAGCTCCATGTATAAAGCAAGCATACAACACAGTAGAATTCAAACAAATCCAATTTCTTACATTGAGAGAAAAGATGGGGAAATCAAAATTGCAACGTAAGAGAGAGAAAGAGAGAGAAAGAGAGAGAGAGAAAGAGAGAGAGAGAGAGAGAGAGAGAAGGTTTCGACTGCAGCCATTGTGATCACATCTTTTAATCAAAGAAGGATGTCCAGAATCATTACAAGGTGCATAAAATCCAAATGAGAAAGGGAAAGGGCAGGATCTACAGTTCATGCAATGGTTGCTTCAAAACCATTGTGGACTATGAGAATCATCTTACAGCTGAGAAAGACATAGTATGATATATTTTTTTCAAGTATTTTTTGTTTTCATTTTTTAATAATTCCTACTCTACTTCTACTCTGGATCTAGATGTAGTGCTTTGGTGTCCTCAAGAAGAAGGAGAATGAGAAGAAGAACGATGAGCACACCACCATTCTTCTTTTCCTTCTTCTTGAGCACGTCTCTTTCCTTCATACTCGTTTCATCGTGTTGACCAAAGACACAACTCATGGATGATTCCATTACTGAAAAATACATCATGGGAGAAAGGTAAGGAAACCCGCGATGGCTACTGAATACCCGCCCTTTACTTTCTTAATAAAAAAAGCCCAGAAGGCAAAACAAAAAATTGCCCCTATGACTCTGGTTCTAGTGAAAGCGATGAAAGTATAGATGTGCTCCAGTTTTTCGGGTAAACTCATGAAGACCCACCCATAGGGTGGCCCTTTTATATAATAGAAGGAGTAGGTCGATAACGCAAGTCTGTATTGAATTCCTGAAGTAGTCGTAGAGCAGAGATACCATTGTTAAACCAGCCATGCCCATATCCTTAGGGAGATGCACTGCAAATTGCCCAATGGCCTCTTACTTCACCCATGTGCTTGTAGATAGAGTTATTAACATCCTATGTCGTCATAGTAAAAGCATCCACAGTGGAGGGGGTTGTATTTTCGAGGGTGTAATGCCACTTTTACATCCCCTTTACACCTCCGGGAGTTGTAAATGTGGTTTTTGCTCTAATGGGAAAGATGTAAATCTAAATATGTATAATTGATTTTTTTTTTTGTCTTAATTCGTTTTTGTGTTAAATTTTTATTTTGTATTAAATTTATAAAATTAATTTTTTATGTATTAGGTTAATTTTATTTTTTCAAACAAATAGAGCTAAAAATATTTAAATTCGGAGATGTATAATTGTTGGACATGTTGGATCTAATTTCATTTTGACAAAATTAAAGTTGTTGCCTAAATGTTGGATGTTGGCTGTTTTTGAAAATTAAAAGTTGTTGGTTGTTGTAATGTACCGTTGTTTGGGGGGGGGTGATGATAACCAAAAAATGGGTCCGCATATGAATTTTGTGTCCATCAACTACTGTAGCACGGGTCCCAACCTTTTGCTAACTTTTCTCCACTTTTTCCTTCCCACATTTTCTCATTGGGTGTCCACCTGCAAGAGATGTAAAAAAAGATTGCATCTAATCATGGTGGTGATGCAAATTTACACCTCGGGTAATTCCAATAACAAAATGTGTATATTTACCCCCCCCCACTTTAAACAAACACACTCCTACTTCACCTCCCCTCAAAATTATTATATAAGTAGTTTCTACAATACAAGAAATAGAGCACCAATACTCACATCCCATTTTCTGTTATTTCTCTTGCCCATAGAATACCCACATTCTTCAACTTTTTGCAACCAAAAAGATGTTTGGTTCTAATTTTCCTTCTTCCTCCCAACAGAGACCAGGACAAATGCCATTATCTTTTCAAGGTCCAGCTATGGCAAACCAAGTGTTTTTTAACAACCTAACAGAAAAACCTATCATTCATCCATTGCCTATGTTCCTTCAAGGTTTACACGTTTCACCAAACCTAGAAGAAATTCCTCTGCACTTTCTTGGTGCTAAAAACTAGACGGGTAGTAATGAGACCAACTTAAAGATGAGGTGGATGTTGAAGGTGAGGACCTTTAGTATGTGAGAGCATTTGGCAAGCAAATAGACATACATGTAGAAGACAGATGTGTGTGGTTCACCAGAATAATGGGCTACATCCATGGAGAAGTATGTTCTCATTATGATAATATGTGTATACATTGTGCATGGGGTTGACCCAAATAGGAGAGGAAGAATGCCAAAGGCCAAAGGTTGAAGGCTGAAGGTTGAAGGCCGAAAGATTTGGCTGAAGACCAAGGATCCGTGGGCCAGCAAATGGGCTCATAAGTTAGCCCATGTGGCCTAGTGAGCCATATAAAGCCTCAGTAGCCCGCCAAGTTACCCCCTTCTTAAAGGAGAGAGGTATCCTTTCATAAGTGAGGGGGAGTCCCATTTTCTTATGTTTTGTCAATGTAAGACTCCCTTTCCTTTGCTTAGAGTGGCTTGGGAGTGCTTGGTCAGATATTGTATAAATAGAAGTCCCCCAAGTTCTCGATTAAAGAGGTACTCTTGATTGGGGACTTGTAGTTTTCAATGCACTGGTCGAGTAATACTTCAGTTTCTTCTTCACTTTCTCTTGTATGTAACATCAATACAGAGTTGTTAAGCTAGTTCTCAGTACCAGTCGATTGCTGAAAGTAAGGGTACTGAATAGAGCGTCGAATAGCAACAAGGGTATCGAATACAGTGTCGAATAACAACTGCTAAAAGGCATGAAGCTTGAATTGCATGGCGACTGCTGAAGGTGTGTACTGTCGTAGGTGCTATAAGCGTTGCTGCTATAAGTGCCAATGTTTGACATAGGTGAGGTGACATATGTGTTAGAAAAGAGATGTGTCTCCAAAGTACCATTTGTGAAAAATGTTGTATCGTTAGCGCCGTAAGGAGAAGTGGTATGTGTGGTGACCTAAACCCAAATTGAGTCTTCTTCGTGCCATACATTTATGCAAATACAAACCAAAAAGCTTTTGTCCATAGTATGGCTCTAGACATATCCACACCACATATGGGTATATGGGTTTCTTTTAACTTTTTTTACATATGTCGAAACGCAGCTGTGGGAGTCTTATCGCCATTGGCATTCAATCAAATTGTTTGGGCCGAGCACAACTTAGGCTTAAACACTATCCTTGCTCTTTTAGATACCATATCAGGTTTCTTGCCCAATCAAAATTCCACCATATTCATAACCTTCTTAAGAAGTTACTTAATTCAAGAACAGTTTCTTCGTGACTTTCTTTCAAGGTATTTCATTTTTCTTGAGTTTTCTGTTTCTCGCAAAGAGTCTTAATAGGGTGAGCTCAATAAATGATAAGATTTATGTTGGTGCTAAAAACTAGATGGGTAGTAATGAGACCAACTTAAAGATGAAGTGAATGTTGAAGGTGAGGACTCTCAGTATGTGACAGTATTTTGCACGCAAATAGACATGCATGCAATAGACAAATGTATGTGATTCACCCGAATAATGGGTTACATCCACGGAGAAGTATGTTTTCATACACATTATACATGAGGTTAGACCCAAAGAGAAGGGGAAGAATGTCGAAGGCCGAAGGATCTAGCTGAAGACCAAGGATCCGTGGGCCAACAAATGGGCTCTTAGGACAACCCATAAGGGCACAGTGAGCCATATAGCATCTCAGCAGCCCTCCAAGCTCCCCCCCTCCCCCCCCCCCCCCTTTTCTTGAATGAGAGAGGTATCCTTTTATAACTGAAGGGGAGTCCCCTCTTCTTGTGTTTTGTCAATGTTGAACTCTCTTCCCCTTGCTTGGAGTGGTTTGGGTGTGCTTTGCCATATATTGTACTAATATCACCAAAACCAAAAGAAATGCCTATACTCATGCCAAACCCAATGCCTTTGTTTTTTTTAAGGTTCTGTCATCACCCCAAACACAAACAGTGTCTTAGTATGCCATCAAACAAATTAACAGAAGAACCTATCGTGCTTCTATTTCCTCTGCGCTCTCAAGGTTTACAAATTTCACAAAACCTAAAACAAATGTCATTGCACTTTTAAGGTTTACCCATTTCACCAAACCCAAAAGAAAAGCCTCTCCTCGCCCCAAACCCAATGCCTCTGTTTTTTCAAGGTTCTACCATTGCCCCAAACCCAAGCAGGTCCTTAGTTATGCGATCAAACAACCCAATAGAATAACCTATCATGCCTCAATTTCCTCTATTCTTTCAAGGTTTACCCATTTCACCAAACCTAGAAGAAATGCCCCTGCCTCCCCAAACCCAGTGCCTCTAATTTTTCAAGGTTCTGCCATTCCCAGTGGTATTTGTGGTGACCTAAACCCAAATCAATTCTTCTTTATACCATACAATTATACAAACACAAACCAAGACGTTTTTGTCACTAGTATGGCTCTAAACACATCCACACCACATATGGGTATATAGGTTTCTTTTAACTTTTTTTACATACGTCGAAACGCAACTGTGGGTGTCTTACCGCCATTAGCGTTCAATCATATTGTTCAGGCCGAACACAACTTAAGCCTGAACACTGTCCTTGCTCCGTTCTACCATATCAGGTTTCTTGCCCAATTAGAATTCCACCATATTCATAACCTTCTTAAGAGTTTACTCAATTCCAAAACAGCTTCTTCATGACTTTCTTTCAAGGTATTTGATTTTTCTTGAGATTTTTCTTGAATTTTCTGTTTCATGCGAAGAGTCTTAATAGGGTGAGCTCAATAAATGATAAGATTTGTGTTGGTGCTAAAAACTAGACGAGTAGTAATGAGACTAACTTAAAGATGAAGCGAATGTTGAAGGTGAGGACCCTAAGTATGTGAGAACATTCGGCAGGCAAAGAGACATGTATGCAAAAGACAAATGTATGTGGTTCACCCGAATAGTGGGCTACATCCATGGAGAAGTATGTTCTCATTATGATGATATGTACACATTGTATATGGGGTTAGACCTAAAGAGAAGATTAAGAATGCCGAAGGCTGAAGGCCGAAAGATCTAGCTGAAGACCAAGGATCCATGGGCCAGAAAATGGGCTCTTAGGTTAATCCATGGGGGACCAGTGAGCCATATAGAGCCCCCAGCAGCACACCAAGCTCTCCTTTCTTGAAGAAGAGAGAGGTATAATTTAAATAAATAGATAGTCTTTTTTTTTTTTTTTTGTTTTTTTTTTTTTTTTTGTCGATGATGGGGAGGCTCCTTTCCCTTTACTTGGAGTGGCTTGAGAGTGTTTTTCCTTATATTGTACAAATAACACAAAACCCAGAAGAAATGCCTCTACTCACCCCAAACCCAATGCCTCTATTTTTTCAAGGTTTTGTCATCGCCCCAAACCCAAACAGTGTCTTAGTATGCCATCAAACAACTTAATAGAAGAACCTATCGTGCCTCTATTTCCTCTGTTCTTTCAAGGTTTACAAATTTCACCAAACCCAAAAGAAATGCCATTGCACTTTCAAGGTTTACCCATTTCTCCAAACCCATAAGAAATGCCTCTGCTCGCCCCAAACCCAATACCTTTGTTTTTTCAAGGAACTGTCATTGCCCTAAACCCAACAGGTCCTTAGTTATGTGATCAAACAACCCAATATAAGAACCTTTCATGCCTCTATTTCCTTCGTTTTTTCCAAGTTTACCAATTTCACCAAACCCAGAAGAAATGCCTATGCTCGCCCCAAACCTAATGCCTCTGCTTTTTCAAGGTTCTACCATTCCGAGTGGTATCCGTGGTGACCCAAACCCAAATAGAGTCTTCTTCATGTCATACAATTATGTAAACACAAACCAAGATATGTTTGTCCCTGATATGGATCTAGACACATCCACACCACATATGGGTACATGGGTTTCTTTGAACTTTTTTTACATATGTCGAAACGCAGCTGTGGGAGTCTTACTGCCATTAGCATTCAATCAGATTGTTCGGGCCAAACACAACTTAGGCCTGAACACGATCCTTGCTCCATTAGAGACCATATCATGTTTCTTGCCCAATCAGAATTCCACCATATTCATAACCTTCTTAAGAGGTTACTCAATTCCAGAATAGCTTCTTCATGACTTTCTTTTAAGGAATTTGATTTTTCTTGAGTTTTCTGTTTCTCGCTGTTTCCCTATTTTCGGCCGAGGAGGCCCATAGAAGGAAATTTTGGTCCTTCTTTAATTAAGTGCGGGGCGTGCCACCACCAAGCCACGAATTAGGCTTGAATGGAATGTGAGTATATGATGCTTCCGAAATCTGACTTTAATCAAACGATTGTTCGGCCGAGTAAGGAACCTCCTCACGACCTAGGTTCTTTCACTACCTCGGAGTCAAGGCTTTATGTGAGCAACCAAATGATGTGGAGTGGGTGGATATGAAGATTGAAGGTGAAATGTAATGAAACGAAGAACACATGCGTAAAGTAAAAGGTGCTTGAATTTAAATATAATTGAAAGACAAGTGCGGAAAGTAAAGTGTGTAAAGTAAAGTGCATAAAATAAAGAATGTAAAGATGAGTGCGTAATGTAAATTGCGTAAATTAAATAATTGAAATTCGAGTGCTTAAAGTAAAATGTGAAAAGTAAACTAGATTACGAAGAATAGTAACGATTAAGCGGAGACATGAATTGAAAGAACTGCAATTAAAATACAATTGAAAAACAAGAATAAGAATGTAAAGGCATAATTGAAATCTACGGAAACTAGAGTGAAAAAAATAAGAACTAGGCTATGGCTACATTATGCTACTCCTATGATAGAAATTGAAGAGAATGTAAAATGACAAGTTGTTGTTGTGTCAGGGGTCCTTTCTCTCTTTCATAAGCTTGGTATTTATAGGGGCTTCGGTGCGTCTCAATTTGGTCGGTCATCAATTGGCCTTCAAATTAATCATAATTGCTTCATAATATCTTCAATCTCTTGTCTCATGCATGTGATTTAATGTGAATAATAATATTTGATTGGATTTTCCTTCCATCTTGAGCTCTCCCATAATAACTTCAGTTGACCATTAAGCTAGCATAATTCCTTCTATATTTGAATTGTAACCTATGAGAAAATCCTCATACGGATTATCTATCTTCTTATTTAAGCATTGGCTAATTTTATGTATTCGGCCGCTTTTAGTCTTTCGACTGTATCTACATTTTCTGCCGCATATAGGCTTTCGACCGTTTTTATGCTCTCGGCCATATTGATGTCTTCAGCCAGATTGGTGTATTCCACCACATTTAGATATTCTACTATATTTATGATTTTGAGCTTCTATCCGACCTAATTGACTAGGCCCATCGAATATAGCTTGGGCTCACTATTAGTTTAATTGTCGGATTTCGGGCCTGACCCGGTCAAATTTCAACCAGGCCCAAACACTCGCAAAGAGTCTTAATAGGGTGAGCGCAATAAATGATAAGATTTGTGTTGGTGCTAAAAACTAGACAGGTAGTAATGATACCAACTTAAAGATGAGGTGGATGTTGAAGGTGATGACCCTCAGTATGTAAGAGCATTCGGCAGACAAATGTACGTGGTTCACCCGAATAATAGGCTACATCCATGAACAAATATGTTCTCATTATAATAATGTGTACACATTGTACATGGGGTTAGACCCAAAGAGAAGAGGATGAATGCCGAAGACTGAAGGCCAAAGGATCTAGCTGAAGATCAAGGATCCGTGAGTCAGCAAATGGGCTCTTAGGTCAGTCTATGGGGGCCCAGTGAGCCATATAGAGCCCCAGCAGCATGCCAAGCTCTCTGTCCTTCTTTGGGCTAAAAGGAACCAGAAACGAGCTAAGGACGACATCATAGCTCTGTTAAATTTCATAGAGATTGGCTTGCCGCCCACTACTAATGACACTGATATTGTCTCCAACTTAACCACCTACAAAGTCCAGTAGATATGGAGTTTTATCACAAAAGGCCTCGGTGATATTAATAGTGGAATCATTCATTATATACTGTATTTTATTTAATCAAGCTTCCGATATAGGACTTATATTCTTCAACAAACTCAACATACCAAAACCATTTATCTAAACTTTTGTGCTCGTATCTCAGAAATAGAGATAGTTGACTTCTTTACCCGGTAAGTATATGGTATATTGAAAAGAAAAAAAAATTATGTGTTTATTTTTAATTATAAATCTCTGTTAAAAAAAAATTCAATTATAATTTTTGTTGTTTTATTTGTTCTCTAATTAAAGATCCCTTCCTCATTGCAGGACCTTTTCTGTTCTTGTTGAAAGCATCGACATCCAAAAGGTGCAGCCCCACCAAATTCCTCTACATGCAAATCTGATTTTCGGGTCTGCATCATCCGTTGCAGTGGTACTTGGCGCAAGCAACAGAGAAAAAATGCTTATCTTCAATGGAAAAGTAGTCGTCGCAAAGCCCTTTCTTTAGAACCATCATCTTGTAATATGTTTTTTCAAAATTTTCAGTGTTATCTGTAATTCAGCCTATGTGCAGGAAAAGAAAATGTGTGTTGTACTGATATGCAAAGAAAACTATAATTCTAGACAAATTCAGCTTTAATGCGTGTGTATGAGAGAGAAAACTGAACATACGCAAAAAAATCAAGAACCCCTCATTTGTGGGAAAAGAAAATGAACACAAGTAATGCCTGTTTCAAACCATTCAATTACAAACCAATCCTGAAGTACACCCCAGGTACCAAAACTAAAAATAAGCTGCGCGACTGCAACTTTTATATCATTTCAGAATAAAGATTCAATTAAGTTAAAATTGATAAAAGCAGGATGCTTGTGTATCTGCACGTTTAAGACGACACATTTCACAGTAGAAGAGAGGCTGGACTGGTAGATTGCAATCCGTTGTTTTGTCAATATGTTGCAGCACTTGACACCTTGGGTCCACACACTGCAGATAACATATACCTGAATTAGGCAGGGCCCAATACTTTGTAAGTTGGTATAGAAATGATTCAAATGACCTATCTAGAATCACTCCCAAACGAGCTCTTAGCGTTTATCATGCTCATCTTAACTTCATTTGCGTGTTAAAAATTATATCGAAATCAACATGCTACACATTCTACTACTATTGAAGTTAGCTGGCCTCACATTTAGAAATAATTGTAATTTCGACATTGGAATTAGATTAGACAACTTAAAAGCCAAAAGGAAAATTAGAAAGACTCAAAAAAGATAAACTTATTAGAAAGACACACTAATTTTGACTATTTAAGCTTAGTGTGCTAAAGAAGATCTCCTAGTCTACAATTTGCCGTAAATCTGGCAACCAGTGCAGAGAACCACCATCAGAGGCAGACTTTGGTTATTGTATTGAGAAACAGCACCTATAACACGATTGCCTTCACAATTTTCCCAAACATACAACCTAATGCTCTCCCATGGCATGAGTCGCACGACATGATCAGGGAGATGGTTTTTTATTCTTTTTCTTGGCAGTTTTGACGATAGCATCAGAAATCTCTCTTTTTCGCTTATTTGTAGCATTGGTGAGATTGTTATTAGTTTTGTTGCCGCTGTTGTGGTTATTAGTGTTGGTATTGGTGTTGCCGCCCATGCTGGCCGAACTCTTGCCTTGAGCTTCTATAGCATCCTTCACAAAAAACTTCAACCTCCACAAGGTAGACTCAGTCTGCAAAAGATTATTTATCGCAGTCAACAACAATTCGTTACCCAGCAATGTAGGTATAAGAACAGGAAATCTGAACAAAGGAGAAGTTAGAGAATGATCAATAATGAAAATGATTACCTGAGCATCAATGTCAAGGTCCACCTCATCAGCAGTAGCCTGGAAACCTGGATTATTTTGTGCAACAATATCTAATGCCATGCTGAGATCCTCAGGCGACAATCTGGTAAGGGCTACCCCAAGTTTTCTCTTCTCTTCAGTCGACATTTTTCTGAAACAATGTTCTCAAGATAAGATATGGTTGCTGGAGAAGCATTCATATGCAACTCTATTCATGCACAAAAACACACAGAGTCGCTCTTTCTATCCACATGCACTCACACATGGCCATAGCATGCATACACACATCAATAATACAGATTTTACAAATAAATTTTTATTTGATTGCATCAACATGTAGATGTAAAACATATTAAACTAAGATACAATGTTACTGAACAACCTGCACTTCTGAACAACCATTTCTCGGAGTTCTTCCAAATGCATATCAACCTCATAAAGCTGAAAACAAGAGATCATAATTATAAGTTTAGTCTTTGAAATAAACTATATCTACAAAGGCTTCCATTCAATGTTAATCATATGCATATAAGAAGGTTGTTGATTTCTAAAACACCTCGTTACTTAAATCTCTAGCCATTTTGGCACGAGCAGCCTCTTCAGCAAGCTGCATTTTTAACTGTGCTTCAGCCTCCTCCTCTTCTAGCCTTTTTTCCTGCAAGTATATTGCTTTGAAGTCATAAATCAGCAACAACAAAAAAAGTTAAACAAGATGCTTTAGTTTATCTCCATATACCAAACAAACAACATTACTGAACCCCAAATCATATTACACTATCTGTTCAAGAAAGAGCACATCATGTTGGGATATACCTCTTCAGTAACTTTAGGAAGAAGCTGCAGCCACTTCTCCTCAAATTTCGCCAGCAAAGTTTTGGCCATAACATGAACATCACTTCTCTCATCATTATATTTCATCGCGTTTTTGAAGACTAACCTCACATCAGCACATATCTCCCGAACGTTTTTATATCCAGTACCATCCTTGGCTTCCATTTGGTTTTTAATTGTACTGAAGTCCATTGGCTTGTCAATAACCTAGAACATAACGTGAAACATATTATTTGTACACATATGCGGAAGGAAAGTGTGTTTGGATTGAGAAAAAGAGGGAAACATTACATAGGCTGAATTTTGAAATGCTTCTCATTTGGATTATGAAATGTGAAGGAAAATGGAAAGAAGAAAAGAAAACTCTGAGCCCTCACTCTCTCCAAAACTGTTCCAAATAAAAATAAAAATAAAGCAAAACTAAGCCTCATCTTTTCTATCATGTCATTTCTCCTCTCTCCTATCGTACTAAAATTGCCAAACACACTGGAAATATTATACAAGGAGCAAGAAGGCAATAAACAACAAGCAGACGGAAGTCAGTAGATAGGATCTTTAATAACAAAGTCACAGCATGCAGGGGAACTAGCATAGTTAATAATTATTGTGGAAGGGTTTGAAACCCAAAAAATTCATGCATCGGATGAATCTAGCCTTTTCCTACTGACCACACATGCATAGCCCAACAACTGGGCCAAGAGACCATTGGCAAGATATGAACCAATATAAGGTCACTATTTGATGCCTTAAAACATACTGAGTCCCCAAAACATCCAAGACACTGATCACAAATCTTCGTGGGGCTAGATAACATTATTATTTACTGGATTATTATTAAATTCAAACCCATAAGTTCTTTGTTAGACATGATACATGAAAATGCATGAACTCTTCCTGGGAGTATCCATGCCAAACCTATAAAGACTGTATTCAGATCTCATACTTGACATCTACAAGTTGCAATAAACTTTACCTTGTAATAGTCATGTAAACCAAGACCTTCTACATCTACAGGTTGCAAAAAGGGCCATGCCCACTTGTGTTGTGTAATCTGACAGCCAAAGTATACATCAGAAAATTAACTTGAAACCCACTGATCAGAAACTCCACACAAACACACATACACTACTTTTAGATAAAAGCGTTTATTTAAGGGTCCCAAGACAGTACATATAATCATGTTACAGTGCAAATGAATGAGACTAAGATGATAATCCTGCTTCCAACATAGAAGAGATGTTTTCAACAGCACATCAATTTGTACTAACATAAATATTTTAAAGAAACGAAACTAAAAAGGAAAAATCAGTTATTGAGATCTCTAACGGGAATCACACACACGCGCGGAAAACATAACAAGATGGGTAATGAAATTATTGCCTGACGCAATATTGTGCCAAAATGGCGCATAAGTTCTTGCATTCTCTTTGCAGCAGCTGCTTCCCTACATGCTGCATCCTGCTGCTGCTTCTTCATAGTTGGGATATGTTTGTCTTTATCCTTCACAGTTGAGCTACTTTTACATGCATTCGGCTGTTTTTTACTCGACTGCTCTATCTCATTCACTCTTTGCTCAAGCTGCAAAACCCAGAAGAAATATGGTACCAAGAACATTATAAAATATTAAATGTCTGTACCTTCACAAACAACTACCAATTTAAGTTCAACCCAACAAATACAATCATAGAAGCATCTTTAAACTTGAAAATCAACATGATTTCTACCAAGTATCATAACACATCAGTATCTAATTAACATATCGAGCGGCCCCAAAAAAGTTGGATGTATAGCTCCAACAATCACTCATCAGAAATTGGTAAATTTGCGATTATGAAGACAATCTTACATGGGTAGTGTGAAACATGGTAATGTGTTATATGCCATGATCAGAATGAAACAAAAGGAGAGAACTTTCGATTACCTTATCAACTTTTACGAAAATTTCATCAACCCGATGCTTGAAAGACTCTGCTTCTGCACCATTGTCAGTAAAATTTACAGCTCCACCATATATGGCATCTAAAATTGGTGCCTCCATTTGCTCCATCTGTTGGAAAAGACAGATATAAATGTCATGTTGTGTCACTAAATTAGTATAATTGCTTAAACCATGAAAAGTTGAAAACACGAACCCGTACGTAGGAAAATAAAACTTCGCTACAGAGATGAAGACGGAGCTGAAATTGGGTTTGGAGAGAGAGAGAGATAGAGAGAAAGAGAGAAAGAGAGCCTGGGTGTATAAGAAGAAGGTTTCTGCTGCGAAGCGAAGCTACGGCGGCGTCCGCTTTGTTTCACCCTCGTTCGTTTGGATGGTTAAAAAGTCGGTTCCTCGTTTACTTTCTTAGCTTTTTAAATTTTCTCATAAAAACGGTTTCTTTGTTTGGGTTAAAAACATACATCAATAAATAAGGGTAAAATTAGATTAGATCAAACGGGCATAGTGAAAATGCAAATTTTTTGAGTGAAAATTTCTATTATTATCTTAATGTAGAATGATAAATAAAATAAAAAAATTCCAATTATTTTATTGAAAAAAAATGACTTCTTTTTTTATGTCCAAATGTTAGCTACTAACCTAGAGTGATTAGAGCTTAAAATGTGGTTTTGCTCTTAAAATGCGGTTTTGCAACATTACATTAGTGGTGCAAACATGCTCCGTCACGATAATCGTTCAAGGCTAACTTTAAAGAATAAAATATTAGGGTTACGCTGTACTTCAGTTAATTACATTTTTTATGCCATATTTATTTATTTGTAATGAGTATTAAAATTATTGTGATTCCTGATATCTTGTATATTTAGTAGTAATTTTTCTTTTCTTTTCTAAATGTTAGTAGAAGTTTCAAATTTAAATATGTCCCTCATTCATTGAAATTATAATTTTCCTTTTTTGTTTATATCCATATAATAATGGAATATATTTAATAGATTAAACTTCAGGTAATGTGTTGCTCTGTACCTGTAACTTGCTATTTAGTGTGTTTATCATGCTCATCTTAACTCCAATTGTGTGTGAAAAATTATATCGAAATCGACTTGCTACACATTTTGAAATAATTGTAATTTCAACATTTGAATATTAGATTAGACAACTTAACAGCCAAAAGGAAAATTAGATAGACCCAAAAAAGATAAAATAATTAGATATTCACACCAATTTTGACTATTTAAGCTTAATGTCCATACACACTTTGATTATAAAACATAAAAAAATAATAATAATAATAATAAGTTTATTGTGATGAAGTGTCTCGTGTGATTCTTTATTAAAAAAAAAAAAAAAAAAAAAAAACAAGAAAAAAAGTAATAATAAAGAAAAGAATAAAAAAAAAAATTAAAGAAAAACAAATAAATATTTTAAAAAACTCTTCAGCAAGCTACATTATCACATTGCTGCTGCATGCGTCCCCCAGTCCTAGCCATCTTTCCTGCAAGTGAAGTTATAAATCAGAGAAGAAATAGTTAAACAAGATGCTTTAATTTTTCTCCATATGCCAAACCAAACAAACAGCGTTACTGAACCTCAAATCCTATAGACTATATCAATTCAAGAAAGAGCACATCATGTTGGAATATATGTACCTCTTCAATAACAACTTCAGGAAGAAGCTCCAGCCACTTCTCCTCAAATTTCTCCCTCAAAGTTTTGGCTATAACATGAACATCATGTCTCTCATCATTATATTTCATCGCGTTTTCGAAAACTAGCCTCATATCTGCACACATCTCCCGAACGTTTTTATATCTGTTGGCTTTCATTCGATTATCAATTGTTCCGAAATCCATTGGCTTCTCAATAACCTAGAACATAATGCGTAACAGATTATTTTTGTACACATATATGGAAGAGAAGTGTGTTTGGATTGAGAAAAGATAGCTAGAGTGACTTTTGAAAATTTTCTCATTTGGATTATCTAAGAGAAGAAAACTTTGAAGCCTCACTTTCTCTCCAGAAGTGGAGATAGTACAATTGTGATATTCTGAGAATGTGCTTACTCAAAGATTTTCTCTCTGTTTCTTTCCTCTCTATCCAAATAAAAAATAAGCAACACTAAGCTTCATCTTTTCTTTCATGTATTTTCTCTTCTCTCCTAGATGGTAACTAAAATTGCCAAACACATTGGAAACTTTCAACTGGGGAGAGAAAAAATTCCATTGAATAAGAGTCATTGGATCATCAATGAAAACATCATAAACATCTTTTCGCAGAAGAACACGAATTAATACTTAGAATACCAGCCAGAATATAGAGTTGAAGAAGAAGTAATAAACTTTACCTTGTAATAGTCATGTAAACCAAGACGTTCTGCATCTACAGGGCAAGCAAAGACCCATGCGTACTGATGTTTTCTAATCTGATAGCCAAAGTACATATACATCAGAAACTCCACATAAACACACACAAGGGGAGCCATGAACTTACCTCACGAAATATTGAGCCAAAGAGGCGCATAAGTCCTTGCATTCTCTTCTCAGCAGCTGCTTCCCAAGCATCCTGCTGCTGCTTCTTCTTAATAATTTGGATATCCAGCTGCTGCTTCTTCAAAATACTTTGGATATTTTTCTCTTTGTGCTTCACAGCTGAGCTACTTTCAGCCGTACTCGACAGCTCTATCGCATCGACTCTTTGCCGAAGCTGCGAAATCCAGCAGAAAAATGTGATATCAAGAACAATCATATAAAATTATAATAATGTTATAAATGTATGGACCTTCAAACAACTACCAATTTAAGTTAAACCCAAAAAATACAATCACATAAGCATCTTTAAACTGATAATCAGCATGAAATAAAAAGCTGACAAATTTTACATTGGTAGTGTGAAATTATTTAACATGTTAATGCGTGTATCTGCCATGATCAGAATCAAACAAAAGGAGAGAACTTTCGATTACCTTTTCAACTTTTACGGAAATGTTATCAACCCGATACTTGAAAGACTCTGGTTTTGCATAATTGTTTGGAGAATTGACTGAACTTTCAGTATGTATGTCATTGTCAACCTCCATTTGATCCAATTTTGCAAAGACTGAGTCAATGGCATCTGTCTCCATTTGATCTATCTGTTGCAATTTGCAAAAGACTGATATGACGGTGATGTTTTGCCACCAAATTAGTATAATTTCTTAAACCGTGAAAAGTTGAAAACACGAACCAGTACGTAGGAAAAGAAGACTTTGCTGCAGAGACGAAGACAGAGCTGAAATTGGGTTTGGGGAGAGAGGGAGTCTAGGTATATATATATATATCTGAGGAGGTGATAAAACCCTAACCTAATTAGGATTCCTTAATTACCACTTAATACATGTTTATCTAGATTTCTTCTTTACTAAGGAATCTTATTCCTTCCAACTTAAGGGCTTGTGATGTCTATTCTCTCCCTCATGGCTACTTCGTCTACCTCCTCTCCCTCCTCCCTCTCGGCTGCGAAGCGAAGCTATCCACCAGCCCTGGCTCAGGGTCGAGAACTGAGGGGGCACCAAAAAAAAAACTAAGTCTTCTATCTTTCTTGTTCATTTTGAAGAGAATGAATTTTGCAGTTTTGATTTTGTGAAGAGGTATAACAAATCAAATTGAATTTCATTAATAATAATTGGTGGAAGTTCATGTTGTACCCTCTCAAATAGAATGCAAGATCATTGATGGTCAAGTTTGCTCTGAAAGATACATATGTATGCAAAACAAGAAAGTAACACCTATAGTAATGTTTTTAGTAGCACTACTCTTTTTTTCCAAATGTTCGAAGAAGTTCCGAATTAAAATATGTACCTTATTGATAAAAAATAAAATTGCTTCATTTTCGTTGTTTTAATCCACTTAATAATGAAATATATTTAATAGATTAAACTGCCGGTAATGTGTTACTATTTTACCTATAACTTGCTATTTAGTATGTTGAGAAGAGAGAGAGAGAGAGAGAGAGAGAGAGAGAGAGAGAGAGAGAGAGAGAGAGAGAGGAGAGAGAGAGAGAGAGAGAGAGAGAGAGAGTCTTTAGATTTGGGGGGTTTTCCTCCGGATCCCATCGAATCTTCGGTGTTTTTGGCTTTTGGTGGACTTATGTCAATCTATTCTTTTTTTGGCAGATCTATTGTCTCATATCTAGGCTGGCTTTACGAGTTTGCTCTTTGAAGTGTTGCAGCTTGGTTATGATAGATTCACTGTTCATTGGTGCGTTGAGGCCGTGAAGTAAACTAGGTAACGCTCTCCATGTCATGCTGTTAGTTTTCCTTTTGTTGGCATTGTTTTAGTTTGTTCAATAAAGTCCATAGACTCTATGAGTTTTATGTGTTTTTTCTCTTATGATTCCAAAAACTTAGTTGAGTTTGCTTGGTGTTCTTAGTATATCGATGAAAGTCATGACTGTTAGTGGCTAGTTTTTGTCCTTAATGTCATTGGATCAGATTCAGGAAAATTATGGCGGTTGAGAGAGGTTATAGAAAAGTTATTTTCAAGAGTGATTTTCTCTCGATTGTTTCAGCTTTTTGGCTAACTCAGGTTACTGGGGAAGTTTTATCCATGTCTGCCATACTGTTATTGGGATGGCTCCCTTTACAGTCTATGTCCTTTGTGCTATTATTCCTATTGATCTAATAAAATTTTATCACATTTTTTTATAATTTAAAAAAGTTTGCTATTCAGTGTTTGTCATGCTCATCTTAACTTCATTTGTGTGTGAAAAATACTATTGAAATCAACATGCTACACACTCATTCTACTACTATTGTAGAAGGTAGATGGCCTCACATTTGGAAAAAATTGTAATTTCAACGTTTGAACTAGATCAGACAACTCAACGGCCAAAAAGAAAATTAGATAGACCCACAAAAAAGATTATATTATATAATTAGATAGACACACCAATTCTGACTATTTAAGCTTAGACCATACGTGACCAAGGAAATTATCATTACTATTTGTTTATTTTATATATATATATATATAAATAAATAAAAACTTAGTCTATACATCACCAAGCAAAAATATCATTGTAAAAAAATAAAAATAGCAAGACAAAAATACACAAAATGAATGAACGGAAAAATCCTCCAAGTGTGAAATGAAGGACCAAGTCCACGCGCGGGAATGGTGTTTTTTACACGGGCTTTGGTGACGGAATGCAACCAAACGACGCCTTAACCAACGCACTCACGAGGTGGGCCCTGCACCTGAGCGGCCGAAGCAGGCCCTTGTGGTGGGCCCCACCACCATCGGCGGGTGCAGCGGCAACCAGTTCGGTTCCATTAGCGACCGGGAACATCGGCTTCGGGACCCGCCGGCTCTGCCTCCTCTTGATATCGCGGAGCTCCATTTTGGGCTGGGGCTTGACCAGCGACCCGATCAGAACCATCTTATGCTTGCGGGACTTGCTGCTCTGGTACCGGCAGCTCCCGGTGGCCGGTGAGCTGGGCTTGAACGGCGAGGATATGGCCAGATCGTGGGCCGATCGGAAACTGTGGGACCTCTTGAAGGAGTTGGTTTTGAAGAGGAAGAGGCCGTTTCGTGGGTCCCTCTGGACCAATTTGGGCTGCTTTGGGTTTTGGGGGTCATCGTAGGCGATCGTTTTGCCGCAGAAGACGATAGCGTCGAGCGTGGGGCCCACTGCGGAAGAGTCAGGTTCGAAATCCGGGTCGATGAGGAACTCGAAGAAGCTTTCCGGGGTGTCCGGGTATTGGCGGGGAGACGGCGAGTAGTTCTCGTAGTCGTCGTTGTTGAGGGAGAAGTCGCAGAAGGAGAGGGTGTCGTCAGTGTCGTCCATTTGTGGGACTGCGTTGTTTTTTATGTCGTCCATTTTTTTTCTTAAGGGAGAGAAGAAATGAATGAGATGGTGTGAGAAAGAGGATGAGGAAGTCGGGTCTTATATATGGTTGATTGGTGCTTGGTGGAGGAGGGTGTTGAAAATTAGTGAGAGGAAGAAAGAGAGGAGGGTGGTTCCTTAAGCAAGGTAATTAGCATAATTAATTACTTAATTAGCTGAGGATTTCTAGAAGTGAGTGACTGTGAGAGAGAGAGGGAGGAAAAGTTTGCGTGGGTGGGGCTAGGGCTTCTGGAAGGAGGGAAAATCAAATACAAATATAGTTGACAAAGTGAATAGGAGCTACTAGAAGAGTGCACCTGAGTCAGCTGGAATCTTTTTTCTTTTTACCAATAAATAAATAAGATAACGTGGAATTGTAATTTCATTTGCGGAATGGATTGCAATTTTTTTTTGGTTTGTTGTGGGAAATTTATGCTCTTCAAAGTTACACCTATAGGTTTTTATTTTTTGGAGGGATAAGGATGAAATGTCCTATGCATTATTATGGTCGAGTTAAAATGTGACATGAGTTACAAATTTCTAATTATAATTTAACTTTTATAACATTTTTTTTGGGTCAAAGTTTCAATTCATTGCAATCCCCCAAAAGGACATAAAATAGTACAAACAAAGCTGGGCAAAAATATCAGTCAAAAAACCAATAGGAAATAAACAAGAACAAATCTAGCTAAAACCACCACAATATAGCATGAAGATCATGTTTCGAGTAAAAAAACTAAAACGGCAAAAGCAAAGGCATATAGCCCACAATGAGGCATTACGCTCACATTTAGCATAAAATAAAACACCGGAAAGCTAGCCGCCACAACCAAAAAGAAACTTTAAGCCGCCACCAACAAAGAGAAACTCCATGACTGTAGATGGACAAACCACCAATCACTACCATGAAGAACCAAACACCTGTAGATCAGCAAACCAAGTCAAATATCCCTCAAAATATAGCCTACTCGAGATTTACTAACATAACCAGAATTAACTCAACCAATACATCCAAAAGACAATAACCAACAAAAAAAAGAATGAAAAAACCCATTTCACAGCCAAGAGAAAAAGAACCAAGAATTAACTTTTATAACATGTTACAATTTATTAGACAATATTTTCTATTTAATTTGTCACATGACTACGAACTCCAATTAAAACATCTATCAAAGCTCTCCATCATTAGGAGGAGAATAAAGATTGGCCATAAAATAAGGATCAATCTTGTTTAATGATCCAAATGGGAAGTTTGGCAAAAGGACATTTTTTACCAATGAAGGAAACATCACCTTGCCTAATTTCTTGTGCTCATTGCCCTTTCCAAGCATTTCGTCACGATAATCATACTCAAAGAAAACATTATAGAAATGTTGAGTAATTCTTTAAAATATAGTACAAGCTATAGGAAGAGGGGATTTCACACACACTACTACTGAAGTGTCATGGGTGTTCGAACTTAAGATCTACGATATGCAAATCAAGGTTATCTTCTTTTGGGCTAGATCTCGTTGGCAAATAACGAGTAGTTTTATGTCTAATAACAAGGGCAGTGGGGGTGATCGCCTTCACTCGCCTTGTTGCATATTCACCAAAGATCATATGTGTTCTTGACTCATGCCTTTAAGATTCATTCATGAATTATAGTGAGAAAAATCAGTCCAGTTGAATATTGTTTAGCAATTTGATAATCATTTGTGTATTTACTGAAAATTGTGTTTTTATTTATATATGTAACCACAATTTGAAGATGAGAGTCTCAAGTTTGATTGATTATTTTTTAACGAATGATCCTTAAGATAAAAACATAACTTCTAAGATAAACTCAGTGACTAAACGACGTAATTAACTGAAGTGATCAATGTGTTAGGCTTCTTCCACTTTCTTTATGTTATTGTTTTTTCTTATCAACTTATAGATTGATTTCGAGGCAGTTTAGTAAAAGGTTTAACCACTAACTAATCATGGAACTAATTCGCAAAAAATAATTACTAAATAGAATAGAACCAAAAAATATGTAGATTGATAAAATTTGTTATGTACATGACGAAGCTTCAAGCTAGGAACCAAAACCAATAAACAAATTTAATTATCAGCAGCCCAAATAAGACCTAAATCTCACACAGTGACACGTGGCACACACCCAAGAGTCGCCTTGGCCAACGCGCTCAACAGGTGGGACGGACACCTCAGCTGCCTCATCAGACCCCAGTGCCCTTTCCCGGACCCACTCTTTCCACCGGCTACAGCCGATTGCTCCCCACCGTTTATCACCGGGAACATGGGCGCCGGAGCGCGCCGACTCTGCCGCTTCCTTATCTCACTCAAGTCCATCTCCGGCTGGTACTTCACCAACCCTATCAGCACCTTGTGCTTCCGCGAATTGCTCGACGGCGACCGGCATTTCCCGGTTGCCGGTACCGGATCCGAACGAGCTGGAGGGGCAGAGGCCTGTGAGAATCTGAGAGATTCGGATCTGGAGAAAAAAGGGTTCTTGATTTGAGGCTCTGGGGTTGGAAGGGTGATGGGTTTTGAGCAAAGTATGGACTTTCCGCAGAAAACGACGTCCATGGGGAGATACCCACAGATTGGGTCGACGCAGAATTCAAAGAAGTCTGCTGGGTCAGAAGAAGTAGAGGCTTTTGGGGTTTCTACTGATTGATCACCATCATCATCGAGTAATAGATCACAAAGGGAGAGTGCATCTTCTTCAACCCCTTGTTGTTGTTGTTCAAAATCAGAGAAGTTTTCCATTTTGATGATTTGGGCAGGGATGAAATTGATGCTTGTTGCTTGTTGCTTGTTGCTTGCTGCTGTTGGTGTTTGATAATTGGGACAGAGGTTATATATATATATGGATGGATCATGGATGGAGTGAGAAAGTGGGCCTTCCTTCTAGAAATGGAGGGGGGGTGGTGGCGACGTGGCGTTGTGGCGTTGTTGATGGTTTTAAAATTGTGAAGCTTCTGGATGAACGAGGAAGAGGTAGTAGAAAATTGATTGAAAAAACAAGACCAACTGGAAGTCTGCATTTGGAAGAGCAGTCAAAGTAGAAAAAGGTTAAACAAAGAGATGGGATGAATGGAGCTGAGGAGGGGTTCATCTAGAAACACTAGAACAAAATGGTGGGTGCGTGAAGAAAACGAAACCTGAGCCTAGAAACCAAGGAAAAAAAAAGACATGGGGCATTCCGAGAATTGAACTCGGGACCTCTCGCACCCTAAGCGAGAATCATACCACTAGACCAAATGCCCGCTGTTGTTCTATTGGCTAACTTTATTAACTATATATGTATTTGTATGGAGGGTTTTTTAATTTTTGATTTTTTTTGAGGAATCAAAATATTTTTTTTTTTGGGTCGAAATTTGAGGAATCAATGTTAAACCCTGAAAATTGGTTTTTGTGTGCAGCTCAGAATTAGAGTGGAGAAGTTGAGCAAAAATGACGAGGGCGGCTCTCTTTCACTTACTGCGATCACAGTCCAAGCAGCTCGCATCCTCAAACTTCCTTTCAGGTTATTCTTCATTCCTTCCTTATATGTTGGCTTAATTTCTCTATCTATTGGGGTTTAGGGTTTAAGATCTCTCTGTCTACCCCTGGTTTTCATTTTCCATTCCAAAATTGTCGAAATGATTGTAAAATATTAAGAACCGAATTGACCAATTCACAAGTGTTACAACAAGAAGCTCAATTTACCCAATTTCTTTATTTTCATTTCAATAACGGTTTGCACAGAGACCATATTCTGGATCTTCTACTTCGGTGAATAATTTGGCACTTTTGGCTTAGCTTCTGGTTTAGGCAAACTCGGTTTGGCAAAAAGGATGTGCCTTTGGTCTCCTTCAGCCTTTCCTCAACCCTGTAGCTGTTGTAAACTTGTTGATAGAAAAACATCTTTCTTTGCACTCAGATGGTGCTTCACTATTGTTCTTGGAAACCCTTTTTCCAAAATCAATTAAGAATGTCTTTTTTTCCCTTAAACGATATTGTTTTCTGGCAATTGGACAATTTTCTCGGGCTAGAGGCCAAGAATCAAGTTTTGCTCTTCCGAGCATAATTAACTGTTTCGTATACTGCTAACACACTGTTTTGGATATGGTAACTGTAAATGATGCTCTAGAAACAATCTTCAGTCTCCTAACTTTTTCTCCTAGTGTAGCAACGACTTAGTTTAGTTTTTGGTTTCATGTTATGATCATAGTTATTAATCTACTCTCTTTTCTTTTGATTGAAGCTTATGTGCATTCGTTGTTGCATTTTGAAATTATATTTGATATGCCAAAATTGTAGCATCTGTTTTTGCTAGCCTACTGTTCAACCCATGAGATTCCAATGTCTTTTTTCAGTAATTTGCATTGTCCTTAACTTGTGTCTACCTGTAAATCCCACTCTCTCTGTCCTTTTCTATTTTTTTTCTATAGCCCACTCTTCTTCTTTTTTCAACTTTTTTTGTTCTGAATTCTTTTGCTATCCGAAATTCCATTTTCCGTCTACTTCTTATACTTACATTTGTTACTATTATTGGTTGTAAAATCTTTTGCTTCAGGTTATCAACCTTGTAGGTCTGGAGCCTTGGCACTTGGCCTGAACACCAAACCCTGTTTCAACTCTGGCTTTGATATCAATGCTTCCCAGAAAAGATGGGCTTCTCATGCCACAACAAAAGAGGATGATGGGAAAATCAGCATTGGACCACGTAGAGGCGGCGAAGTTGGGGAAGATGGAAAAGACTCTGGGGTTGTCTACTATGGTCCGATCTCATCTACTATCAAGAAAGTGAAACTTCTCTCGCTTTCAACCTGCTGCCTTTCTGTCTCTTTAGGCCCAGTGATAACCTTTATGACATCTCCGGGTATGAATGTGATCTTGAAAGGTGCTGTGGCATCTTCAGTGATATTCTTGAGTGCTTCTACCACAGCCGCCCTTCACTGGTTCGTGACCCCATACATCCACAAGCTGAGATGGAAGCCTGGTTCAGACAGTTTTGAGGTGGAAATGTTGTCATGGCTTGCAACATACATTCCAAGGACCATTAAGTTTTCTGATATCCGGCCAGCAGAAACCAATAGGCCTTTTGTGACTTTTAAGGCCAATGGAAACTTTTACTTCGTCGACCCTGATCATTGCCATAACAAGGCTTTGCTAGCAAGACTGACTCCACAGAAAGCAACTCAGGAATCAGCTTTTAAGAATTTGTGATCATTTGATGCTGAGTTCTCAGAAGTTTTGCTCTTGGTGGCCGAATTATGTTATAGAAATCATGTAGTGCATTGAGCCTTTGCGGCTTCTACTTGTTTTTTCATCTGTTTATGCATGAGACACCAGTTTCAGGTTTTTTGATAAAGAAATAATTAATATTTGGGAAATATGACCCTCCATATCCCTAATTTGAAGTATTGCATGATGTTCTTTTGTGAGAATTAGTGCTGCATGTCTATGGTTTCAAACTGATAAAACCACATTAACAGTTAGAAACTTAATGAATGGTCTATATTCTTTGCTTAACAACACAAGCATCTCATATTTTTAGTCCATCTGACAAAAGAAAATTTCTTATATAGCTAGTATCTGTGCATATGTGCATGATATGTTTTGTTTTATTCGTCATTTCAAGTTATCTGTGCATGGCAAACCAGATTTCTCTTACATTGCCAATGTGGGGCTTCAAGCATGAGACTGGGATCATATCAAGAAATTATACCAAGCATGAAGCTATCTCCTATTACTATCATACTTCGAAACGCAAATTCTGTAAACATATCAACAATGATAAGGTTTTTTCATGGCCTCGAAGAAAATTCCAACCAACTATACTTGAAAATTGTTGAAGTAATACCTCCACAGGTTCTTGATTGAAGTCCGCACGCTTCCTTAGTCGAACGAGAACTCCGGATTACGTTCCCGAGGTCAAACGACGGAAAGGGGGTGAGTACTTGCAAAAGTCACTCCGACGCTCAAGTTAGTGTTTGTGCAGCGTACTCTTAGTGTTCAATTGAATTTCTCGTGACTTGGCTGGAGGTCTAGCTTGGTTTTTATAGCGCTTCGAGTTCTTGGGTTTGGCCATACTTCCCTAGCTTTGAGCATCCCGTCCTCCACTTCATGGTAGTGGGATCAGATGATGATTTGCATCTCCCTCGCTCTGCACTTCTCTAGTGGGAGGGAAGCTCGATGATCCCATGTCTTTTGGTCGTGGCATATGGGTTAAGCCGTGATAAATAAGATTTGGTCCCCACAGTGCCTTCCTTTTTTTCTCTCTACACGCTTCGCGAGTGGACATGGAAAAATGATCTAAGTGGGACTTTGGAACAAGATTTCTTCGGGTTGAGCGCATGTCATCCTGATGGGCTCATGGCTGAGCCCAAATAAGCCATACCTTTTTCCCTTGGGCTTGCTGGTCAAGCCCAAAAATATGATTCCTATTGGTTTATCACCAACCCATGCATGTTGCTTTCACACCTTACATGTGAAATATTCAAATATGAATTTTCATGCACGTTGCTAACTTTTCAAGTTCCAACTGTGGACTGCTACCCCTATGTGGAGTATCCAAGTGCGGACAACCGATCCCATGCACAAGTGGACCTTTTTCTTTATTTCGGATTTCTGCACCTTTGCCGATCTGGTGGGCCCCTACGCATTTTCCGCTTTGCTAATCAACCCCAGTTGGGGTGCACTTGGTTTGAGCTTTTGCTAATCCAACGGGCCCCATACCTCTTGGTTTCTCTCTCCTGGCCGATCCCATCCCCAATTGCACTTGGATTTGAGCTTTTGCTAATCCGGTGGGTCCCATGTCTCTTAGTTTCTCTCTCTTTGCCGATCTCATCCCCAAGTGCGCCTGGCTATGAGCTTTTGCTAATTTGGTAGGTCTCATGTCTCTTGGTTTCTTTCTCCTGGCCGATCCCATCCCCGCTTGGCTTTGAGCTTTTGCCAATCCGGTAGGTCCCATGTCTCTTAGTTTCCCTCTCCTGGCCAATCCTATCCCCAGGTGCGCTTGGCTTTGAGCTTTTGCTAATTCGGTGGATCCCATGTCTCTTAATTTCTCTCTCCTGGCCGATCTCATCCCCAGGTGCGCTTGGCGCTGAGCTTTTGCCAATCCGGCGGGTCCCATACCTCTTGGTTTCTCTCTCTTAGCCGATCCCATCCCCACTTGGCTTTGAGCTTTTGCCAATCCGGTGGGTCCTGTGTCTCTTAGTTTCTCTTTGCTAGCCGATCCCAAATGGATTCCAATACCCCTGAGTTGTCCTTCCGAACCCACGCGCCTTCGGTTCTTGAACTGATCCAAGGTGTCCATGCCTTTTTCTTTTTTTTTCGTTCTTCTCTTTTTTCTTACACTTGAGCTATCCATGCGGGCCCCAAAACCCCTTAGCTGTACTTTCAGACCCGTGCGCCTTCGGTTTCTCAATCGATCCAAGGTGTTCACAAACTTTTTTTTTTCTTTCTACTTCCTCTCTCCCTTTTTCCTTTTTCTTTGCGCCTGAGCTGTCCATGCGGGCCCCAAAACCCCTTAGTTGTACTTCCGGACTCGTGCGCCTTCGGTTTCTCAATCGATCCAAGGTGTTCACGAACTTTTTTTTTTTCTTCTCTCTCTTCTTCCTCTTTCCCTTTTTTTTCCTTTTTCTTTGCGCTTGAATTGTCCATGCGGGCCCCAAAACCCCTTAGTTGTCCTTCCGGACCCATGCACATTCAGTTTCTCAATCGATCCAAGAGTGTTCACTTTTTTTTCTTTTTTTTTTTTTTTTTTTTTTTTTGCTTTTCTCCTTTTCGTTTTCACCAACTCCCAAGCGGTCCATGGTCTAGTCTTTGCGTGAAGGGGTGAACAAGCCTAGCTCCGTAGGTGTACGTACTACCTTGCATCACTTATTACTCACGTCTGTTGCTCTCGCTTGTCTTTTGTCGAAGCGCATGCAGCTTTCTGTCAGGAAGCGCATGCAACTTTATGTCAGGAAGCGCATATGTTGGATAGAAATAATTCCGATTGGTCATATTAGACCAGACTTTGTTTCCAAAGCCTAAGGCAAATATCCGAGCCGGCCACACCGAACCTTATCTTTACTTTTGAAAAACTTCTTCCTATGACCTCTATGAATTACTTTCCCAAACTTCGCCCCTTGTTATAAAAGGTTGATCGATAAAATACACCCACCTGTAAAACCATCTATACTTTGCTTTTGTTCTTCATATATAAGCTCTAGGCGCGAAGGGAAAGGAAAGTGTTCTGTTCGTTTGAGAACTCCGCCGAATGGTTCTTGTTCTTGCCACTACTTAGTAAGTACTATTTTCATCTTTACTAATTTCATGTCAAGCCACGAGATTTGGCCCAAGTCCGGTGGTGTCCCACCAAGCTATGAGATACTTAAGGCTTGCACCAAAGGGTGTGTCCCCGACAACGTGGGGATAGATCCTCTGCCTTTGGGGTCGGATATATACACTGGTGCCAGTATCCCTCGGGGTTCCTTAATTCTCTCGCCGGCCCACTTAGAGAATGTTAGGTTTCCACTCCATCCCCTCTTTCATATGCTCCTGTTCTTATTGGATCTTCACCTCATTCAACTAAACCCGAATTCTTACCTTCTCATATTTGGGTTTCTAGCCTTCGATTTGAAGTGGGGTGTGTCTCTTAGCTTTAAGGATTTCATTTACCTCTACGACTTGGCTTGCGTTAGGGGGGAAAGTCACTATTTCTTTTTTACGTCTGGGCATGGTAAAAAGTTATTTACTTGTAAGCCCATTTTCACCAAGTATTAGAAAAACCAACCTCTCTTAATCACTGGGGAGTGAGCGACTCCTGAGATGTCTAACATGCCTATCTCGTTGGTGTTTGGCCCAAAACCTGCACTTTCCTTAGTCGAAAGAGAACTCCGGATTACGTTCCCGAGGTCGAACGACGGAAAGGGGGTGAGTACCTGCAAAAGTCAATCCGACGCTCAAGTCAGTGTTTGTGCAGCGTACTCTTAGTGTTCAATTGAATTTATCGTTCCTTGGCTGGAGGTCTAGCCGGGTTTTTATAGCGCTTCGAGTTCTTGGGTTTGGCCATACTTTTCTAGCTTTGCGCATCCCGTCCTCCACTTCATGGTAGTGGGATCAGATGAGTGACTTGCATTTCCCTCGCTCTGCACTTCTCTAGTGGGAGGGAAGCTCGATGATCCCACGTCTTTTGGTTGTGGCATATGGGTTAAGCCGTGATAAATGAGATTTGGTCCCCACAAACCACAATCAATATAATTTTTCGTGACAAGCCCCCCATATTTCACAATTCTAATGGAAGTAGAAACAATTTTTTTACTAGTTCAAAACAAAGTAATTTAAGATGATAAATAATTACCACTTAAACGATGGAGTTAGGAAGAGGCCAGATTCTGAAACTCCATACAAATGGAAATCATCTGGTGCATGAATTTTGTGGCTTTCAAACCCTTTACAATAATGATTATGAATGAAAATTGTGAAGGCAATAATAAATATATATTTTTTTAAATACACAATATATTGAGGGACAACAAACAGAACATAAGATGTCAACTTTTTATGCGATGTATTGATTTGAGATTATGTACAATTCAACGTAGAGATGATTTAACATCAAGAGAGCATTGTCAATTCTTGACTTTTTCTCTCGATTCACTCAAGAATTAGTGCAACCGACGCTGATGAAACAAGAACCATATAAGAGAGCTTTTGCCACCTTTGTACCTTTTGCACATGGAAACCTTCCACACCAAGCGTAAAGAAAAACTATTGCACAGAAGAAATGAACATATAATTAGAGAAACACATTACTCTTTATGATGATTATACTTCATGACTTTTATAATTGGTGAATATACATTTAGTTTCCTCCAACATCTTATATAAGACTTGATTCCACATATGTAATTAGTGTGTACCTAAGTATTTTCAAATGCTCAAATCTGCTCATGTATTTATGGTTTATTATCATGAACAAGCAGACATGTTCCTACTAAATTGACCAATGAGATTTGTGCACATAACAAACATGAAACTTATTATCATGAGAAAGTAGCTGTTTGTCATACTCATACATATTCAAATGTTCCCATCTCATTTCTTTAAAATGAGACCGACCCCTTTTCTTTTTCTTTTTTTAATTATACAAAACCTGAGGATTTAATACATCTTGTGTGTGGATCATACATAATTTCTCCATGACGAATCATTGGTTTAATCTTTAACACCTAATACCAACTACACAATTATGTGCAAACACATTTTCAATATTGAAGATTAGGTGTTTCAATTGATTTTTCAATTTTTAACTTTGCATTACCTATGGTTTACTCATACTTAAAAAAACTAGAAGAGTAAACAAAAACGCCATGGCAGAGGCTAGGAAAGGGAAAAGGTGGAAAAAGAGACGAGGAACATAATTATCTTCCAATTTTTCATTTCTTAAAATTGCATAACCAAGTTTTTAAAAAGTTTTTTTTTTCCTTTTTCTATGTAAGTCTCAAATCAAGTTTAAGCTAGACCTTAAATTTGGGAATGAAACAAGTAGAAAAGTGACCTTAACCAAAAAAAAAAAGTAGAAAAAAAAACTCTTGTAATCGGAAAAGAAATATAATGAAACCGCTCAAAATTTGACGCAATTATGAGTCAATACTAATTATATATATATTTTTTTTAAAGGCAACAAGATCCGAGCAAAGTATAGCAACAAATTCTAAACACACCACAACTGACACGAATTAAAACCACAAAACAAAACAGCAAAACGACGTCAGATTATAACCCCGCCACCGCCGATCGAGCACCCAGTTCTGCGAACAGCAGCCAAGAGACGACGGAGGAGACTTGAAATTATAACCAACAAGACAGACGACACCTAAGCACCTACCAGAAAAACTAGTAGCAACAACCCATGCTTTATTGTAACCCTTCTCAAAGCGCACAATTCACTTCTTCTTTGCTGCAGATTTGGTCACCTTGGCTCCACTTGGATCCTTCTTCTCCACACTCTTGATCACTCCCACAGCAACAGTCTGTCGCATGTCCCGGACAGCGAAACGACCAAGTGGGGGATACTCGGAGAAGGTCTCCACCACCATTGGCTTGGTAGGAATCATCTTAACAAATCCAGCATCACCATTCTTCAAAAACTTGGGCTCCTTCTCGAGCTCCTTGCCGGATCGTCTGTCAATCTTGGTTAGAATCTCATTGAACTTGACTGCAATGTGGGAGGTGTGGCAATCCAGCACAGGGGCATAGCCATTTCCAATCTGGCCGGGGTGGTTCATGATGATTACTTGGGAAGTGAAGTTAGCTGCCTCCCTGGCTGGATCCTCCTTAGAATTCGAGGCAACAAAACCACGCTTGAGATCCTTGACTGCGACATTCTTCACGTTGAATCCAACATTGTCTCCTGGAAGAGCCTCCGAAAGAGCTTCATGGTGCATCTCCACAGACTTAACTTCAGTTGTCAGTCCAGAAGGGCCAAAGGTCACAACCATACCAGGCTTGATGATACCAGTTTCAACACGTCCAACAGGGACGGTACCAATGCCACCAATCTTGTAGACATCCTGAAGTGGGAGGCGGAGGGGCTTGTCTGTGGGCCTCTTGGGCTCATTGATCAAGTCAAGGGCCTCAAGAAGGGTAGGACCCTTGTACCAGTCAAGGTTGGTAGACCTCTCAATCATGTTGTCACCCTCAAACCCAGAGATGGGAACAAAGGGGATCTTGTCTGGGTTGTAGCCAACCTTCTTCAGATAGGATGATACTTCCTTAATAATTTCATCATACCTTGCCTTCGAGTACTTTGGAGTGGTAGCATCCATCTGTGAACAAAAGCAATTGATATTAAATTATTGATCACAACAAAGTAAAATTTAAATCAAATATAACAACGTACTAAAGCAAGATGTCTCAAAGGTACCTTGTTGCAGCAGCAAATCATTTGCTTAACACCAAGGGTGAAAGCTAGGAGAGCATGCTCACGAGTCTGACCGTCCTTGGAAATACCAGCTTCAAAACCTCCAGTGGTGGAGTCAATAATGAGGACAGCACAGTCAGCCTGGGAAGTTCCAGTAATCATGTTCTTAATGAAGTCACGATGTCCGGGAGCATCAATGACAGTGCAGTAGTACTTGTTAGTTTCAAACTTCCAGAGGGCAATATCAATGGTAATACCACGCTCACGCTCAGCCTTGAGCTTGTCAAGCACCCAGGCATACTTGAATGATCTCTTGTTCATCTCAGCTGCCTCCTTCTCGAACCTCTCAATCACACGCTTGTCAATACCTCCAAGCTTGTAGATCAAATGGCCAGTGGTGGTAGACTTCCCAGAGTCGACATGGCCAATGACCACAATGTTAATGTGAATCTTTTCTTTTCCCATTATAAAAGCTGTTCATGAATTAAGAGAAGAAGAAAAAAAAATGTAAGAAACCCAGTCACAAATTACAGAAAAAAGCCACCACTGACAAAAAAACTTCAATGACAAAGCAAGGTAGGCCTGAAAACCATATCAATATCAAAATACAAATTTATCACCACAAAGGAAATCACTACAGTAAATTAACCGAAGCCAGTTGCATTGGTTAACAGAGCAAACATTTCAAGAACAGAATTTAAATAATAAAAAAGATTTACGAAAAACTTAAGCAGAGTCAGTCAGACATCCTAGCAGATTAAAATTGAATTTAGGATAGCAAAAATTTAATTGTCAGTAGAAACAATCAATAAGATTCAGCAGATTAAAACTGAAACAGAGTACGTAAAAAAATCATATTTGGCAAACAATTGTAAATCAACCAAATCCAATTGCACTGGTTAGCGAAGAAAAAACAAAACGACGAATGACAAAAACCTGAAGCAGAGTTGGTAAATCTAAGTAGATTAAAATCAAAATTGAGAACACAAAATTTCACCAATGTAAAACAGATCAGATATACTAAAAGAACATGTAGGACAGAAAAAACCCAGCGGCAAAGGAAGGCCTATTGATAAAACATGTGCAGTCCTTCTCAAAAGAGTCAGATCTACTATTTAAAAAAATATTACAGAACAAAACATGCAAACAAAACACGCTCACAGACGATCAAAAGCAGAATTCAGAGTTTGATTATTAAGATCAACCATAACGAAATCAGATCCACAACACAAAATCTAAAATCCAAATCACTAAATAGCAATAGCATTCCAACACTAACCAAAACACAAAGATTCAAAGCATAAACCGATTTCAAGATCAGAAACGAACGTATAAAAACAACGAGAGAGATTGCTAACAACGATCAAATGCCATTGATATTAGACGCATAACAAAGAAGAAAAGGAGAGAGAATCGAACCTGGAGAGAGATCGCTGCGCTAAAACCCTAGCGACGAGAGAGTGATAGTGAGGGTGAAAGAGGCACAGATGCAGAGGCGTGAGAGGTGAATAGGGTTTCAGTGTGTTTATATAACAGAGCAATTTCTCCGTGTTCACGAACATGCCCTCGGCACCAGCAATATTATGACGGTGGCGTCCTTGAGTTTAAAAAAAATATTTTATCGGTCTGACGTGGCGCCTTTTGTTACTATGTTTGGCGGATGCCGAAATGCGCGCGTTTCTCTTTTTTGCTTTCCAAAAGGGGGTTGGGTTGTTGTGGGGATTGGCACACGCGCTAAAGAGGAGCGTGAAAGGGTGCTTTTGTGATTGGGGTCCGTGAGGATTCGGCGGATAATCCTAGGACGACGCGGGAAACGGGAAACGCTCTCATGCAAAGCAGGTGATGGCCCATCTTGTCCACGGAAAACGACGTCGTTTTGTTTCTCTTGGGTCTTGGATCTTTCCTTCTTTGGGTTTTTCAATGAGATGGATTTGGGTTTCTCCCAAGGCCCAATTTATAAAACTTTAATAAACAATTTAGACCCTTTTTTCTTTTTCTTTTTGGAATTTATACCCTTATTAAAAAAAACCATTAAGAAAAACAATAATTTTAGGGTGGTGATTTTCCCACTCTCCTTTTGTCCATTTACACTCCATTTTGTTTTAATACTTTTTACTATAACAAAACAATGAGTGTAAGTGAACAAAAGAGGAGTAGGAACGTACAATTTCCAACAAGGGAATATAAGTGGACAAAAGAGAAATGGGAAAATCAAATCCCTAACTTTAAAACATTTCAATAATTTATTCCCAAAACAACTCATTAAGTATTAACAGTTCTGTAACTGAAAAAAAAAGTATTGATTTTTTTCTTTAAAAATTCTTAAGTTTTAGGAGTGAATATATTTTTCAAGATTTTAATTTTTATATCCATATTTATCTATCCATCCATACATATATATATATATATATATATATATATACAAAAAGGCAATTTGGTTAAATTTTCAATCAACTTAAAATTATCCTCATTTAAGAAATATATCTTAAATATTTTGTTCTAAATAGATAAAGGATATTGCTTGCCTCCTTCCTTCCGAGTAAGGAAATACTCTTCCTTCCTGAATCATAGTTTGATACATATGCAAACATAATTCATCAATTACATAAATAAATAATTTTAAAAAAACTTTTGCACACAAGTCACACTTCTATTGACTGGAATGTTGAAGCTCCTACTTATATGGTAATGAGGGAAGTATTTTTCATACATTAAACAATAATCTAAATAACATTCGAAATTTATTGACAAGTGCGTGAGCGTGGATTGAGAAACTAGTACTCTATGTAGAATAGAATTACTACTTAAAAATTACATATAATTAGAATAAGATTACTAGCGTGTCAAATGCATTTGAAATCTAAACTTTGAGAATTCACTTTTGCTTTTTCAAAGTTCGAATGGGAGCTAATTGTTTTGCTTCTAAAGTGGTGTATATATATAAAAAATTTCATCCATGGAAAAATATTAACGACACCAACTTATTACATTAATTTATGGACACCAACTTGATTAGACCAAATACTGGTCTTTGATGGAGATCAAAGAAAATAGACAAGAAATTAAATAGTAGAAAAATGTAGTTGTGATATATTTATTTTCATTATAGGTCCACTCTAAACCTTGTTTATTTACAATAAATAAAAAAATTATCACGTTAATTAGTGTAATAAGTCGACGTGTCTAGAATTATTTCGTTCACGTATTAAGACACCGGAAGCAGCTGAAACCTAACAACGACTACTTTTTCAACTTCTGGATCATTAACTGGGAGATTAATTCGTATTAATGTTAATGTTAATGCTAATGGACCACCACATCATATCATATACGTATAAATATATGGTTGGCAGGTTGTCTGTTTGTCTGTTTGTCTGTGCATGGTCACTGCTGACTGAGCACCTGTCCTCTCCTTTCAAATCCCAAAGTTTGACTTGGGAACTACGATATTCTTGCTTGCTTCTGGAAGCAAAATAAGATATTAACATGAATACGATATTCTTGCTTGTGAAAGTTTCCAGCACAAGGCTTTAGGCTTATTTATATTCATGGGGCACACCTTGGTACACTACAACTAATATATCTTCAGATTTTTGTGCTAGTTAAAAAATTATCAGTAGTTGATGTATGTCAAAATTATAATTGTAGATTCGTAGTTGTAAATTTACGTGGATGTCTTTCTGTAAAATCTACATACAATTACAACTCAAAACTTTATGTATGTGTCGTCTTTGAGATTTTGAGGACCCTGTGCTAAATTTAAATTGGGTCCTCATATAATCTAATGCAAAAATACTTATAACTAAAAGTCTTCATCAATAAACATGTAATGAAAAATAGAAATATTATTATTATCAAAAAATCATTCACATTGTATTTGTTATCTTTATTTGAAGAATTAAAACTATTACAATAGTTTTTTTCTCCAAAAGAACAAAAATACACAACCAACCATACTTAATGTCTGAAAATTGATCTTCTTGAATTTTTAGAAGAAAAATCATTAATCAAATATGTTCATAATCAAGTTTTCTAGAAGTTCACTTCCAATACGTAGAATGACTTCAATGAGACTCGAATACGGACCCTTCTATTAAAAGATATGTGCTACAAGCCAGCTTCGCCACACATACTTTTGTGATAATATGCAGCACGCTAAAGTATATATAACATTCATATAATATTAATATATATATATATATATATATATATATGATATAAAGATTGTTTTTTTTGGAGGCCTCAAAAATCAGGGACTTTGTGCAGTGGTGCCACTTGCACCACCCAAGGCCGCCCCTGGTTGGTTGTCATATATGCGTTGATGTTACGTAATAAAACTGTGTGAGATATTGACTATTGATAATGTTAATTTTGACTCAAATACGTGTGATTTAAAGGCAAGTTGTGACAATTGCGTTAACGTTGGAGCAACTGGAGCAGTGACAAAAAGTAATAGTTACTTGAGGACCACGCAACATGAAGTCATGAGTTAAACCCCAGTAAACAAGTTAATCAGCCACTAATTAAGCTATAGCAAAAGGGTTGAACTAAGACCTGCTCAGCGGCTTCACTGGGATATACTTTGCTGGCCTTTGATTTGATTAATTTCTAAACTTGACTGGTCTCGTTCTCTGGATTTCCCGTTGAATAAAGAAAACAAAGACAAATCCGACCCAATTTTGAAAATCAAACCAATCAAAAGATATATTACGACTTGTTTGGACTTTTAACAGTTGAATGTAATAGTTTTTGCTTTCTTGATGAAGAAGTCTTTGAACCTTCCTTTCTTCATTCACATTCACTGTCAATTTCTTCTGGAACTTATTTGCAAAATGAGAAATTTTTCGGGTTTTTTTTTCTTTTTCCAAGTTTTGAAAATGCTTCTCATTTTGGGTTTTTCTTGTTCTTTTTCGGGTTGATTGATCATTTTGGGTGCTTTGAATTATGAAAAATTCATTCAACAATTAATGGGATGTTTCTATTTGAGCTCAAATTCTTGCTTATCATATTCAAATTTTAAAAAAGAAATTCTCTGTGTCGTGGATTTATGTCACCCCCACAACTACTTCTTCACACGCTACGAACCTTATTGATCATTTTGGGTGGTTTGAATTATGCCAAATTCATCCAACAATCGATTGGATGTTTCTATTTGCGCTCAAATTCTTGCATGTCATATTCAATTCTTAAAAGAAAAAAGTGGTTTGGAGTATTTACCCTCTTAGGCAATGTTCTGAATTCGAGTCCTAGCATTCATGTAGTGTGTGTGAGTTTAGTATGCTATCGCCCCTCTCAATAAGAAAAGTCTAAAAATAAAAATAAAAATAAATTCTAGAAATCCAACGTTATACTGACTGACTAAACCTTTTATTTTCTTTGGAAATTTTAATTATTGGTTTATTTGTTATTATTGTTTATTTGTTTATAGATAGGCCAAAAGAATGAGTGCTATACTACCATCAAAGTGGGACCTGTACACACAAGTCGCACAGAAAAATCTAATATTTTAGCTGCCAAACACATAATAATAACAAATTAATCATTTACTAAAACAAAAAATTCAAATAAAATCAAATGCTTGGTGGTACGTACTACTACGTAGGCTACCTAGCCTCCTTCCTCTAGGTTGACCCAAAAAGAATCAACCACGTGGTGACAAGAAAAGCAGCCCTCACAAAGAAGCAAACACAAAGCTCCAAAAAGGGTTCGAGCCCATTGAACCCATCTAGAAGACTCAAACAATTCAAGTCACAATATTCACCACCCAACCACTCAAAACTTAAGAGAAACTCTCATGTAACGGGAATATCATTTTTTATTATTTTTAATCAAGAATACAATGACATGTAACACCGTTACAAAAGCGAAACAGTACTAACACCGATACAAAAAAGTTTTTTTTTTCCCCAAAACCTTCTCTCTGCAGAAGCAGCCTGCTCTTCTAGAACACCAAGTAAATTAGACATCACTGTCACACCGTCCTGGGCCTCCCTTTTATTCATTTTCTATTTTAAATTCTCTGCTGAAAATTATTTTTCTGCTTTCTTTTGTGCCTCTTCATCTAGAAGCCATCCCTACCAAGCCTTGCCCCACCGAAAGGGTTAAAGATTCTCTCTTTTATTACTTGAATATGAGCTTATGACAATCTTATATATATTTGGGTGCTCTTGCTCTCTCTCTCATCACAAACTACCCAACAACAATTTCATCATAAACTACAGAGCTTTTTGGTTATCTTTCTGTACATCGAAAATGGTTGCCCAAGAAACCCACCAGAACCCAACTGTTCTTGAAGAAAAAACCGAGCAGTTTCAAGATCAAGATCCATATGAAGCGGAGGAAACACTCTCACTTTGTGATCTTCCCACACACAGTGACTCGGCTCATTGGGATGACTGCTCCAAGGAGTATCAGAGCTCATCGTTTGACAATGATGAAGACAACTTCTTTGAGTTTTTCAGTGAAGAGTTCACAGCCTCAACGTACCCATCATCAGGGAAGGACATCATCTTCTGTGGAAAACTCATCCCCTACAAGGAAGCACCAAAAAGCTTTGAAGCAGAGAAAACCCACCACCAGGACAAGGAAATTGGCAGCACAAAACGCATCAGAAAAGGGTTTTTCAGGTCATGGAGGTCCTGCTCTTTCCACAAGACAATCAAGTCCTCCAACTCCAAAATCTCAAAGCCTGCGCTGCAAGGCAAAGACCCTAGGAGCATGAATACCTGTTTGTCATTTCCCACATCGAAAAGTTACAGAAAGTGTGAGCTTTCTAAAGTGTCCATACTTTCAAGCACCCCATCGAAGTCAAAGTGGTATCTCTTTATGTTTGGCATGGCGAGGTTTCCAACGGAGATGGAGCTCAGGGACATTAGAACAAGGCAGAGCAGGAGGAGCCCATCAACCATGTTTAGGTCTTGTGATGAAGGCAGTGATCAAATGGAGGGGCAGAAGGGTAATATGGGAAGGAAAAGTAGTAACAAGGCCAATGGATTGTGGGGGCTGCTGAGAGCTGTGGGGTGTAGGATTAGCCAGCCAAACACTGTAGTAAAGGCAGGCTTCCTTTAGCTGAGTTCAAGATCAAGACATGCCAAGATTGACTATACTTAATTGCTCACATGTGTCTAGTGGATAGAATAGAAGAATATTATAGTGACTCTCAAAGACATTTTTGCAATATTGGGTTCCATATTTTGTAATATATTTTTTTTATGGAGGAAATGAATATGATCAATTTAGAACCTCACTGTGAAGACTATTATCAGCTTCTTCTTTTTGCTACAAAGGTCAATAAATATGGTAGAAATAATATTATTGATTGTGAATAAGAGTGTTTATTTTAAGTAATTCAACGACTTATAACATGTGGTTGATTTTGCGGAGGCTTGTAGCTCTATCGCTAGTGTGTATTTGACCTTTGGAGGAGGGAGATTAGAACATAGGATCTCAAGTGCATGAAAAATTGCTCTAATCACTAAGCGACAAGTCTCTTACAAAGAGTATTCGTCCTTACACCTAAGATTAGATTTCGATATACCGTCTCACTTGACATCTTTATAACCAAAGAATAAAAGGGGGAAATGTGGGGGGTATATCAATGTCCCGTATTGCATTCGGCATTTTGTCCTCCACAATCAGTGTTCGATAGCTTGATTTAAGGTCTGGCACAAAGTTAATAATAATATAAAAGAAGGATTGATAGATATTTACAGAGTTCACCAAAAATGCGCGTTATGTGTGCCTAAATACGCGTAATACATGAATTATTAATAATAATTTTAATATAATTACGGAAACACCAAAGTTTAGTGGTATTCATGTCGGCAAAGTATAATTACGTCAAGTAGCTTCCTTTACTAACTTTGCTCAAGCCAAAGCCAAATGCCGGCCTTCTTTTCCTTTTGCACTTTTGCTTTTCTAGAATATACGGCTATGGGTTGGGGCGCACACAACTTTGCAGGCTAGAGTGATGAACCATTAAACTTGCCAAAAAAAGAAAATTAGTCAACCATGAAAATGAATTTTTATATTCAAATTAAGATTCTCCAACTTATTCTCAATTTAGATCTCTTTCTCCCTCTATTGGGTTTCACAAATCAAATCATTTTTATATCAATAAAGAAAATGAAAATTATTACAAGAAATGCTTCCTTTGTAATGAATAGTTCACCTCTGCATTGCATGTGTATGTTAACAAAACTTTCCTTCTGATGTTTCAAGAAAAGCAAATTTGCCATGGTTCAACAGACTAGATTTCTTTGTTGATACACACAACATTTGACCTTACCTTACATGTCTCTTTGTTGATACAGAGAACATTTGACCTTACCTTACATGTCTGTTCTGTAATAACATATCTAAATGAGACATCAAAACTGGAAATGATTATCAATAGGATCAAAATTTGCTCAGTGAATTTGATAAAGGTCCAGAAATTGTCGTTTCACGCGATTTAGCAATCAAGATTTTTCTTTTCTCCTCATCTTTCCCTCTCGGCTGGAGTCAACAGACACAGTGCCTTTTCTTTTCCCTGAATGTCTACCATTAACACCTTCAGTCACCCCCTCTTTCTGAGACTGCTTTATTTTCTTTTTTGCTTTCTTGGTGATTTCCTCTGCTCCAGAGAACTGCAGCAAGTACCATAACAGGAGTAAAGATTGATTTGAGTTTGCTAAACTTCTCTCTCTCCCTCTCCCCCTCCCCCCACTCCCACTCCCACCTCACCCCCACACTCCGGGTTGTTGTTAATATACATTAGGGGGGGCTGGGATAGTTCAATCCCGCATATAAAGTTTATTTATTTATTCTGACTGTAATGCTATTATGCAATCGCTAGACTACCCCCATAGTTAACAAACAAGATGCCATGCCCAGTCAAATCATAAATGATAAAAATAACAGAAAAATATGGTTTGCTGTGTTGTACCTTCTCAAAAAAGGCCAAATTTCTAGAAGCAGCCTTGTCCATGATGCTTTTGTAATATTGTGTAAACGAAGTATTGCCACTGTGCTTTTCAAGCTGCACGAAATAACCATCTAACAGATCAAAAAACAAGTCACATTCATCAAGTTCCGAAAATAATGACCACAAAGAATGCAGACCTGGAGAAATGATTCTACAGATTGTTGATCTTTTGGTGAAAAAGGCACCTCATCTCTCTTCTTCCGCACAAATTCAATGTTTTGCTCCACCTGCAGTTCAAGAATCAGAGCTTTTTGGTCACATCAGAAAGATAATTCCTATCACATTAATTACATTACCAGCCAGCCATGGAGGCAGTACAAGCAGTCTATTAACAATGTTGGTGAGTTCACAAAAGCCTATAAAGGAGCCATTACTGTGCCAAACATTCTTTTCCATATAATAGTTTTATTCGAATTTCCCTCACACAACTTTGGAAATACGATTTCACAAGATGGTTGACCAGGCTGGACCCAGGCATGAAATAATCTCAGTCCAGCCTGCATTTCAATTTGACAGCCTGAATATTGAGACCACACATGCCTCCCTAAATTTTTTAATAAGCTATGGCCTACTAATGAGGAAATTGGTGGATAAGAGACCTATGTCTCAAGTGTCCCTACCTCCGGAAAATAAATTCCTTTGTCAAGGAGAGAGATGCAAGCAAACACTAAATTCTTCTATGATAACTGTACCTGATCAATAAAACGCTTCACTATACGCTTGAAACTCTCTATAGTGGTTATCTCATGAAACTTCCTCAAACGGACAAGGGGAATAGTCGCCAGATCGGGAAAAGAAATATGATGACTCCACTGAGCAAAGTGCGCTGCAAGCAGTTCGATAACAGATAGAACACACTGTTCTTGGAAGTTCCTTGATTTTAACCAATGCTTTGGAAACTGTACCAAAAATATTTAATAACAAAAATAAGTAAAACCAGACCAAATTGCATAACCAAATTGCACACTTTTTATTTTTTAACGTTACTAATTCCTAACCTTTACAGAACATAAAATATTGGTGTCTTTTCCAGGTTTTCCGACATCCTTGCCAATTTTATATTCCAGTATATCCAACACCACGGAGGCAACAGGAATGAAAATGCCAGTGGAAGAGGAGAGATGATTCAGCCATTGAATGCATTTGATTCTTAAAGGCAAATATCTGGGTCCAGAAAACAAGACAGCCACTCCATTTATAATCTGAATGATTGTAAAGAGCAATGGATGGAGATCATAATCATGTATGTTGGCTGATATAAACATAACCCATAGATCAATGCAACTAGTGTACTGCCAACTGCATATCTTCTTGACTGCTTCCTGGCCATAGAAAATGAGCAGAATTTCAGGGAAAATATCACTGGTAAATTCTAAATACCATAATTTCTTGTCCCACACACACATAAACTAACTTGAAATAGCAAAAAAAAATTATCTGCCTGAACTGAATTTAAGGAAACAAGCAGCTGAGAGGATTGTACTAATGGTGCAATACCTTCTTCTTTGTCAATAAACCCTGCTTCAGTATCTTAGCAAGTTGCTGGATGGACACCGATGCTTTCCTTGATGCTTTTTGCAGATCCACAGAGCATAGCTCCACAAAGGAGTTTCTTAGAAATTGTATGTGTTGAAATAGAACAGGCTCCAAAAATTGGCAATGACCAATAAAGGATTTATATGTATTAACAAAGCAGGTGTCAAAGCAATCAGAGCGAAACACAGAAGCCACATCACGTATGATGAGAAAGGATAGAGATGATATAGTCCCTCTTCCAGTTGCCCACAGATGAACGGCAATCTGCATTTTCAATTTCAAATGTTAGGCATGAATCACACAACATGACCTGGCACAAGATTGACATAAAATATAAAACTTGTATAGCTATATAATATGAATATGGTTATGACTAGCACTTTAAAGATCACTCAAACTTGCAGGATGCCATAAGTTAAACTCACAACTGCTCTGTTTGTGTGTGTTCTTGCATGCATGCAGAGAGAGAGAGAGAGAGAGAGAGAGAGAGAGAATTCTCCATATATACATAAACAAATGCATGATAATTGTATAAAACATCTGTATATGGGATGATACACAGAATGATTTGATGTTAACACCAATGCCATTCATTAATTAAATTTGTACTATCTTGTCATTCATATAGATATACCTTGATGAGTCTGCGGAGCAAAGAAGGAAAAGCAACAAAAAATGTCATAGAAGCTCTGATCCGTGCTAATGAGAAGGCCAATATCTCAGAGTCATTAACCTCATTCAGAAGAAAAAGGGTACTCCTCAAATAAGATTTTATCAGTGGCTTAAGAGTATTCCATTTTGAATTCTTGGTCAAATCCAAATTTTTCTCTTTCTTGGGATGGGAGCTTGACATGCCCATTAGCCCCCTAAATATATTATCAGCCTCATTAAGCATAAATATCAGTGTCTTGCAAAAGGTTTCACTGTTCTGAATTCCATGGCATGAATCAGCATCAATGACCCTGGTTGATTCAGCTCCATAGTGGCAAGCAGCCCGGTACCCATTTAATAGACTAGTAAGTGCAGGCACACTTTGATGCTCCCTGACTAGTTGACACCAAGAATCAATGGCGGAGCTGGTCAACAACTTGCCCCCATTAAAATTCACACCACCTACATTATCTGGCTGCATATCCTCATCGCTGATCTCATCCTCATCAGCATACTGTAAAGTGCATGAGCATAATCGAGAAAAATAAGGGACATCAAACAGCCAAACCAGATGACAGACACAAATTAACTTTTCAATATAAATGGTAGACATCTTTGCTGCTATAAATGATACTAAAAAATTGAAGCGCAATGTCACAATAGATATTACTTACAACTTTGTTTCTGAGCTGTTCAGACCCCTTATGATAGCTTTTTAGAAAGTTAGAAAATTCTGGATCCTGAATTTTTCCAAGCAAGCATGATCATAAAAAAAATGAAAAAAAAATATATATATATATATATATATATATTTAATGGGAGGTGGAGAAAGATAGTGGTAGGATGAGCAAAATAGGGGAAACAGAAGCAATCTTCTTAAAAACATGTACTTTAAAGTAATATCCATGACCATTACCTTTTCCTTCATTTTGTCTAATTTTTTTGTTTTCTTCACAAGTTCCAATTGAATTTCGCTGTTCTGCACAGATAAAGCACTACTACTACTACCAAAGTTGCCTGCATACAAATTTCATAAAATGTAAAATGGAGGGGAGAAGAAAATAAAATTTGATAACAGAATGATACAAAACCAACAGATGGTAGTACTGCCCTCACCTTCTTGAGAATTCTCATTTTCACTATGAGCTAGATGCAGATGGCTCGAGTCCTAATCATAGTAAGAAAAAAAAAAATTAAACATTTAATCCAAAAGGTTCCAGTAGAGTGACTGAAGTTAAGAAGACTTCCCAGGAAAATGTATTTTTTAATACCTCCGAAAGATAGCCATCACTGTCTGAATCATCTCCAAACACATCACTGTCATCTTCACTAAATATTGTATCAAGAGGATTGTCTTCTATGTATTCAGCTTCAGTATTTCTGAGAACAATTCTTCAAATTAATGTTTCTGGAATCCTTTTAATAATGCAGTTTCAGATGGTATAACACTTATAATGCCGATAGAGAAAACTACCAAATGAAAGCATATAGTACTAAAAATAAGAGGAGAAGACGATACAAGTATATGAAATGAAAAAACCATTAAATGAGAAAAACGCCCCTCTTCTTACCTTGCATCAGACAACTCTATCGCGTCCTTTTTTTGTTCTTTAGCAGTATCTTCTTGCCCACCTCCTGCAACAATTGAATTAACATTTTGCCAATACAGAAATCAGAGAAGTAAGAAACACTACATATAGTTAAAGCTACAAAATTCAACAAACCCCAAAATTACATGCATTCAAAAACCAAAGCTTTCACAACATACACCATATTCCACATAAGCACATATAAATTCTAAATGCCAATGCAACAAAAACCCAAGTTATGAACACACTCAAAGAATCAAATCAACTGCTAATTACTAATTATTGAAGTTTCAAACTTTCAATAACTATTCCCATATCGAATTATTAAAATATGTGAGAGCGAGCTTACTCTTTGAAGTTTTCTTTTTGTTGAACTTAGAATTCAACTTGCGGTTTCTTCTGAGCACAGACTGAAGATTCTTCTTCGAAAACTTCCTGGCCTTCTTCCCCAGCTTCCCCATGTCGCTCACAAACTTGCTTTCAACCACATCAACTTCATCAAATAACGAAAACCTCCAAGAAAAATGAAAGAACAGAAAAAATACTCATGAACACAAATATGTTGTATGCACATATATGTGAGTGTGGGTGTGTCTGCTTACTTATCGTCTTCAATGGAAGCTGCTGCTTCTTTTCTGCTCAGGCGCCTCAACTGTGACAAAAACCAACTCCCCTCGTTTAACCTGATTTGCCTCCCCGCTTCCCTTGAACCCAGAACCCAAAACCCAAAACTACATCGTTTTTGTCCTGTTAAAATGAAAGCCTTTACATCTTGGGCTTAGCCTAGCCTAAGACTCGACCAAAAATATGGGCTTAAGCTCAAGTTTGGATTCTGAATGGCACTTTTGGGCCAATTGAGCTAAACCCTATGACCACCATAAAAAATTAAATTAAATAATAAAAAACCGGCCTAGTGCCTATCGATTAGAAGACTACGTGTCAAAAACCGTATTGCAGGGCGGCTATACTATTTTAAAAAAATAAATAATAAAAAACCTGTGTATAGCCGGTCGGCTATACTATTTGATAAATAAATAAACCCAATTATAGCCGAACGGCTATACTATTGTAAAAACTAAATAAATAAATAAAAGACAGTATAGCCGCACGGCTATACTACATATAAAAAATAATAAAAAGAGGATCCGCCTAGGGCCTAGCGATAAGGAGACCACGTGTCAAAAACTGTATAGCCGTGAGGCTATGCTATTTTAAAAAATAAATAATAAACAAAACCTGAGTATAGCCGTGCGGCTATACCATTTTTAAAAACTAAATAAATAAATAGAGACGGGTATAACGGCACGGCTATAGTATTTATATATACATATAAAATAAAAAAAGAGCACTTGTCTACGGCCCAATGATTAGGAGGCCACGTGTAAAAAAAAGGTTATAGTCGTGCGGCTATACAATTTTAAAAAATAAATGATAATAAAAACAGTGTATGGCAGCCCGGCGACACTATTTTTTAAAACTAAATAAACAAAACCCGAGTGTAGCCGCCCGGCTATACTATTTTAAAAACTAAATAATTAAATGAAGTACTGTTTTTTTATTTTTAAAGGACCTTTGCATTAGTTTACATATATTAATTTGCTAGTTTCAACATATCTAAAGCATATATTGAAGATAGATAAATTTCAAGGTGAATCAATCTTAGAGTTCAATTTTTTCTTCTTCTTTTTTTATGGGAAACATACTTTGGACTATAAATGTATGTGTTTTTTCCGAAAAATAATTGTATTACTCCCACTTTTCTTGATTATTTTTTTGTAAATTGGATTCCCACATAATGTATGTGTGTCTTTTCTTTAAAAGAATTGTATTACCCTTATGTATTTTTTTTTTTTCTTTCTAAATTATTATTAATTAAAAATTCTTTAAACTATTAAACATAGATATCATCAACAAAATTTATTAAATTTGATAAGAAAAAAAAAAAAAAAAAAAAAAAAAAAAAAAAAAAAAAAAAAAAACCTTAATTAAAACTACTTTTGCTAACTTTTTTTGTTTTTTTTCCATCAATGCGTGTGTACTACTTATTGGATAAATCTATGAGCAAGCATCACTTTGATGCGGTAGGTATTCAGGTAGGGCTTGCTACAAAGACATGAGTTCATTACTTGGTTAATTCGATTTCGATCTAAATGTGCATGCCTCATGTCCATCAATGCTGTCTATAAACGGGTTCCACAACCCCATAACACACTCCAAAAATAATGATGAAATTTGAATGTCATGGTTTTCTAACACAACCAAAATGTTATGAGATTTCAAATCTAAGATCTCTGGTCTATAAATCGAAGCCTTTTTAAATAGGAAAAAAAAAAAAAAAAAAAAAAAAAAAAAAGAAAAAAACTTGATCTTGACTTATGGTATATATTTATGCCTATGAAAATGCTGCTTATCTCAACTTTTCTCCCCTTCCTGGCACATCGTTTGACACCAGATCATTACATTGAAAAGACAATCATACGGTATAATTCAAAGTGAAAATGCCACGTACGTTGACAATAAAAGAAAATTAGGAAACTAGTTGGACTGATCGTGGATATATTGCTTATAAGGTATGGCTATTGATTTGTCTAGCATCGTTGACAAAATGTGATTGTTAGTTGAAAGCTACAAAGAAATCAATTAAAATCACACAAAGTCACAATTGACTAACATGATTGCATGAGCACCTGTGACAGAGTGAAGATTACTCAACGTGCACTCCAAATCCAGACTTAATAATTGACAACAGGTAAGGATAAAACTTCATCACTCATCATGTCAATGTTGAGAAAAGGTCCATTATGTGCATAAGTTCAAACCATCCGATTCAAAATCAAACGAGAATCAACTTGTATTTACTTGCTTCGTTTTTGGTTTTGATTATTCTCTAGAATTGATAAAGTTTAAGACGTTAGAACTGTAGAAATTGAAAAAGAATATGACTTTACAATGTTAGTATGCTCTAGAATGGGCTAACTAATGAATAAAAAAAATGGGATTTGAGTATTAAACCGATCTAAACCGCACCGTGTCACCTAACATAAGCCTTACTCTAATTGCTTACAGGACCAATAAGGAGAAGAATATGTATACAAGTTTCCGCAGGCAAGTATTCCCTCTGATCATCTAGGAGCCTACAATTTAATATCATTCACGTGCAAATGAGGCAATTGGCATGTGACACCATCAATGTTGCCACCAAATTCAAGCCCCTCTCTTTAAAATTCTGTGTGGTGGCCTCACAAGAATATATGTTGAGATTAGCTAAAATGGGATAATGGGGCCAAGCCTTTCTGTACACTTTAGCTAAAGTGGATAATGTAGGGTTTCTTCAGACACCTAATCACCTTCTTATATACAACTAAAGACTGCAGAAGTTAGTCTTGGCTACAGCCATCATTGCTAAATGAGATTTTATGTTTGCACCACTAAAGAAAGTTTTATACTTGATATGCAAGTTATATAATTCTTATACCAAATTGTTATTATCAGTGCTTTGAATTTGATTGCTTGAAAAAGAAGGAACCTTTTTGTTTCTTCCTGTTTTTAGATTTGTGAGGCATGCCGTGTTTGGAGGAAGCAGAGAATTGCTGTGGTTCCTGTTGCAGCAGATCAGATGATGGCTATCCAAAAAAATAACTACTACCGGTACTGGTACTTTGAAAAAGTAAAACAGAAGGACAAAGACAGCGAGGTTGTTGTTGTTGTCTAAATTGTTTTTGTTTCTTGCTAAAATAGAAACCCCAGTCTGTAGGCCCTTGAGCTTTCCCTTAACCCCCCATTCCCACCCCTACTCTGGTAAGCTTGTTCTGTTTTCGAACGTTGAAGCTTTCTTCAACAAGATCTGGTCCCCTCTCCTCTTCTCTTTCTCTCTCTCCCCTTTTATTCACAAAAGCCTCCTGCTAAAAAACCCCTTTGGGTATTTTGTGTTTTTTTTTCAAGGGGAGGGGGAGTTCCCAAAAACTCACAGAGATCTGGGAATTTTCAAGCAGAGGTAAGTGTGTGTGTCCTTTTGTTTTGGCCTGTGTTTTTCTGATACATTTGTCCAGTACATGGTCCTAAACTTGTGGGTTCTGCTGTCATTTTATCACTCTCTCTCTCTCTCTGTGTCAGTGTGCCTAATGCCTATAAGTTGCTGCAAGTAGAATATTTTGATCTGGGTTCTCTGGTTTTTGTGAAGATCTTGCAATTTTTTCATCTGGGTCTGGCGCCATTTATTGTTTGCATTAATGAATCACTGAAAGTTTGTATCTTTATTTGTTGTGTTGGCAGTTTTTTATTTATTTAGTTTTTTCCGTTCTTTTACCCTTTCAAATTAGGGGGTTATTGATTGTGTTTATTGGGCGTTGAATTAGATCTATCTATATTTAAGATATAACCTTCCAAAAAGTCATAATTTGATGGTTGAGCTATACCGAATTCGTGCTTATTTCCATTCCTTGTTTGTGTAGTTTGAACTTTGACTTTCAACTTTCCCGGTTCATTGACCCTTTGAATTTCCAGTACATTTGATAAATTTCATAACTTTCCTTGTTTATTAATATTGCCTAGGTGCCAAATTTCGTAACTTGTTTTGGCAGCATGCTTTGCTAGGAAATGGGGAGGAAAGGGAGTTGGTTTTCTGCAGTGAAGAAAGCCCTCATCGCTGATTCAAAGGAAAAGAAAGATCAGGTTTGCATTGTTCAATTGAACTTACATCATCCAATATTGAAGATTATTATGAGTTTCTAATTCAAAATAATTTTACGTTAATTCTAGAAAACACGCAAGTCAAAGAAAAAATGGTTTGGGAAGCAAAAGAATGAGGATGTGGTTTCTTCATACGAAGAAAGTGCGTTGGTTATCCCTGTCCCTGACACGACCCCTGCCCCTCCTCCTCCTCCTCTGCCTCCAAAACAAGATGTCAAATTAGCTGAGGCTGAGAATGCACAGAGCAAGCATGTTTACTCTGTGGCACTTGCCACTGCTGTGGCTGCAGAGGCTGCTGTTGCTGCCGCTCAGGCTGCCGCAGAGGTGGTTCGTCTTACTGCTGTGCCTGCGCCCCATTACTCAGGAAAGTCGCTTCAGGAGGTAGCAGCTGTCAAGATTCAGACGGCATTCCGAGGGCACTTGGTAGGTCTTATTTTGCTATATTATTCTGTAATCCTAATTGATTCATGTCCTTAACTTTTTAGCCATAAGATGTTTGATTTGTGATAAAATGTAGAAGTAAACCTTTTGTTCTTGTTATGGAGAAGAACTTAGATTTTTTGGAACAATTTACTTATTTTTTTATATGAGGAACAATCTACTTATGATTATTACTTAATTGTTTGGGAAATGAGCCTTTCATATCTGGTTCTATTGAATTGAATCAGTTGAATTTTGGTGTCGGTTCAACTTGAACAAGATTAGGGATTTGGCATTCAATAGCACAGGGCTTGTGCTAACTGATTTGCCTCTTTTGAGAAATATGCTTGCATTTATGTGTCAACTTTAGTGATAACATTTCAAGGTCAACTTCTATATTATAACTGAATGTTGACAGCATGTACAAAAGTTATTCTGTTTTGGCAAAGCAATAAATAACAATCTACTCTCATAACTTCAACATATCCATTATTGAGCTATGAGCTGTATGTGTTAAATGAGCGTTTATGTAATTTGTGATTTTCAGGCAAGAAGGGCATTGCGGGCTTTGAGGGGGTTGGTGAGGTTGAAATCATTGATAGAGGGCCAATCTGTTAAACGGCAAGCAACTACCACACTAAGATGCATGCAGACTCTTGCTCGTGTGCAGTCTCAGATTCGTGCAAGGAGAATTAGAATGTCTGAGGAGAATCAGGCACTTCAGCGACAGCTCCAACACAAACAAGAGAAAGAGCTTGAGAAATTCAAAGCTTCTGTAAGTTTATAAACTTTATATTATGTTTATTTAAGCTGTCTATGTGTGCTCCTGTACAATTGTGATGGTTGTGGTTTGTTCATCTATTTTCATCCTCTCATTCGCTTTGTTTTTCTTGTTGGTCAATTCCACAATTTGCTTGTATTTGCTCTGCCATTTGTGTGCATCTGAGTTGCAATGTTCTGGTGAAATTCGCCAGAAAACTTTTTATTAAAAAAAGAAGAGAAGATTATTAAAGTTTTCATCTGGATCCAATTTCACGTTAACTTTAAAAAAGATTCTAAAAGAAGCAAAAATTTAACTCTCTTTTCTCCAAAATGTAAAAAAAATTGGTTTGAAGGGCCATAGTTTCACAACGAACTTCACTGGAATTTTTGTATCGTTCAGTTGTTTGTTTTTACATTTAGCAGAAATTATATGGAGGAATATTTGGTTTTGCTTCCATGCACCGTTCTCTGAGCTTAATTTCCAATTTATTTCACCCTCTAGATTTAGATTAGTAGAAATCTCTCTCTCATCACACACAAACGTGAAGACTTAGATATCTCTACATTTTGTAATCACCATACTATCCTAGTCGGGCTTTAATCTTTTTTTATTTATAAATATATAATAAACTTGTGACAGATGGGAGAAGAATGGAATGATAGCACCCAATCTAAGGAGCAGGTTGAGGCAAAGCTACAAAGCAAACAAGAAGCTGCTATAAGAAGAGAAAGGGCTTTGGCTTATTCATTCTCTCACCAGGTAGCCTAGTTTTCCCTTTTGCAATTTTTTAAAGGATTACAGGCAGTCTATTGTTGGCAATTTTTGAAATATGATTTAAGATTTTGTTGTGATGTCCCTAAGTGACTAGTAGGGAGTTGTAAGTTAAAATCTATTTGATATCTCACTATTATTGTTAGTATATTGAATCAAACTTCAACCTTAAACTGACCGGATAATAATATCTCTTTAACAGCAAATGTGGAAGAACTCTTCAAAATCTGAACATCCTACGTTCATGGATCCCAGCAATCCCCACTGGGGTTGGAGTTGGTTAGAGCGATGGATGGCTGCAAGGCCGTGGGAAAGCCGAAGTACAGTAGACTACAATGACAGGGCCTCCATGAGGAGTGCATCTAGCCGTGCCTCCATGTCCGTTGGGGAAATCACCAAAGCTTATACACTTCGTGATAATAAGCCTTCCCCTAGGACCCCTACTGCCATAAAATCAAGCAGGCCTCCTAGTCGCCAATCCCCTTCAACTCCTTTCTCCAGGGCACAATCTTCATCATCAGTGACAGGGAAAACGCCAAGAGGAAATGGCTGGGGAGGAGATGAAGACTCCAGGAGTACATTCAGCGTCCAGTCAGAGCGCTTCAACAGGAGGCATAGCATTGCAGGGTCCTCTGTGAGAGATGACGAGAGCCTTGCAAGCTCGCCTTCAGTTCCCAGTTACATGACACCCACAAAATCAACAAAGGCCAGGTCTCGGTTGGCAAGCCCAAGCTCAAACCAGTTTGACAAGAATGGGACACCATCAGAGAAGGGATCAGTGAGTTCTGTAAAGAAGCGGTTGTCATACCCTGCTTCTCCAGCTGGACCAAGAAGGCACTCAGGTCCTCCTGGGGTTGATACTAGCTCTGTTAAAGGCACTGCCGTGCTTGCAAAGAATGTTAGCAATGGAGGGGGCAACAGGTAGTGATAAGCCTAGTGAGGTGTGCATGTAAAATAAAGCACGAATGTACTTAGGTAGATGTTGAGGTGAAGAAGATTGAATAAAAGATGGGTCAGGGCTTTGTTAGAGGGTGGAGGAAAGAGAAAACAAAAATTAGTTTTGTGATTTTATGTCTGTTTCAGTTGTCTTCATCATTAATGTCAACATTTTTTTTTTCTTCTCAGTAACCTTTGGCTGTTAGGGTTTATTATTTATAATGTAGTAGCCTAGCACGATTGGACTGGAGGCTGATTCATGGTAACAGATATGATTTCTTTAGCTGTGTACAGATTGCTGTGGTTCTGTTTTCCTCATTTGGTTCCTCTATTTCTGTTTGTTCCTGGATTCTTGAGAGTGCAAGGGAAACTCAGTGCACCTTGTTTATGAATCATTTGTATTGACTCATCGTTGCTTCATTTTTCAGTGGATAAAGTTAATTTGTTTCTAACTTTTCTTCTTGCCACTTCTCTAACATTCATCAACATAACCATGAATTTCTTAATTTTTTATTAAACAGTATCTCCGTGCGGCTATACTCGGTTTTTTAAGTTTTCTTTACAGAAATAGTATAGCCGGGCGGCTATACTCTGTTTCTTTTAAAGAAATATCGGTTTTTCTATTTTTTATATAAGAAATTGTATAGCAGCGTGGCTATACTCTGTTTTTAAAGAAATACAGGTTTTTCTAATGGCTATACCGGATTTTTTGAATATTGTTCAAAGAAATAGTATAGCCGGTTTGCTTTTTTTTATTTTTATTTTTTTATAAAGAAATAGTATACCATACGCTTGTTTTTTAATTTATTTGGAACAAATCGTACAGCTGCGCGGCTATACTCTGTTTGTTTTAAAGAAATATCGGTTTGTCTAATTTTTTTAATAAAGAAATAGTATAGTCTCCCGGTATGCTCTGTTTTTTGAAAGAAATATCGGTTTTCCTAATTTTTCTTTAAAGAAATAGTATAGCCGGGCAGCTATACTCTGTTCTTTCAAGAAATAGTATAGCCGACGGGCTATACTCGGTTTTTGAATATTTATCAAAGAAATAGTATAGCCATGCGGCGATACGCAGTTGTTTCTAATTTTTTTAAAAAAGAATTCGTATAGCTGCACGGCTATACTCGGTTTTCTCAAATTTGTTTTTACAGAAATAAGATAGTCGCCCCGCTATACACTGTTTTTTCAAAAGAAATAGCATAGCCAGACGGCTATACCCGATTTTTTGTTTTTTTTAAAGAAACAGTGCAGCCGCGTGGCGGTATGCTGTTTCTTTTAAAGAAATATCGGTTTATCTACTTTTTAATAAAAGAAACAGTATAGCCGCTGGGCTATACTAGGTTTTTCTAATTTTTTCAAAGAAATAGTATAGCCATGATTTGTATACGTCTTAAAAACTTGGTAGAATTCACATTTTTGAAAACGTAAACATTCAAATCTCGTGTTGAACTTGTATATACATATTTGTTAATGTTTAATACACATATTTTTTACAACATTTTCAATAATACACAATAGATTCATATAATTCTCACATATTATTGAATACAAATAATATATAAAAAAATATTTTAAATAAAATATATTAAAATATTATATAGTGGCCCAACATAAAGTTATTTCAACTGTGTATATTATTGGGTGCATCATTAAAGATTTGATGACACTGGGCCTAGTCCGAGGCCCAAATGTTTCTAGTGGGCCGTCACTTAAGTGCTTGGCCTGTTATGCTTACACGTCGCAATATGATAGGCTCCTGGAGATTAATGGACGAATTAGAATTAAGATTAGGAAACATGTTGGGCAAAGCACAAGGCCTCTTCCCCAACTCAGAAGCTAAAGGCAAAAGCTCCGAGAAAGTTCTGAATGAAACCCCGAATTCTGAGCTCAGGCACGATACTTTCGACGCAATGGTGAGAAAAATCTCTTTTTCCCCACCTCCTTTTTTGCTTTATTTCGCTTCATGTCTGCCTCAAAAGCAAATTTAGTGTGATTTTGGTACTAGGGTTCACAAAGATTTAATTTTTGCTCTTGCTTGTTTCCATGGGAACTTAATTTTATTGAAATTTATGAGATTCAGTTAAATTAGAAATAAAAATAAAAACTTTTTCTTGGTAGATTGGTACAGCAGGGTTTCTGCTAAATCCTAAATGTGGCTCAGTTTATTGACTTGCTGCTGTTATGCCCTTTATTTCACACTGAAGAGCTGTTTTTGTCAGTGTAATTATTGTTCTTTGTCTTTCTGCACCCATGCATGCTGGAAAATGTATTTGAGATGCAACCAAAACAAATGCATCCCCACATGGAAGATAGGGGCGTTGATCATAGAAACAATGGTTTTGAAGTGCTGCTTTGGGTTTCCTAATCAAGATTGTATGACCATGATTAGGACAGTTTGCATCTTGATAAAAGGCCCACAGTTTCATATGTATTCCTTCACATGGTCTGGTCATGGTTGGATGTTATTGTCTCTAGGACTTTCCATCTCTAATTAGAGGGATCGTGATTTTTTAGAAGCCTATGTGTGCTCTACGTATGTTTGGAGTTGGCTTTAAGAGGGCAGATGCTGTTTTGTCAATTGATGTCATGCCCTTTATGCATTTGATTCAATATATCTGTCGTGCACGTATATATTGTTTGAAACCCTCTTTGGTTAGAGCCTTCTTTTGATTGTCCAAGTGATGTTATGTGTTCTATGCTTTGGCACCTTGTGTGGCTATTAGTTGATGGTGTCTTTCTGGATTGAACCATGTGCATGTTATAATGTTCAGTAGAACTGGTGGAAATTCCCCTTTTTTATGACATGGGGCAATGGTCTTGAGAAAGGAGTTTAGTGTACTTAAAAATACCTTAGAATTAAAATGAAAAATTACAATTCTGTTGAATTAATGAACTTGTAGATGTGCATCAGGCTACACCTTTTCTGGCTGGTCTTGCAGTAGCTGCTACTGCGCTTGCTGGTAGATATGGTATCCAGGCTTGGCATGCATTTAAGACACGACCGCCAAAACCTAGAATGCGGAAATTTTATGAAGGTGGTTTCCAGCAGACAATGACAAAGAGGGAAGCAGCTCTTATTCTGGGTATCAGGTAAGAAGGGTTTTTAAAAATAAATAAATGTACATTGTAGGATATTATCCTAGCCTTATTATCGCTGTTTATTTATTCGTAGTAAAGGAAAATGAAAGGAATATTGAATTGGTTTCAACCAAAATGATGGACAACTTGAAATCATAAGGAGTGAAGCTCTGACCATCTTATCTTCTCTGTTTGTAAGCAAAATAGATAATCCTTTTGTATGGTTTCACAGGGAGAATGCACCTGCAGACAAGGTCAAGGAAGCACATAGAAAGGTGATGGTTGCAAACCATCCTGATGCAGGCGGTAGCCATTACCTAGCATCCAAAATCAATGAAGCAAAAGATGTGATGCTTGGAAAGACAAAGGGCAGTGGATCAGCATTTTGATGCATTTAAAATGCCTCGACTTCACGCCGTGTGCTAAACAGTAAAATAATTCCCCCTTCATTAAGTTCATAGGAAGCAGTGGTTGCTCTTGAGTTATTTTTGTCCAAATATGTATGATCTTGATTCTTGAGTAAGAGGAATCCCATTACACCTGTCTGTGCATGTTCAATTTTGTTCAAAAACTGATAAGGGCATCCTTATATTGAAGTGTATTTAAGTTTTTTTAAACACATTTTTGCAGTTTCAATACAATTTGAAATCTTTTGGATATGGATATAAAGCTGTTCTGATTTCATCTTGACCATCAAATTTCCTCAATGCATACAACAATCCTACTACATGGCTGGTAGCCAGTAGGTACTTTAGTCGTTATCTTGCCTTGTGATCAAGGGAGCCAATACCAATGATTAACAAACATAAAAATCATTATTTTCAGAGGATTATATATTAAATAAATATGGATTGGCAGACAGCTGGGAATCTCCAATTATGATGTTTCAATAAATGTACTGATAATTTACATGTGAAAACTCCGGATGGGACCTTAGAAGTGGTTATTTATGTACAAACAAATCATGTGGTCATATGTCATATAATGGGATGGCACACACATTCTCTTCTTTGTTCATATACCTTTTGTCTAGGCACAAATTTTCATAACAGAATTCTCTTTTGGGATTTATGACAAATTATGTCAATTCAATCTTGACTCAAGCCTCATCTCCATAAAAGATCATGAATATTGACTTTTTATTATTATTATATGCAATTGGAAAACGAGTTTATATGATTATACAAATAATCATTATGCGTCTGAAAGTTTCGAATCTCTAACCAACTTAGCCATATCCCACTAGCATGATTGAACTTAATTGAGCTTGCTATTAACAATATAGGACCATAAAAAGAAAAATTGAAAGAAAAGTTTCTATTTTTTGTGTGTTTATAAACACATATTGCAAGTTGGACAGATTTAATACACCACAACAACATGCCCAAGTAAAGCAAATCCATATTCTGAATTTGGTTGATAAAATTACAATAACTATTTTGGATATTGGAATGGGAAAATGTATGTCTTAGTCTTACTACAAACCAAAATTTTAAAAAAAAAAAAAAAAAAAAAAAAAAAAAAAAAAAAAAAAAAAAAAAAAAGGAGGAATATAGAAATGGAATAAAAATAAAAAAAAATTGGTTTTGGGAGGATTTTAAATTGTGAATTACTAGGAATCCACGAGCCCAATGTGTATGTGTCATCCTCTCTCCTACAGAGTCCCTGCGTCAGCTTTTTATCCATTCAGCATTCATTATCCGAAGAATAAGATCAGTTCAAAAATTTTAAAACAAAAAGGAAAATTGCAAAACAAAATAATTAAAAATGAAAAAAAATAAAAAAATAAAAAAAAGAGAGGCCTGGTCTTTAGCTGCCTCTTTGTTCTTCACTTCTGGTTGTTTTGCTCTTCTTCTTCCTTTAATCCCACCCAAATCTCTCGGTCACAAATGAAACACAGAGCCTGTCCAAACCCAATAAAATCTCCAATCTTTCTCTGAATTTGGCCAAGCCTCTTTCACAAACACAATCTGCCAAACAAATGCTCTCTCTCTCTATCATGGCTTTGAATCCGTATTTGAAATGCAAAGGCTGACACTTTGTACTCTGAAGAAATAACGAGACGCTAAAAGCGAAGAAATTTAAATCTGATTGAACAGAAGTTGAGCTGCCCATAATGGACGCATAGGGTTTTCGTCGTTGCGGATTCAACAGTCGGTGCAACCTTCATATTCGGATCTCACCCGCCCGGTCCACTCAGTTCTGTGGTGTATTTCTATTACTCTACGCTGTTTCTATGATGAATTTAATCCATTTGTGCTAATTTTGTGGAAGAAAATTTGTTTTGTATGTTTCTGTGCGTAACGGTTCCTGTGGATTTTGTTGGAAGCTTGATAGTTATCTGGGACTGAAAGAATCTTGAGTTTTGTTAGTAATGTTGTCTGCAAATGACCCGGTTGAATCGTTTTTCAATTCGATTCAACTTGTTAAGGAAGCGCTTTCGCCGCTGGAATTGAGTTTTCGAAAAGCGGCCGAGGACTTTGAGTGTTGCTGGGCAGGGCCTAAGAATAAAGTAAATGCTGTTGATTTGGTTTATCAATTTGATGGTGTTGATAAGAATGGTAAAGCTCAGATCTTTGGGGGGAAGAAGAAAGCTGGTCATTGTGTCACAGTTGGCGGCGATGAGAGGACGAAAGGGTTGTCTGCTAAGGTTCCTATAAAGGCGTTGTTTGGGAAGTTTTCCCAGAATTCTGGAAATGAAAATCGACCTGAGGTGTCAAAGAGTGGGTTGACAGAGAAGGAGCGTGCTAAGGAGGATGGGTCTTGTGTGAATTGTTTGCAGTTTGCTGTAAATTGGTCTGTGTTAGCTAACAGTTTTGTTCAGGCATTTCCGGGTCCGTTCAAATTGGGTAAGAAGCGGCTCCAGAAAACGAGTGATGAGGACAAAGCGTGTTCTTGCAAAAAGCCGAAGGTTTCTGGTGACTTGAAGCAGAGGGAGTCTAAGGGCCAGCATGCTAGAACAATTCAGAATGAAGTTGTGTCACATAACAAAGGAAAACATGTATCACTAGAATGCCTCATAGGTTTTGTTTTTGATCAACTAACTCAGAATCTTCAGAAGTTTGATCATGGTGTTCAAGAAAGTGGTCGAGAAACTTGTGAAACTTCCCCAGAGCCGACTTCTTCTTCCCAAACTGATCATTTCAAGGTGATTACAGGTTTGCTGGAAGGTCGAAAGGCAGATGTAAATGGATTTCTGGGAAACTTGAAGTTTGCGAGAGTGGGAGGAGTGCCATCGGGCGTTGTTGGGGTAACCTCTTCAGTTAACGAAGAGGGTGATGAGGATGTTACTGCAAGAAACAGGGCAGAATCAGCAGGCAGTTCACCACAGAAGCTTGCTAGTGATATTCTTAGTATTCCTCTATCAAATGTAGAGCGTTTGAGATCCACATTATCCACTGTTTCGTTGACTGAATTAATTGAGCTTGTACCTCATTTGGGGAGACCTTCTAAAGAGTATCCTGACAAGAAGAAACTATTCTCTGTCCAAGATTTCTTTAGGTACACAGAGTCTGAAGGTATGTTGTCTCAGGTAGCTTGGTACCTAATACGTACTGTGGAAATGGATGGTGCTTTGTTTCTTTCTGTAAAAAAGGAAAAAAAGGAAGATTCCAAAACAGAAGTTTATTCATGCTAATTCATGAGCTTTATATTCATTGAATTTGTAATAAAAAGCTATATAATGACTTCCAACTTGTTCAATTTTGTGTCTATACAATTATATAATTAACACATTTTACACCATGAATGCATCTAGGAAGGAGATTCTTTGAAGAACTAGATAGGGACAGAGATGGCCAAGTAACTCTGGAAGATCTCGAAATTGCAATAAGAAAGCGAAAGTTGCCACGGAGATATGCTCACGAGTTTATGCGCCGTACTAGACGTCACATATTTTCAAAATCATTTGGCTGGAAACAGTTTTTATCTTTGATGGAACAGAAGGAACCAACCATTCTACGTGCATATACGTCTCTATGCCTCAGCAAGTCTGGAACACTGCAAAAAAGTGAAGTATTGGCATCACTTAAAAATGCAGGACTTCCAGCTAATGAAGACAATGCTGTTGCTATGATGCGATTTCTCAATGCCGACACAGAAGGATCTATTTCTTATGGCCATTTTCGGAATTTTATGCTGTTGCTCCCTTCTGATCGACTTCAAGATGATCCTCGGTAAGATGAATTGCTCATTGTAGTCAGTCCCTTTATAAGCAAGCATAGGTAGGTCTACTTAAAGTTGTGCACAAGCAACAGTAGTAAGCCATGAACCCAAATGGTGAATGAACTAAATATACAACATACTGCATTCACAGCACTGGAGCGTATTTCATTTTCCTATCGGTACAGTGAACCAAAATGTACCAAGAACATGGTAACTTTGGTTAAATCTGTGGTCGGCTCTTGGATATAGTATAGGTGTAGTCTGGAGTTCGATTCAATTATTTCGTTATTTTATTGTCTTTCGTTTCTTGGTCTGAAATGGTAACAGTTCCATTATTCTTTGGTAATTGATGCACATTTATGGAGAATGAACTATTCAATGAATTAAGAGTAATGCAGAATAAATTGCACTTTAGAAATCACATCTGTGTATGCATATTTTTAAAATTCTCAGTAGGGCTAGTGTCCACAAGCTAGTAGGATACTCCTAGCTGACAGTAACTTCTTCATAATCAGTAACTTCTTCATAATGCATACAGGAGTATCTGGTTTGAAGCTGCCACTGTTGTTGCTGTTGCACCACCTGTGGAAATACCTGCTGGAAGTGTACTAAGATCTGCATTAGCAGGGGGCCTTGCTTGTGCACTTTCTACTTCTTTATTGCACCCAGTTGATACAATTAAGGCAAATTCCCTGGCTTAGGAATTTGTACTCACGTAGTCAATGTTAATAGTTTTCTGTAATTGGTGATGTTTCTCTTTGGTCTTATGTCTTAAAATGCATCCTTTTTAGACATTCTCAAGTTTTCTTTATGTTTGACAGACTCGTGTACAAGCATCAACATTAACATTCCCCGAAATTATTTCAAAGCTTCCACAGATTGGAGTGCGGGGGTTATACAGGGGCTCAATTCCTGCCATTCTTGGACAGTTTTCAAGGTTTTTCTTTTGCCCCTTCCAGTAATAGAAAAATGAAGTAGTTAATTTTAGCCTTTACTTTGAGTAATTCTCTTCTTCTTTTTTCTGGCTTATTTGTTCTCTTCACATTACAGTCATGGCCTGCGAACTGGGATATTTGAGGCAAGTAAACTTGTGTTAATAAACTTTGCTCCAACGCTCCCTGATATACAGGTAATGATTGTTATTTTACTATTGCTAGTTTCTATTTTCTTTGTTCTGTCACACGTGCATTTCTGTTTTGCATCTTCATGTGCTGCCTGAGTAACTACTCTCTTCCTCTCCTCTTTTCTACTCTCGCTAGGGACTAGCATCATGAATCCATCATGCCATAGAAATGACATTAATATCTTTTTAAGCGAATACAGGTTCATGTTGTCTTTTCATTCTTTCATCTGGACTCATTCTCTGTAGAATTATAACAAATTTGTACCTTTCCACACACCTAATTAACTATCCTGTTTTTAAAAAAAGAGTATTGTACTTTTTATTTTTTTTCCTTCAAATGGGAAATTGTACAACTAAGGTACATTGTATGGTGTTCTCTACCTAAAAGAAAAAAAAAGTAAGAAAACTATGGTGCTGTTAGAGCAACTTCAACCAGTAGCTCCCTATCCTTTTGAAACCCTTGGTCTGCTTTGAAAATGGTTCTCATGTCTTCGCTGGCTTGCTCCCACCCTTCCCTCTTCGTTCTCTCTTGTAAACATGTGGTAGGCACATTCAAAACAACTGTGAATTTGAAGCCTGTTGTAGTTTTAAGAAGGGAAGTATGAATTTGAGATGGGTGGCAATGGGTCTGTTTGACGTATCTGTGATTCTTTTTTGTTAATGCTGTTTTGGAACAGTATAAAATCATATTTTGTCTTGTTAATAGGTTCAATCTCTAGCATCATTCTGTAGCACATTTTTGGGAACAGCAGTGCGAATTCCTTGTGAGGTGTTAAAGCAGCGGTTGCAGGCTGGCCTTTTTGTCAATGTCGGGGAGGCTATTGTGGGGACTTGGAACCAAGATGGTCTTAAGGGTTTCTTTCGTGGGACTGGTGCCACTCTTTGCCGGGAGGTTCCATTTTATGTCGCTGGCATGGGGCTATATGCTGAATCCAAAAAGGCATGAAATTTTTATATGCAATTTTTCTTTCTAGGCATAAAATGTATACCCCACTCCCCAACGACACTCTCTTATCAACTGACTCCACTTTCTGCATTTTAGTGTTGTGAAGAGAATTTTATTGATCCCAGAAAGATAGCCCAAGTTTTATAAAATGAGAAATAAAAACTTCAGGTTTGGGAATTTAAAAGCTTATATAATGCAAGTATGCGTCATTGAGGGAAATTAAAGATATAATGAATATATTGCCTAAATTGCTGCCTAAGATATGAAAAAAGTATAAAATTTTCTTTTCGAAAGAAGGCAATATTTAGCTACAATATATTTGTCTTTAAAAAAAAATATTTTATATATATAACAATTACCTAGCAGAATTGTAAATGCATCACAGGAAAGAAGAATTTGAAACTGAATAGGCACAACTCATGCCCCTTACCATGGTACTTTGTGGCAACGTTGATTGCTAATGGCTATGCATTGATTCCCTTAGTTTCAAGATTTGACTTTTATCTTATAAAGTGTTGTTTCACTATTAGATCCTTTTTTTTTTTCCCTCATTTATGGAGAGGCAAACTTGACTTAGAATGTTGGGCCACGTTTCTTATCAAATTTTAAAAAGAAAATAGATCATTGTATGTGGGTTTAAAGTGAAAAATCTGTAATTACTAATTTCTGCCCAAGACGATCTGTTTGACAGAAAAGACGTTTCGTAGTCTGACTCCTAGAGAGTGGCCTTCATGTCAATAATATAGTTATTTTTAATAAACTTATTTTATTTAGACCATAATTAATGTGATAATAGCTCATATGTTTTCGTTAAATGTCTATTTTGCTGTTTTAGGCTGCCCAGAAATTTTTAGGCCGGGATCTGGAAGCTTGGGAAACAATTGCAGTTGGGGCTTTATCCGGCGGGCTAGCAGCTGTTGTCACCACGCCCTTTGATGTGATGAAAACAAGAATGATGACTGCTCCACAGGGTAGACCTATATCAATGTCAATGGTAGCCTTCTCTATACTCCGGCACGAGGGACCTCTTGGCTTATTTAAAGGAGCGGTACCCAGGTTTTTTTGGATCGCTCCCTTGGGTGCCATGAACTTTGCAGGCTACGAGCTTGCGAGGAAGGCCATGGACAAAAATGATGAGCTAAACAGTGACCAGGTCCATCAAAAGAAGGTGGCCAGTACTGGATAGGGTTTCTATTTCTTTGAAGTAATGACATTACTATCAACTCTCCCAGCTATTTGAGATTAAAGCAATTATATGCTGCCGGGAAATTTTGACTTTTTTTCCTTCCGAATTTACTAGCAGCATCTGCTTGAAATTTCCATCCGTCGACATATCTGCCCTTTTTTTTGTCAGAAATTGTAATTCTTCGTAGGTTTTCTTTTTGTTCAGAACTTTTCTAATCCTGCAGTGATGGCAGCGAAATTACGTTCTTGATGTTATTTTTGTACTCATGGATTTTCACAGTTTTGTAAACTTTGTGCAGTTGTCATTCTGTTTAAGATTGTATATTTAACCAGAGTGTCTAAATGTACATGAAGCTCTCTATTAATGATGGTTTTATTCCCTTTCTCGGTTTCTTCTTGGTGGGACTCGGTATAAATATTCATGACGTGCATGCCCATGCCACAATGTAGGGAGTCGAGAATTCAAAGTGTAACAAGAAGGATTAACTTTCTCTTAATTTCCTTTAATTTAGTAATTTAGTGATATTTCTTTTCTCAATTTTGGAAGAAGATTAGATTTAAATCCCAAGTTATATCGGAGAGGAGAAGTGCGACTGTTGTAGCATGCCAGACTTCTACAAGTATGCGTGCGCAGAGTGCTCAACTCAAATGTGAAGACAGAGAGAGTTTGGAGGTTTTAGCCATACTATCAAACTGGAAATCAGGCTCGACGAGAGCCTCCGCTAACAAATCAAATGAAATCAAAGAAATCGACAGTTACTGGACAACTGCATCTTACTCGAGAAACATTGAATACGTAAAAATATAACTCTGGATATAACGGAAGCATTCACAAATTCGGATACTGCCTTTATGTAAATGTAATGAGATGTATTGGCCTACTGGAAAACAAGCCCCTCTTAAGGATTTCTATTTAAGCTCAAATTCTTCAAAACAAAAGTAACCAGATTACAAACAAAATCAATTTGGTTATCCTTATTATTAAACAAAAGGGTGAAACACGACACGTCCCAGCAATATTGCCAAGCACTGAAACCTTTGAATGTCATCAATAGCCCCAGTAGTCATTTCGGATTTCATCATCGAATTTCTTCTTCAGCTCTGGATGCTTCTCAAAGTACTCATCTGCAGTCATGGTGCTTATCTTCTTCTGTAGAGATTTAAACAAAAAAGGTGTGAGAAACTATACATTCTACAATTATATGGGGTTAGCCTGGGACAATCCCCATTACCTTCAATTCTTGAACTTCAGCAATCTCCTTCTCCAAACGCTCAGATTCCTTCAAAGATTTCTCTTCTGCTTCCTTTAGATCCACCAACTGTACTCCGCAGTAACATATAAAACACCTCAGGAAGTTAGAAAGTAGTACATATACTTGGAGAGAGAGAGAGAGAGAGAGAGAGAGCACTAACCAATTGATCAAATTTAGGCTTGTACTCAGGAGTGACTGTGTCTACATACTTGGGGACTTGAACGCCTGCAACAATTTTGTTGTTTTGATTTCAGAGAAAGATACATGAGACATGACAATATAGATGAGAAGGCCAATACTCAGGCACTGTTCTCTCTCTTGTATACACCCAAGTAATTCTCTCAACATTTACCAAGAACAACATTTGGAATATTTAGAAGAAGGATGTCTCAGATGAACATGTGTTTCTAAAATTACTAGGAGAAAACCATAGCCAAGAGCCCAAAATACAATTATATATACCATTCTATAATGGTACATCAGCAACTGAAAATACTTTCCCATGAGACTTCCTATAAATCTAGAGGAGAGCTGGTTCTGTACAGGTTATTAAAATATAATTTCATGCTTCTACTCGTCATAATATAGTTTAATGTAAGCCTCTTTTAGGGGGTGAGCGGATACAGGACATATCATTCTTATCAAGTCAGTTAACAACAGAAGTTTGTTAAAACCCAACTCATCAAGGAAGGGTTGTGTACCTTAAATTTGTTAACCAAAGCATAAACATGCACATTGTTGATAAGTCTAAGCAAATAAAGCACTAGAGGGCAAGAAATTTAAATTCAAACAATAGCCCCTAAAGCCTTCATCTATTTGGCACATGGTATCTCATGAAAGAGTGCAAGGCAACCACGTTGTTATGAAATACCATGTGCCACGTTTTCAGCTCAAAGAAGGATGCAAATCGAAAATTCCACAACACCAGACCTCAATAATCAGTATGTAAGTGTAACTGCAACTAATGTAATACAAGATTGATTCATGGAAGAGTTATACTTCTGAAATGAATTCATTAAGTAGTCAGAAAACATACTGTCATAAGCCTCTTTGTACATATCCACCAAGCGAGACCCAATTCCTTTCCTATAATACTCCCAGTCAATAGGTTCAGGTTCCTGCAACAAAGTGAGAATTGGAAACAGAAAATAGATTAAAACATCAGTGCAGTAACGTCCAAAAGTGAACTAAATGCAACCAATAACATATCTTCAGAAAGATACAATTGTGTATAAATCCGTACAAGAAGGATTCCCTGTGATTTCCCATTATAAAGAATGATTATATAACAAACTCTTCTAATCCCATTTAAGATTTATCCAAGTTCGTCCATTTAGATCAGCTTTAACAGGTTAAAAGGCTCAACACTAACATCTACATCAGTATTTATTAACGAGCTAGCCCCTAAGAAAATCAGTATAAAAAAGGAGAAAACTTTGAAAAAACCAAACAGACCCATTTTACTAATCAACCAAATAACACCCAATAAACAAAACAAAAAAACCCAAATTCAACAAAATACTATTCAATTCAGAAAACCCAGATCAATAAGCTTGGAAATGAAGCAAAACACAGCTAGATATCACAGAGATCTTAGCAAATAGTATAAAGAAACACCGCCAAAAAAAAATAGAGAGAGTGTTTTTGTATGCGAGAGAGAGATGGGGGCGTGCGCAGACCTGGCTGAACTTGGTCTGGAGGGTAGTGTTAACCTCATCGAAGGCACGACGAAGAGAGGCGAACTCTTTGCGAGCCTCATCGGAGACCAGAAGCTTGGCCATGCCCTCCCAGTCGATTTTCCTGGAGGCTTTGAAAGCCACATCGGCAACTTTCTTCCCGGCGCCGCTCATTTTCTCTAGCTTTCTCGCTGGCCAAACAATGTGGAATCAGACGATCAGATGCTCCTTTTGTTGCTGCAGCTTCGGCTGTGGTAACTAAATGGTGGCTTTGGGTTTGGAACTGGAATTATAGGTCATGGGCTTTGCTTCTTATTTTTTGGGCCTGAACTAGTTGTGGTTTGTTGTTTGGTAATAAATTGGGGTAAAATGTTTCGAGAGAGGCCCATCTATCATGATAGAATTGGTAAATGCAAAGTCATGATATTGATTTTGGTCATTCAAGGGCCAAGTCAAGAATCAGTTTTCGATTATACGGTGCCAATCCTTGACTGAGTACTTCAATACGTTACGGTTATGTAGTATAATATGAGTGCTCGACATGATTGATATTTTCACTTTTAAAGTATACTATCTTCTTTTTTTTCGGTCAAACTTTTAAAGTATACCATCAATCAATACGTATCTACATATATTACTATACATAAACTAATTATATTGTGTTGGATCTCTACTACCACAGGCGACTGCGTCTCGGCATCAGATCTCCACCACTACCATCCTTTTTGTTGTTTCTTTATGTTCAGAATAAGTCACAGAGGCTCTTTGGGTTCTCTGTGTATTTTTTACCTCTCATTTTGTGAGAGCTTTTCACCTTTTTTTTGTGAGAGCTTTTCATATCTCATTTGTGAGAGTTTTATTTGTATTGTTATGGCTTGGTTTTTCCAAGCTATATCTCTTTTTGATATTCTAAATTTGCAATCTTAGTTGGGATGCCTATGCTAAAGTTTCTTCGATCCTGCATGATCATTAGTAGAGGCGCACCAGATTGTTTTAATTTTGATGTTAGACTGCTCGGTTATTGTAATAACTCTTTGTGGCTTGTTTGTATTGACCCTTTGTGACTAGTGATTTTTTTGACTGAATTATGAATTTCTAAAAATAAAATAAAAAAATTATACCATGTAACCTCATTTTAGTACCAAAATAATTACTAGCCCACCTTCAACACCTTGTTTTGCATTTCCTTGTAAGTAACCCATATTTAGTGAGTAAAAGAAGGTAGATGGAAGTTGCCATGAGCAGCCCTTGGCACAAGGTTGGACTGAGAAGAAAAACTGGTACACACAAGTTAGTTTTTAGAGAATTTATACACACTTCCAAAATTGTGGTCATGCACATGCACTCAAAAGGCTAAGATTAGTATTTTTATCAGTCTTTTTGTGATTCTCATTTTTATCAATCTTCTTATGTGTGAGAATATGAAGGTAAAGAGTCTTATATTGGAAAGTTGTGAAACCTAGCAAGGGCTTATAAGGAGTTGGGCTACTCCCCCCATTGCCAATTTATTTTGGGGTGGAACCTCAACTTCCTTCACTATGAACCACTGAACAGATTGACCCCAAGATGAGGTCAACGCCAGTTTTAGGAAGGAATTGCCTGTTAATCTTTCTCATCATTAATTGGAGGAATGCATTTAATATGATCTGCAAGTGAGACATGCGTGTTTGAACTGAGGACCAAGAAATTATCGAGCAATATTATTTTTGGCATCTATTGGCCAGAAATTCAAAATCTGTGGTTTTGTTCACATTCGTAACCAGTTACCAGACCAGAGATAACTTGGAGTACGATGTGGTAAGTGGACACAGGAACATGTTAGCAAACTTAGCTTAATTCCACAGGACTGACTTCATGAAAATGATATATTTTCTAGATGAAGAAACAGAATTTTGGGATAGAAGTTGTGAATCTGTTAGTCGACGTTCGTTGACTATAAAAGCTTTACTGTGTCGTCTTCTGAGGCATGAGTCACAGATCATTGCGTGTGTCACATGTATATGTAATTTGTAAAACCCTAAAATGGAATTCTGATTATTAATTCATTCCGTCGTTAATTTTAGAGAAAATTTTGCACATGGCTTGCTGTTCGTTGCTTGGTTATCATCAAAACTTACCATCAAGGGGTTATTCTCAGTCTCCCCAGGTGCACATGGGAGGAGGAGGCCCTGTCCTTATTTTCTTTGCTGGGCCTCTGGTCACCCCAGAGCCGAAGAAAAAAATTATGATTTTCTTTTCTCATTTTAACCTGCTAGCTCTACTGTACTCAAGTTCGAATCCCACTCCATACAGAATAGTTTAGAGTGGAATAGTTTAGAGTTGTTTAGATTATCGCTCGGAAGGAAAAAACTTCAAGATCCTATCCCACCTAGTGCAGCTTGAACAAACATCAAAAAATTTGTGTGTAAGGTGCTCTGTTTTCTGCCTCCCAAATTTCTTGTTATGAATATATTAAAGAAGAATGAAACTTAAAAGAAGTTGCAGGTGAAGATATAGTAAGAACAAAGACTATTTCATTACATATATATATATTACATATATATATGTATATAATTAGGTTACAAAATCATTGCTTTGAATAAGACTGCCTTTATATTACAAGAATATTTATTTATATGTAATATTTATATATATATCTATATAAACCTTAACAACTGATAACTTTATTGAAGAAATTTTCAAAGTATATTTTTCAATGTCTCGTCCGCAATTGGAGGTTAAGCTTAAATGTAACATCAACCCATGACCCAAATGACTGTTTATGTCCACAGAGGCTCCCAAGCTGTGCCCAAATTGGTCTCATCCAGAAAGCAGCTTGTGTCAAGGTAAGACTGTTGCTGCTGCTGCTGCTGCTGCAAAATGGGGTCTTTGGATTGTGTCATGTCCATACAAATTAGAGCAATTAAATTGCCCTGCTGGCATTGCATGTTGAGAAGCTCAGCTTGTGTCTTGGCCAGTTGGGCTTGGAGCTCACTGAGATGTTTCTGGAGCTGGCAAATTGCTCCTGTACAGCCATACACTGGGTCTCTGATTCTGGCATTGGCTTCATAAACCATGCTGCTCACTGCATCTGCTCTGTGAGACTCTGGAAGCTCCTGAAAAAATTTCACACATGTAACTTTTAATTTCACAGTTTGACAATATAAATACAATCTCGCACTAGTGAGTGAGAGACAACCCTCTTTCCAAATGATTGTACTTTCACTTTGTGAAAGTTGAAAAAAGGTTCCTGATCATGACCTACCTTACCTTTTGATGTGAGCCCAATATTAAAAATAATGAATAATTTACAGAATTTGTTATTACCTGCAAGAGCTTGATGATGTTGCTAGCTCCAAAGACTCTGTGTGCAATAGTGAACTTGAGGGGCTCCGTAGGAGGGAAATATGGAGCTAAAACACACTTCTCCGCGCACCTCCGCCGAAGAATCTTGCAGGCAGCACATGGGCTAAGAACAACAGGTGGTGGTGGTGGTGGTGGTGGTGGTGAAGGAGAGGTTGGATTATTAATACTATTATTATTCTTAACAGGATAATTAGGAGAAGACAAATTAGATAACTGGAGAGAATTATTAGGAGAGGGAAATGAGGCAGTCGGAGAAGATAGCTGGGATATTGAAAGTGGAGGGGAAGAAGCAGATGGAGTTGAAGTGTTGAATTCCATTGCTTGCTGCTTGGTTTGTTTCTTTGTTTGAGTGAGATATAAGGTGGAAGTTTTCAAGGAAGGGCCAATGTGCCTTCTATTGCTTTGCTTGAATTGGAGAGTTTGCTTCGAGTTCTATGTGTACACATACATATATATAGAGAGAGAGAGCATCTAAATTGTCAATGGCATTTGTGTCATCAATCTAGTGAGATGACGTCATCCCTTTGAAATTAGTTGCGTTAATTTTATTTTCTTTTTAAATTTTCTGTTTTTTGCCTAAGTTTTTCTTTTGAGTTTTGTTCAAGGAATCACTCCACATGTTGCTGCAGCCACTTGTAATTTCCAAGTCTTTCCTTTTTTGTTCTTTTCTTGGTCCTCTGGTTTTTAGGTAGAAATAGGTTTTTGGAGATTTTGTTATACACGTAATGCTTTAAAAAGGATGCCACAATCATTAAAATCAAATTCTATTACTTATTATTTCCCATCAATTCTTTTCCGCAAATCAAACGGGGTCTAATAATATATTAAATAAATACAGTACAACTAATTTTATTATTTTATTGATATTAGATACTTTTAAAATAAAATACAAAAACCACCCTTGACTTTTTCAGGTTACATTAGTTTGAAGAGGTGTCTGAGTCTATGGGTGCATCCAAATTGGTAACTAGGCATGGCGACGTGTGTATTAATTCAAAGAACCGTATGTTTTAATTTACGACATACTTATGCACATTTATGTCATGAAATTATTTTCAAATATCACTATCACTGTATTACAATTTCATTATATCGATATCATCTCGATACAATGTTGACAATTATCCAATTATTTTAATGGTCAACAGTCTTAGATAATCTTAACACAACGTAAACAAAGTATCAATATTATGTCGATAATATCGACTTGTACGAGTAATAGTGCTACTTTAGTATGTCACTGTAGTAATAGTGATATTTAAGAACATGTTCTGATAAGCATAAGATGATCATATACCATGTATGCTTAAATCACTCTAGCTAGCCCTCCTTATAGGAGTAGTTCTCATCTAACACGCATGCATTATCTTTGACGAATCGAAGATCATATTCATTGGGGACATTACTAACCTAATTAGGAAAACCCGCCTGTAAAATGACATCATTTGGAGCACCAGATGGTGGGCAGACAACCTGTATATAGCTACATGTCCATACGAGAGGAACTTGTGCTCATATGCATGTGGTATGAACAGGACACGTGAACGACATGCACGCATACATTCATGCACATGTGTCATTTAGGAATTAGAAGATCACATGCAATTCAGTCATGCATGTACATTTGCTTTAGCTATAAGTATCCTATACAAAAATGAACACTCATTCCTCACCTTTTATCTTATCCACTACTATTTACATAGTTTTTGCACACATAAAAGAACAACAACTTGGGAAAGGATAATGCTTCCCCCTTTGCCTATTGATGTGAGACTACTCATAACTTCTTTTTGGGATATAATTCGTTGACCCAAAATCTCTAGGACAGCTCACCCGAGACTACCCATAACACCCTTTTACGCGAAACTTATTCACGTAAGATAAAATTTAATCGACTTCATTTTGAATTCCTGAATCCGTAACAACAACAATTATTACAATTTATCCTAATAATAATAAACAGTCAAAGATAAGTAGGTATTGGTCATCGCTTAACCTACACGTCATCTTAGCTAGGTCTTCTTTTCTCACCTGGCTGATGCGATCACAGTTCTATGGTTCCTCTACAATGAATCGGCGGGGGATCCTATTATTACATACATGGTACCTGTCCATATATGATTGAAATGCCAGGTTTTTTTTAGGACATTGTTGCCATTTTTGACCTATTAGCTAAAATATAGTTGCTAGTTATAGCACTGTATGTTTAAAAAAACGTGGGGTATATGAACCTCATGGGGCTTCCCATTTTCGGAAATTCAATTTCTATTAATATTACACCTTATGTCTATGAAAATTAACTCTATGTGACGGTTACACCCAAAAAATTTACATCTATAAGAGCATTCACAATGATGCTCTCTATTTCTTAGCTAAAATTTGGCTAAGAATATAATAAAGCTATTTTAGGAGCTCTCTAAAAAATTTCAACTCCAACCATACTCCATAATTTGGAGAGTCATAAATGCTATAACTCTTTTTTAATTGGCCCATCTCTATTAAAAAATAAAATAAAATAAAAAATAGTTAGCATTAAATAAAGGTTTGAAATACTCATTAAATAAAGCAGCATTAAATTATAGGGAGCCACTAGGAGTCCTTTCTCTCTCCTCAGATTTATGAGCTCTTAGAGGACTCCTTATTTTAGGAGGTGGATAGGGAGCGTGGTTGGAGTTGCATTTTTATCATTCCTCCCTAAAATTTGTCTAAGGAGGTGGTTTAGGGAGCCAATTGTAGATGCTCTTTCGCCTAAAACATGGAAGCCATTAGATATTTTAAAAAGTCATAGCATCCCTAATGTGGATAATGATAAAAGTGTTTGACCACATTGATGATAAAAAAAAATTTCTCAATGAGTGAAATTAAATCTACCTAGGTACCTAGTGAGTCTCATCTTTACAAGAAATATAGATATTAGTAAATGCATTATATACTTTTCTCATCAACTATATATCTGCAAGTATTTCTCTTTTCAATGTTGAAAAAGATCCCGAAATTCGAATTTCCTCCCTTTTTCATCGATTAAAATGACAAAATGAGTTGCCTCTCTCTAGTTACCAATATAACATGACTAGCAAATCGCATGCTGCCACAACTACTTAAACGTGGTGCGCCCAAGGAATTAGATTATAATTTGGTTCTATTTAGTTCGAGAGTTGGGTGAGAAACAAGAAAATGAGTCATGGAGAGAAGTTTGGAGAGAAGTTCAAAGTCCCAAAGATTATGACACTTTAAAAGTGACATTATCATTTGAATTTGCTATATTTCTACCCCTCCACTTGGAAAAAAAAGGAGTCAGTCTTGTAACGTGGTCGTGGTGGAAGCAGTTGGACACCATTATAAATTCTTTCCCCACGCATTTTTGTTGTTGTAAAATTCAAAACCTAATGATGTTTTTATTGTTTAAGTTTCAACCATAGCCTTGGTCTTATATTTTGGCTTTGCCCAACCAAAGTCTTTTCCCTCCCCCGTTTAAAGGTCCAAATCACCCTCTTTCTTAAAATATGGTCAATGCCACTAGCAAAAGACACCAATATATTATCATATTCTTCCACTTCCTTTTAAATATTATATATGTGTACATTTTTTCCAGTGCAAGATATCAGTCAGTCCCCGTCAATATATTAATTCATAGAAGTCTCGAGCTAAAGTATTATGGTGTTTAGAAATGAACTGAGGAAAGACTTAAGAAGCAAATTTTGGTCGTTAGAAGCATTAAGTGAATTACTTGAACCAAACGAATTTCTGCGACTTATTCTAAAAATAAAGAAATTAAATCAACCGGATTGACATTCCGTGGTTATAAAGTCAATCGATTATCTACAAGTACTAACTCCGCACCAATTAACTTTAATCCTCGTCAAATAAATCAGATATGCCGAAAAAATAAAGAATAAATCTGCATAGATCTATTATAGAATTACACCATAAGCTATAATAGTCAACGAAACAGAGAGGAAGACAAAGACAATGCAGGAGGGGAAAGCAAAGAGGATAGGTGGAGATGGAAGGAAAATAGAGGAAGAAAAGGGACAAAAAACACAATGATAGTCGCCACCCCAAAAGAGGCGGCGGCTATGAATTTTCCCTCCTAGGTTCACTAATGATGCATTTAATCTCAGATAAACAACGCACTGTCCATTATTCCTTGGATGAAGACCTAGTCAAATTCTTGTTCACTACGAATGAAAAAAAGTACTTATGTTTTGTTGGTTCGCTCAATTGTTTTTTCACGAGGCCAAATCTGAACTGTTTAGATGATGCTTAATTATGTCGTGATTCTTACTTAACTGAAGAGACAAAAACAAAAGGAAAACCGAAGAAAGATGTTGGTGGCGGAAATGGTCTGGAATCTTCTTCTTTTTTTGTAATTCTGGAACGTGAAAATTAATGAAATGATCTGGATGAAACTAGATGTGCCACAACTACCAGTAATAATTTAACACAACAAATCGTATAGATTCATTTTCTGAAAGTCTTTTGCGGAAAGAAAAAAAAACAAATTAATATTCAAGTCGCTTGATCTTTCCAAATTAGAAATAGACACAACAAAACAAGGACAAGAGAAACAATTGACAAACCAAAGCAAAAAACAATATGGTCAATTTGATCTAGATTGTGGCCAGATTATCAAACCATGACATGTACAGTGTGCTTTCAAGCCTAACACCACATGTACCACGTGGGTGGCTTTTTTTGTTTTTTGTTTTTGTTTTTGGGTTTGGTACAATAATATTGAGTTAATAGAATTCAAAAATAGAGGCTCGAATGCATAAATATCTGCTTAATCATTTAAGTTACAAGTTTGTGATAAAAATGACATTAATACAAACTTAGTGTTGTTTAAAGGTGGACAATTTTGTAGGCACGTTGTACATGCCATATTGCTTTTGTTTTTTTTATTTATAGGAATATTGGATATATTTTCTATCATGTATTATTAGGTTAAAAGTCACATGCATGGGACTAGGATTTGAATAATTGAATTGTTAGTAAAACTACAAATGTGTACCCTCAACTTAATCCCTAAAATTGAGGATATAATTATTCGATGTTAAAGTCAAAAAAAAGTGAATTATGAATATGCTATAAATGAGAGTATCTACAATGGAGTCCTTAAAACACATCTTTAACACAAAGTTTAGGGAGGCATTTAAAAAATACAATTCCAATCATGCTTGTTTAACGATCCTTAATTTTAATAATATTTTAACCATTTATTTTAGAGAATGGCTTGGCTCTTTTTTTTTGGTTACTTTATTAAAAAATTGAATTAAAAAAATATTTAAAGTATTTATGACTCTTTAAATTAGAGAGTATAGTTGGAGTTTGATAGAGAGCTGCTCAAATAGTTTTCTAGTGCTTTTAACTAAATTTTAACTAACAATTAGGGAATATGATTGTAGACAATGGTGGAACCAAGAATTTTTGTAGGTGTAGGCTAATTTTTTTTTTGTTCATGGCGGCAGATTTGCCTTACCATCACTCATCTTGGCATGATCGTAAAACCTCAATACCCACAATCCAGACCAAGATGAAATTGACCCCAAAAGAACATATTTCCCATGATTTTTTGGTCAACACCTACGAATTCATGACAGCTTAAACAGAGGGAGAAACTTAAAGAGAAAGAAATAATCAGAAAAAAGGGAGAGGAGATGAAGAAAAATTAAGAGAAAAAAAAAAAAAAAAAAAAAAAAAAAAAAAAGAAAAGAGGAAAGTGTGTTAGAGTTTTTATTATTATAATAATTTATATAAGCTTGATTAGATGTTAGAGTTTTTTTTAATTATAATTTGGTTTCTTCTGTGCTGGAAACGTCGGCACAAATCACAAAATGTTTTCCCATTAAATCATGAACCAACACGTGTAGAGTTTGTTTGCAGAGGTGTGTCCTGTGGTGTAGAGATTGGTTGCATTGATGGGTTTATTTCTACTTAAAGTGGTGGGCTAATATTTAATTTACCCTAATTTGGCTTGTAAAGCTAAGCTTATATGTGGAAAATAGAAAAACAGCACTGGGCCCAGTAGCGCCCACACTTAGGCCCCTTGATTATAGATGCTCTTAGGAACTGTTACTATGACGAAAAAAAAAATGTAACATTCATTCACAAAACCGTGTATGCGGCATAAATTGTAATGTATAGGAAAAAAATTGTTAGATTTATGTCTAGAATATATTAGTTGGCATGGCCTTCGAACCCCCAAAAAAAAAAAAAACAAAAAGCAAAAATGCTTTATTAATTTTTTACTATTACTATTTTGGGGTGTTAGATATGCTTTGCTTCAATAATCTTCATTAATCATTATGTTCCCGAAAAATTAGCACTACTTAATCAAAGCCAGCTGAGTGATTTGGACCCTCATCCTAGAGACAAGAATATTCTGTGCTCCTATTATTTATTTATTTTTCATGCAAAGCAGCTAGATTGATTTAGATGTATGGGGGACTTTGCAAACTGTCGTCCATATTTATTGGCAAGCAATCGAACAAAGGTCCACGCGTGGTTGCTTGCTTCGCTATGCTTAGTTGGACTTTGTTGTGTCGTCTGTTTATGCCTGTGTGGGGTTTCCCCAGTATTCTCACACGCTTTCTTAATTCCTAATTTATTAATTCTGATCATGCAATTACAAATTCAGATCATCATCGACCTTTCTTTTGGAAAGGAGGTGGATGTAACACGTGAGCAACCACTGATGGGATACATACGATATGATCTGATCTGACCCTTTATTAATTTGTATATTAATTTTCCTTACTTTTTCTGTAGTCTATAGCCTATTGAATCTCTTATTTGTGAAATTCACATACATTAACGATTGGTCGCATTCTTAGCACGAATGTGAGATTGTCTCTAACGTCCATTGTATGCAATGCATTAATGATTAGAATTCATCCTACATGCATGAGCTACTGCTCTTAACACCCGCCTAGCACCACAATCATGAAAGATTGATGATTGCCCACGACATTAGAGACACTAGAGATGTGCGACTGTCTCTATCATTCCACGTTGTTGGAACACAAACCCTACTCTCATACTCAAATACTGCTTAATTTAGAGTAATGTGCATGAATGTAGTCGAATCTAGTTAGTCAAATTTTGTGCTAAATAAGAATACTTCTGCACATATATTAATTTCCTAGTCATATGCAATGTCATGCGTCATGCATGCACTGAATCCCTTTCATGGTGCCTGCTAGCACATTGCTCAGAAAATGTGGTTGAATTGTGGAACACCAGCAGCTTTATTTGTTTCTATAGTCACCAGAAGAAAAAACCCATGTGAATGCTTTGGTACTGGATCAGAATCACACGTCAATCCCAGGAGGAAAACGTTGGATGCCACTTCTCCTACCCAACTTAGCAAACTTGTGGATATTTTGAGCTTAGCTAGCTAGGACTAACTTAATCTTTTTTATCTTATGGTGGTTTCATACTAGAGGGTTCTTCTGGCTGCGTTCTAGCATTTCAGATGGGGCTTCTGAAACTTCGAGGGCCAAGTAATAATTCATGCAGGTCCCCTTAATTTCTCAATGGGACAATATAGTACCTGCAACTGAAAACAGGATATATACAGATTATTAAATAAATAAAAAAGCCTAAAAAAAAATGAAAAAGAGTAAAGATTGGTCTGCCTTTACAGTACTAATTATTGGCATTGTAAATACCCAAATGATCCTCCAATTTTTCTTCTAAGTATGAAAAACAGAACATTTATTTTTTGATACAAGCGATATTAGGGAATGAAGAATTGAACCTAAGATCTCGGGTGTAGGGGTAAATGCTCTTAATCATTTGAGCTACAAGCCCCTTGCAATTGAAAACCCTTTATAGATGGAGAGAGGAGATAATGGGTTGTATGAATTGACAATGATTGACCTTTTTCACCTAAAAAATCATTACCTATATATTTTACAATAACTTAAGTGACAAGGTGATGTCAAGATCCATTCTGACCAAAAATTACCAGTCACCAAAAGCGGCTTTATATTTCGAATATATGGTTGGAGATTGGTGCATACATAGTGGCATGAAAACCTAACCGCAGTTATTTGTTGCAATTCAATACTTTCATATCGACTGAAATGTACGCCAAAGGATGATGATGGATCGACTCAAAAGCTACTAATAAACTGAGGTTTTGCTTTGTCGTTTTAAAAGGTAAATGAGCTTTTGCTTTGTCGTTCTAAAAGGTAAATGAGCTTTTGCTTTTCCATGCAAGAGTCAACTATAAGGCCTAAAGATCAGAATCCGATTGACATCCCATTTCTTACTTTTGAATTGTAAAAGAAAATTTCAGATTGACACCCCCATCTCTTTTAAAAGCAACCCTACTTTTTACCTGTTGATGTGAGGATACAAAATTAAAGCTTTCAACAAGCGAGTTAGCAAGGAATACAAATTAGAGTTGAACAAAGTTGCTATAGTTTTCTTTCCACCATTTATTTTTTCTGTGTGTTGTACATCAAGGTTAGGAAAAGATGAAGTTTCTATCGATTTACAAAATGCTATATAGAAAGTGAACATACAACCATTTCTGCTTAATCGGTAAGCTCTCTTCCTTAGATAATTGACAAGTAACTTTACAATAAAAGTACAACCGAACCAGGAAATGCAGGGAGCGTCGTGAAAATGAGGAGGTGACACTTTTCTGGAGCTCAGCACTAATGCAAAGCACCTGAACCAATGAAACCAGTACTGTCTAGGCCATTTCTGACATGCATATAAGATGAATAATGTATCTTTCTGCCCCTCAATGGTTTGTCCTTCTTTCTGAAGGGGAATGGGGTTGGAAGTCCGGCAGTTAGGAGAATCACTCTTTGACGCTGGGAGTCTACTTGACACATGCTTTAAACCCAGGACTACACGTCCCTTGTTCCACCAATCTTAAGACTATCCCAATTGTCAAGAACAATGCATAAAACTAAATCTCATCCGAAAGGCTAAGAAGTACACAATATGACATACAGCACTTCTTATTCATTACGATCTGTTCTCAGGGAAAACTTTCTTTTGTACTGAACTGTAGGCTGATACCTCACCACCTTTACTCGTCTGAGTCGTCCCTCTAGCATTTTCAAATATGGAACTTATCTGAAAGAAAACTCAATTTGATTCTTACATTGTGCAGATTATTGCTAACCTCATGAATCAATTTCTCCTCACATCAAAGCCATACGAGAAGCCTTTCTGGAAAACAAGCCCCACTTTTGCCTGCCATTTGTCATCAGTTTCCATTCTTGCTTGAATCCCACCCAACCTCGAATTTAATGGCATGGATAAAGAACCATCTCGTTCATTTCACTTGAACTATATTCTTTTAGTAAAGGTACCTGCGACATTCAAAAACTATTAAACTTGACTCTATCTTTGATCAGCAGCACTATTGCATTTATTCCAGTTGCTTATAGAAGCAGCATAGAAAATATTAGCAAAATAAGTCCCTTACTGATCATTACTGCAAAACATTGAACAGCACTCTATGTGACAGAAAAGATTTTTGTTTTGTTTTTCACAATAGACAGAATGAGAATTAAAGAACTTTTTGGAAATAATACTAAGAACTTTCATTTTTGTAACCATCTGCAAACTAGATACTGTTAATATTTTTATTTTCTTCATGCCAACTCTTCTGAACCAAGGAAGATTGTTCGTGCATTAAACACAAATTAGCATTACATGAAGAGATTAGAGTGTAAGATGAAAATATAACAAAACAAAAGGTTGTACCAGGTCCAGCTGTTGTCAAATTCAGTTAGAACATGCAGGGAAGGCTGGGGCACTCTGCCATTATCGAAAATAGCCCAAGGTGTCACTACAGCTTAACAGCCTTTATGTACTCCTTTGCCTTTAATCAATCCGTTCATCAAATTAATATAAACATCTTTATTTAAAGTGATGCCTTTCTGCATGGATTCTTCCAAAATGTGCATTGCATCCTTGTACTTACCTTGAAAGCACAACTCATTGATCTGTTCTGAATAAGCTACTGTGCTTGAATCAAATTCAACTTTAGATTCACTGGTCACTCCCTTTTGCACCAAATTTGAGGACTGATCAAGTAATTTTCTGGATTCAATCAATTTCAAAAGAAACTCTTCCGCTTCCTCAATCCTACCAATATCAGTAAGTGCACCCAGAATGGCACCATATGTATAGTGGTCAGGTGCTAATTTCTTTGCTTCCATATCTGAAAGAAGATCAAAAGCCTCTTCAAACCTCCCTTCTTTGCAAAGGCTTGATATCAATGTGTTGTAAGTAACTGCATCAATGTCTTTCCCTTTTGAAATCCATGTGTTAAAAAGCTTAAGGGCTTTTTCTAACATACCCTCTCTACATAGCCCAGAAAGAAGAATATTACATGTAAATACATCTGGCTTGAATGATTTCTCAACAGTTTTGTTGTGGAACTGAAATGCTTTCTCAACATTCCCCTCGCAGCAGTAGCCATGAAGTATTGAGTTGTATGTAAACTCATCAGGGACTAGACCCCTCTCCATAAGCTCATTCAACTTCTCTAATGCTTGATCAGTTTTCCCAGACTGGCATAGCCCTCCAATTATAGAGTTATAGGTGACAATGCTGGGAATGACCTGCTTCTCCTTCATCTCATCCCAAAGCTTCAAAGCCTTGTCCGCCTTTTCGTTCTTAAAGCATCCCATGATCAGAGTTCCATAGCTAATCTCATCAAGAATATAACCCCGCTTCATTGTGGTATGAAGCAACTCAAATGCCTCATCAAGCTTCTTCTCATTACAAAGAGTGTGAAGAACAGTATTGAGGGTAACAATGTCCGTCTTCAAACCTTTACTACCCATCTCATCCATCATTTTAAATGCTTCTTCCATTTTCCCTGCCTTGCAATACCCATTAATCAAAGTATTATAGGTGACACAATTAGGAGCAAACCCATCTTCCTCCATCTTCCTTCTAGTATCACTTGCTTCATCCATCTTCCCTTCCTTACAAAACCACTTCATCATTATATTGTGAGTAACCACATTTGGTTTCACTCCCTTTTCACGCATCTCCTCAATCAATGTAAGTGCCTCTGAACTGCTCCTCCACTCAAAATATCCATCAATCAATGTGTTATACGTGACAACATCCGGCATCAACTTCAAATGTCCCATCTCATCCCGAAGCCTAACAGCCTCCTCAATCCTACCCTCCTTACACAACGCTTTAATCAACATATTGTAGGTCCATATATTCGGCAACAAATTGTTCTGTGTCATCAGTTCAATTATCTGCATTGCCTCCTTCAACCAACCCATTTTACAATACCCACAAACCAAAATGTTATACGTGTTCCTATTCGGAAACAACCCTCGATTCTTCATGTCCAACAACAAGTCCCTCGCCTCAACCAACTGCCCCTTTTTACACAACCAGTCCAATATGGTATTATAGCTCACATTATCAGGCCAACATCCAAACTCGCTCATTCTACTCAACAACTCTACAGCATCCCTAAACTTATGCTCCAAACAGTAGCCATATATCAAAATATTAAACGTATTTGTATTCACACTAACCCCTAACTTGATGGCATCCTTAAACACACTTTTAGCCAATGAAATCGAATCACACGAAGCGTGCCTTACCAGAGCATAAAGCAGAGTATTGCAGGTGAGCAAGTTGGGTTGTAAACGACGCCGCTTCATTCTCTTGAACAGCTGGGCTGCAAGGAGGGGCTTTCCACAATGGAGATAAGCCCCTATGGAAGTATCCAGAAGGGCTTTTGAGGGCTTTGCTACGGTGTCGTCCGGGTGCAGAAGAACCCAGAGGAGCTCGTTTTGGCGATCGGCGGAGATGAATTGGACGAGCAGGGTTTTGGCGTCCGGGTACTTGTGGTGGCAGAGGAGAGGGTGGAGGAGGGCGAGGAGGGGGTGAGGGGTTTGGGGTTAAGGACGGATTGTGGGCCTGGGCCCATTGAAAGAAGGATAGGAGGGCGCTGGGCTTGTTTGCTAGGGCTTTGGAGCGGAGGATGGAGAGGAGGAGGGGCTGCGTGAGGTAGGGAATGTAGGGTTTAAGGGGTTGGAGTTGTGGGGTTTTGGCGGCGGTTAAGAGGCTGGTTATGGTTTGGAGCAGTTGGGGTTGGGTTAAAGCTTGAGTTGGGTTGGTCATGGAGGCGCGTCAGAGAGTGAGTTGCAGAGTCTCACGAGGTTGAAGAAGAAGAAGAGAGGCTTGCGGTTTTGGACAGATTCAGGGGAGCTCAGAACGCTGCGTTTAGCTTAAGTTCATTTGAAACGACAGTATTTTGGTCAAACCGTTATTTCCTTTTTCTTATCCTTCATATAATAATAGAATTTCTATTCTATTTGTGGATTTAAAAGAAAAAAAACGAGAAGAGAGAATGGCAATCTCTGAGGAGTCAAAGTGGGTGAAGCTGAAGCCCATCGAAGCAACAGCGGAGAGTTTTGAAGAGTACGGTCAGGTGGTGGAGGCCTCTCCAGATGGTGAGGAGTTTGGGCCTCGTGATGCTCAGTTGGACCTCAGCCATGGAGTTCCAAGGTAAAAATAAACACAGCAACTTCGAATCTCGCTCCTCGTAAATTAGATTAATTTAAACTATCGATTATATATATAAAAAAACATAACAACTGGGCACCTGAGTTTTCATGCTTGAAGGTCATATATTGTGTTCATGTCAATTGGGTTTTGATCAAACAGATAGATATTGACTTGGGTTGGGTCGTGGTTGGAGAATCTTTCTGCTGGTAGGTTTGGTTATTTGAGCAGTTGCAAGATATCTGGCATCTAATTTACGATATAGATCACAGCCTGACAATATAACATGGTGTGTCAAACTGTCTAGCAAAACAAATTAGCATTTGGTTAGTGACATGTTTCAACTTTGAATCATGTGAACAGGTTCTACATTATGCATCTTCAAGATAGGCCGCTCAAGTTTTCCAAAATCACACACCATGCGAGCGTGACTCAATGCCTCGGGTCGGTTGGTGGCCATGTTTGGTATCTGGGAGTGGCTAAGCCTACCATTGTAGACAAACAGACACTTGAGAGCAAGGATCATGAAGGCAAGAATGTGGTTCAGTCTCGCTGTGCCACCGGCCATTTCTATGTGCCTCCGGCGGTGGCTAATGTTCGTGTTTTCAAGATTACAGGTCCTAAGTTTCTGAAGCTTAACCATGGGACATGGCATGCGGGGCCTTTGTTCAGGGCAGACACTATGGATTTTTTCAATCTGGAGCTCAGCAACACCAATGTGAGCTTAAGCCTTTCTCTGTTTCAATTAAGTGTTACTGAATTTATAACACGTTTTTTAGGGCTTTAATGGATTTGGACATGGCACGGCCATTTTTTGTTGTAGGTGGTTGATCACACACCACATGACTTTGTGAAGGCAAATGGAGTGGAGTTCTTGATCGATGAGCAACTGTAATTCTCTGTTTCTGATTTCAACTTTCTGAACTTGTTTCAGACAGATAGTGTATCTTTAAATAAATAATACTCTCTCCAAATTCTTGACCCATTCTAGCACAAATATCAGAATTCACGAGGAACATGACCTCGAAAGACAAGAAGTCATACAATTTGCAAAGTTTAGATGAACAATAATAATAATTCATTTGTTTTAATGGTACAAACACAAGAATCAGAATCTGTATCTCCCTAGGTGAACACAAAATAAATCTTACATCATTAACAAACACTTCATTAAAAAATGCTTCTACGGAATCAAAATATATAAATACTCCCTTTCAACGGGCACAATAATGGTAGTACTGAAGGATCCAGCAAGGAAGTGAAAACTTGAAGTTCCAACACATCACTATTCACCTCCCATCATCTGCATAACAAGGATTGACACTCCAAATAAGACTGCTGCTCAATTATTTCAAGGATTATTTATTTTCTTCATGCATCAAAGTCTTTTGCAGAGTAATTTCTTTATTATTTTTCGGATTTTAGTCTCCATCCTTCATAATTTTCTAAGCTGTCATAACAAATTAGAGTTAACCATTCACAAGAGTTCAACTCTACCTTGAAGATCTCCCCAAACATCCCCATCCCTTGCAGAGGATTTCGGCGCCGCACTCCATAAAACTTCTCTGCAATTTCATCTAGCAACTAAACCATAATTTTTATGTTAGGGTAAAGACGGAGGACAGAAAATAGCTGAAGGCTGGTGGGAACATACACTAGCAGAAATGACATAGGGCAGATACACAGTTAACATAAATTGGGAAAAAGTTGTCAAATGGTCTGCCATGCAGAAAAATTGCACACCTCATGAAATGTAGGTTCTCTGTCTAAGCTTGATTTGTACTTAGCTCTCAACATATTGAAAAGAGGAAGAGCATCTCTTAACAACCTGCAATGAGAAAAATTCAGCAATCTGTATACCTCATACCATACAGATCAATAATCTGAGTTCTTTCTGATTTCATAATCTCATTAAATCTTAATGGCCTCTCAGGATTTCGGCCAGTGTTTTGTTGATGCATGAAGAGCGTAGGCATACATAAATTTCATGTTTCCAGTAGCAATAATTAATTTAACCTTTAGCATTTAAAATTCCCAAGTCGCTGAAAATCCCACTTAAGGATCTTAGATTTTAGGTTTTCATAGAGGGAAATATAAGCCAAGGAACAATATGTTTCATTTTCTTTTACCATAATCCAATATCCATTAGGAGTGGCATGAAGGGCAACTTCCTCTAGCTAGCATCATTTTCTCCAAAGATGAGATATAAGATTGTTACTGATTAAAGGGAAATTGAACACAACATACGTTTGCAAAAGAAAATTGATGAACTGGATCAAATCCGATTGGGGAAAGTCAGCTGCTTAGATTCCACTTGTTTCTTTATCTCATCCATGAGATTATTGGCATCTCTCAGGTTACCTAAAGACAAATACCTACAATAAACAGGTTACAAAATTAGGAATATAGGGAAACATCATTAGCTGGAAAACTAATGGATATTGTTCAATCTCAGGAAAATAAAAGTATATAGACATAAGAAATGACAGTTGAATGCTTATATTTATCAAGGATCTCCCAATTTTGAAGTGCACGTTAGGAAGTTAGGTTCAAATGGACTCGTATTACCATCAAACAGTAATGGGTGTTCAATGATAGCGGAGTAGTGTCCTTACATTAAAATCGCTCGTGCAATGGCCAAATCATCTTCCCCTGGATAACACTGCATGATCAAGAAGTATGAACTCCATAAAAACTTTCCATAAAAAAGTTATGAATATGGCAAGACTGATGCAGACAGGATTAAGTGCAACAATCCAATAACTAAGCTGTGCAATAGTGAAGAAAATATATTGTGTTTGAACATTGATTACACTTGTGATATTCAAGCAACATCAAATTTGGATGAAAGAAGACATTCCCAAAAATATTCACATTACAAAATGAAATAATATAAAAAATGTAAATGTCATATTCATTATCCAACATAATAGCAACAAAAACCTACCAAATTGAAACCTGCTACTCAGTGAACCTTTGAACAAGTAATATTCATAGAAAACAGAACCTAATAACAGGAAGGAAAAAAAAACATACCAATACAAACCTACTGCTACTACTAAAGTAATGAACAAATAATATTCATAGAACATAGACACAGAACCTAGTAACCACATATATACATCATGCAATACTACTTATAATTCTGTAGGCCTCATAACATATCTATTTACTGAATTCTTAAAAATGAATATTGAGAATTAAGGGGGAAGAAGGCTAACCTTTCCCATAAAATTTACTAAGGTTGAAGCAAACTCTTTTGGGTTGTTTCCTCTGACGAAATGATGTGACACTCTAACCATGTCCTGCCAAGCAGTCAAACAAGATAATGGCGTTCACTCTGCACTCATGATAAGAGCCAATGTACTCAAGGGAAAATATGGACCTCTTGGTTACAAGTTTCAAATTAAAGTAAATTAATTTAGCACAAATGAAGACAACAATAGTTTGAACAGCATGAAGGACCTATGGAAATAAAAATGATACCAACATGTCCAAAACATTTTAAATAATGATCTGCTGGACCAAAATCCAGCTGGTCCTATATTCAATCTGAGTTTACTAGCAATTAATAAAATGTTATTTGTGAAAAGTAGATTTTCATGTTTTAAATCCCAAAATTAGATGTATGCACTTGTGAGATAAAAACAAAGGTCACATATGTATCAAGATACTACCTACCACCTCAGGAGATTCAAAATATATGTAGTTCGCTAACATAACATGTATTTCTGGAGCCCCAACCCTGGGTGCGCCAAACTCCGCAGACCACCTGAAAAGAGAGAAGCAGGAATGAATTTGCATTGGTTAATGACACAGTGGGATCTGATATAAGTAAATCAGATATGCAATACATTGTGTGCATGTGTGTGCTCAACAAAAGACACCATGTCATATGCCAAAAAAAAAAAGTATTTTTTCATCTTCGTTCAAGGCAGGACACATTTGACGATGAAAACACTGCTTCAAATTAAGAGGGGGGGGTGGATTTTTGGACATTAAAAGATGCAAAGATGTATGCATCATCCTTGAATATAAGTAAACGCCTCATTCTGGACAGTAGCCAGCCTCCAAGCCACCTCATCATTACCAAAAATCACCTATTGTATAGGACACCACTGATTTTAAATCAAATCCAGGACTAATCTCACAAAATCACAGGTGCCACCGCAGGTTCCCCACTAGACCAACCTTTAATAACTAGATGCTATTTCTTTCATACCCCGCCAAAAGAAATGGAAGTTTCAAGGAGATCCCCTCACCACTCCTAATGCAAACCATATTTCTCCTACAACAGGGTCACCCCAAACTACAGAATTACCCAGCTCAAAGGAATACACATTAGAGCACATTGAAAAAAAAAAAAAAAAAAAAAAAAAAAAAAAAAAAAGAAAGATGGATTTAAGAGAGAATGAATGACTTAACAACCATATAAACAGACCAAATAAAACATAACCATGCCTTGAAAAATCTCCAAAATCAGGAAAAGGTAAAAAAACAAACAAAAACTCACTTAAGAGCAGCCTTTAGGAATGATGAGCAGCCCTCAACACATGTTTTTGCTGCCCCAAGTGTTTCAGAAAGTTGTTGCACGTCATCTAAATCCCCCAACTGTTGTGGCATAGGTATCCGAGGAAATTCTTTATAAATTTTCCTGACACGGGCTAACAAAATAATTTTGTCATAATCATGACAAAATAGAAGCATCATAATATTTATAAATAATAGAAAAAAACCAAATACCAAAAATGGCCATGGAAACATGTAAATCATATAAAAATTTCTATTTATCAAACAATGACAGTCCGATAAGAATAACACCTACTAGAAGAACCAATTGACCTGAACCAACCAAGAGAAAGTTGAAAAGCATTTAAAAATCACTTCAGAGGGTAAGAACAAACAGACAGAATCAATCGAGAATTCAAATCTACATCATAAGGTAACAACTGACCAAGGATTTCATCGTCATAAGGGAATCTTCCTTTGACAAGCGTATCCACAAACAAAGCAGCTAACTCTGCCCCACAAGTAACCTGAATTTTGTTTTCATATATACAGCATCAGTATGAAATGTCATGATATATGCATGTGCATGTGTCACCCTTGGTGCATTTTACTAAAGATTTAATTAATTATAAGAAAATGTAAGATTAACATATCCTAGGCCCTAGCCTATGCCTAAATCATGCAAAGTTGTATCTCAACTAAAAGGTAAGATAAGTATTGATGTCTATAAGTAGAACCATGAAAGTATAACCTGCCCATGTTTCAGTTGGTTGCATGCACCAGACTGAAGGAGATCCAAAGCCTCAGAATACCTCTGAGCAGATACATATCTGCAATAAAGAAAGAATATTGCATCGACGTGCATACTCAATACAATGGCCTTTACGAAATACAAAGAAAGAAAGTTTGTTTCTCAACAGCCAAGCTGACAATTCAGTACCTTGCACTAATAGATTTGTACATTTGCTGAGCTCCATAGTAATTACCTTCCTCTACAACTTTCTCTAATTTCTCAATATTCTGTATTTAGAAAAAAAGAGACAATTGGAAATCATCCTTCATTATCCACTGGAACAACTGAACCAAAACAAAATCCAACTGAACCAACTGTGACTGACAGAATGAAACCCATGACAGGTGAAAACTCTACTGCAGCTGTGCAATTAACCCTTTTCATGTGACTTGTTATATTCAAACTAACATCGAATTTACCCACATATGTATATGAGATTGATCGTATCATCTTAGTCTCAAATATAGGAAATCTAAAGCAGAGACCTTTATGAAAAATAAAAATAAAAATCAAATCTTTTAGAACAGAAACACAAGATAACAAGCATCTCCTTTTTCCCAGAAGCCGAACGCAGCTCTATAGACTATATAACATGCAGATATGCATAACACTGAACATATTCCGAATCAAACAAAATAAAACAGTGGTGATCATATCAGTCACAGTTTTCTAAGAGTAGGGAAAAGGATGAATCAGAATCTCGAATCTGAGAAATTCGGCTAATTTTAAGCACAGGAATAAAAAAAACCCATCATAATTTGTTGAATCAAAAGGTTTTCGAATTTCGAATAAACGTGAAAAAAATATTCAATCTTTTTCTGTATTTCCAGAACAAAACTGAGTGTTGAAAACACGATTTCCAGCTTGCGTACCTCTTGAGCCGGAGGTAGTGTGCCTCTTTTGGGTCTCTCCCGCGACATGGTTTCAGTTTCTGTTCAAAGTAGACAAAGATAGTTTGGTGAACTCAAAACTGAAAAACACAAAACAAATCCGGGTGGCACTACGGCATATACCAGTCTCTGCCCGTACCCGTTTGCCCGGCCCAGTCGGGTGGGTTGAATAAAACGGGTAATACAATATGGGTTATCTATTGTTTATTCATTTGGGAAAAAAGAAATCTGGGTTATTCAATTGAGATTTCAAAGAAGTTTAAAAGCCTAGGTGTATTCAACTATAATTTTATGAAAGTTTATACGGAAATTGACTTACGTAGTCACTAAAGATAAACCTTAATCAGAAATAATCACTTTATAAAACTTAACCACAAATACTCACTTTCTAACTTGAAAGTACCAAATTACCCTCCATATAAATACTTCAATATTCACCCTCTCAAAAATTTATTTCTGATCTGAACCCAACTCTCTAGCTCTTCTCTCCTTGCCGCACGTAGAGCATCTGAGACCAGCACCTTAATTCAAGAGGAGACCACGCCCACCCCTCAAAAGCCTACACAAAGAAGAAACATAAGAATAGAAAAGGACGCATCAACAACAGCAACCCGCTAGACCCGTTGCCACCAGGTGCTCTCTTCTGATCCTTTGTCCCTTTGAGTTCTAAGCTAATTTTCCCCTTCTTTAATACCCAGGAATCATTTTGCAAAGTAACACAACAAATAAAAATCAAATCTTGATTTTCTTTAGCATAGAAATAGGTAAGTTAGGTCAGTTTTTGCTTCAATTTTGATTTTTAGGGGTTTGGCTTCTAATCCTGTTTGTTTGAAAGGAAAGGAAATAAGTTTTTGGAAAAAATTTCACGAGCAAATAATTTGCAATTTGAGAGTAAAAGGACTGTTTTTTATGTAATTCATTCTATTTTGAATTTTGAAATAGGTTTCATAGCTCACTTTATACACCATACAAGTTCACCAATTCTGCATTGGTTTCATTGCTTTTGGCTTTTTGAACACTCTCGAGAGTGCACTAGTAAGGGTGATGAAGAATTTTATAGGCTGCTTCCAGACCAATGCATGGCTTTGTTTTGTAATTGCCAATATATATGTATATATGCCAATAAATTTGATGGTATGCAACCCTTGTTTGTAATTTTGAGTTTTAAGATATTTGTCCCCTTCTTCAATACCCATAAAGCATTTTGCACAAAATAACACGAAACATAAAAATCAGATCTTAAGTTTGTCTAGCCTAGAAATAGGTTAGTGAGGTTAGTTTTTCCCTCAATTTAGATGCTTAAGTGTGAAATTTTAGGTCTTTGAATTGGATTTGACTGACATTCTGGGTTAGGTTAGTTTTGCTAAGAACTTAAGTTTTCTATTTTGATTTCTAATTTGGTAATGTAAAGAAATGAGTATACCTTATGATGGGGATGCAAATAGATTGATTTATTGATGTTATTTGCAGAAATGGAGACTGTTGGCATATTGGTATTCTACAATGGAAGCTGGGTTCACAAGGATAACATTGAGAGTTATGAAGGTGGCGAGGCTAAAGGCATAATAGTATCACGGAACGTAACCTTTTCTGAGCTTGTTGACCGCATTTATAAGATCACGAATGCAGATCTCAACAAATATAGTCTCACACTGAAGTATTCAGTTCCTCTATCATCATCTGCCTATAAGCACCTAAAGGTTGAAGACAATGATGACGTTCAATATTTTCTGAAGTACAGCACGGACGTTATGACCTCTAGAGTAACCCCTTTATTAGCAACCCTCAAAGTTATAGAAGGACATGGTATTCATGGCTGCAATGGCATTGTAAGCATTGGGAATAGCAATGCTCCCCTTGCAGTTGTTGTGAGAGATAGGAATGAGGTAATTGGGGATAGTGGAACTGAAAATGGTGTAACTGGTTTTAATTGGAAAGATTGGGTTGAAGATGTTAATTTTGAATGTGTTGAAAACATAGTCGCAGATTTTTGTGTACCTAGGAATGAAGAGGAAGCGTACTCTGCACCAAACGTGCATCCTCATCGAGAAAGCAATTTCCAAGCCTCCATGGTGCAGGTTACACAAGTGCAATATGAAAATCCGCAACAATCAAGTTGGACTCAAATGCATACAAGCCAGGTTCATTTGGTGCATGGTAAGAGTGTGGAAGATATTGATTATGGTGGAGGTCTTTCTTGCATAAATTGGGAAGCAAATTTTAAGGTTGGACGAGTTTTTCCAAATAAGATTGCCCTTATAAAAACCTTATGTTTAGCAGCAGTCAGAGGCCACTTTCGATTTAGAACAGTCCAATCTGGGAAACGTAGGTTGTGTGTTCGTTGTTGGCAACTTCCTTGCCCTTGGCGACTTCGGGCATATAAAGTTGGATTACATGAGTTTAGGGTTGTTAAATACGATCCATTTCATGAATGTGATCTAAGGTATCTTAGTAGTCACCATCCTCAAGCTAGTACAGGATTGTTGTCTGACTCTGTGAAACGCAGATTCAAGGATTCTCGCACCATTTATACTGCAGGTGATATCATCAAAGATGTGCGACAAAATTTTGGTGTGACCATAAGCTACTCTAAAGCTTGGAGAAGCCGAGAGTTAGCTTTAAAGATAATTAGAGGGTCTGCAGAAGAATCATATGCTCTTCTCCCTTCCTATTGTTATGAATTGGAGCGTACAAATCCTGGAATTTTGACATACATTGAGACTGATGCAGCCAACCACTTTTTATATTTTTTTATGTCAATTGGTGCATGCATAAGAGGATTTAAGTGCTCAATGCGTCCTGTGATTGCTGTTGATGCTACCCATTTGAAGTGCAAGTACAAAGGTGTTTTGTTTGTTGCCACCGCATTTGACGGAAATCGTAATATATATCCTCTTGCCTTTGGGATTGGAGATTTAGAGACGGATGCGGCTTGGGAGTGGTTTTTCACAAAACTACATTGTGCAATTGGTGATTGCTCGAATCTTGTTGTCATATCTGATCGAAATCTTAGCATAGAAAATGGGTTGAAAAGAGTTTTTCCTGAGGCAGCACATGGTGTTTGCTTTTATCACTTGAAGGGCAATATGAAAGCCTCATTTAAGTTGAAGAAGCGGGATCCGATATTGGGGTTTTTTGTGCGGGCGGCTAAGTCTTACCGTCTAGCAGAGTTTAATCGTTATTTCTCCATGATAAACAACGAGCGAGTGCAAACTTATCTAGTACGTGCAGGGCTCCATAAGTGGTCTCGAGCCCATTGTGATGGACGACGATATAATGTCATGACAACTAATATTGCAGAGTCCATTAATTCAGTTCTTCGTTTTGCAAGGATGCTTCCGGTGGTACACTTGATCGAGGAAATTAGGAATATGCTTCAGAATTGGTTTAGTCAACGTCGAGATTTGTCAATGAAATGTAAATCTATGTTGTGCCCTGATTTAGGTGAAAAGAAGTTGAGGAAGAGATTAGACGCTGCTTCGAGGATGAATGTGGTTAAAATCAATGATATGGAGTATAATGTGCTTGATGGTGATATGAACGGTCTCGTGCACTTGCAAAACTATAGTTGTACGTGTAGGAAGTTTGACTTAGAGCAACTCCCGTGCAAGCATGCTATTGCGGTATGTCGGCACTTGAAATTGAACCCATACTCATTTGCCTCTTCGTATTACACTCGAGCTACATGGGCAGCTGCATATGCTGAATCCATTTATCCTGTACCACCTCAAGGGACATGGGTTATTCCCGAAAATGTCCAAAATGTAAATCTCCTCCCTCCTATTTCAAAGGTTATGCCGGGCCGTCGTAAGACGCAAAGAATACCTTCTAAAGGAGAGGACTCGCGAGAAAGAAAATGCTCAAGGTGCGGTGTGAAGGGCCACTATCGAAGTACATGCAAAGAAGCTATTCCCGTCACTAACAAGAAGCAGATCATTTAGATATTACAATTGTTTAGTTTGTATGTCTTATTCCATTAAGTGGTGATATTTGCTACCTAACTTTATGTAAAATTTGTGTTCCTAACATGTCGCTATTTTTGTTTTTGGAAATAGGTATCCTTATAGGTACCCAATTGTATAGATCATGATGCAGCTATTTATAACATTTATTGAATGTGTATGTATGATGTTTATGTGCATGATTGGTGTAGACACGTAAAGCAGGTGGCTAGAAATTTAAATTGAACTGTGGTGCAATACAAGGGCAGTGGAAATAAAGGGGCAATACAAAGAATTCATAGTCTAACTACAATTTGTTTGCCAAGACATACATTAAGAAAAAAAAAGTGCTAAGACTGCAATAGAGCAACGATAGGAACACAATAAAAGGGCAATAAGAAGGCAATACGTAAACCTGGAAGTCCAACTTTAGCTCTATAATTGTAAAGACAGAGGTGAAAAAAGAGTTAAAACAGCAATAGAGGTACAATAGGAAAACAATATAAGGGCAATAAGAAGGCAATACTTAAACTTAATAGTCTTTCAACTTTGTAATTGCAAAGACAGAGGTGAAAAACAATGTGCTAAAACAACAATAGAGGAGCAATAGGAACACAATAAAAGGGCAATAAGAAGGCAATACGTAAACCTGGAAGTCCAACTTCTGCTCTATAATTGTCAAGACAGAGGTGAAAAAAGAGTTAAGACAACAATAGAGGTACGATAGGAAAGCAATATAAGGGCAATAAGAAGGCAACACTTAAACTTGATAGTCTTTCAACTCTATAATTGCAAAGACAACAATAGAGGAGCAATAGGAACACAATAAAAGGGCAATAAGAAGGCAATACGTAAACCTGGAAGTCCAACTTCAACTCTATAATTGTCAAGACAGAGGTGAAAAAAGAGTTAAGACAACAATAGAGGTACGATAGGAAAGCAATATAAGGGCAATAAGAAGGCAATACTTAAACTTGATAGTCTTTCAACTCTATAATTGCAAAGACAACAATAGAGGAGCAATAGGAACACAATAAAAGGGCAATAAGAAGGCAATACGTAAACCTAAGTCCAATTTTAACTCTATAATTGCAAAGAGAGGTGAAAAACAAAGTGCTAAGAAGGCAATACGTAAACCTCTTAGTCCAACTTTAGCTTTGTAATTGTCAAGACAGAGGTGAAAAAATAGTTAAGACAACAATAGAGGCATAATAAGAAAGCGCAATACATAAACTTGAGTTTACATTGCGAGGCTACTTATTAGCTAAACATATACAGATGCAGTTTCTCTATCCACTCTAGTTTCATGGTTACTAATTCATGAAACCACAACTAATAAATAAGGAATAGCTGATCACATCAAAGCACAACTAATATCCAATTCCACTCCTATTACAACAATGTTTATGTGGTGAAACAAAACTGGTGGCGCATCTTCATTTCTCAAGCCATCTTCTAACCGTGAAGAAACCAGTAGCTTTTGTCCAATCTCGAACCTCCAAGTGATGAGCTGTGTTATGAAGGTGATATTCTCTGGCATTTGTAGTTCCCCACTCCCCATTTCTGCAACATTCCCAATTGCTTTTTATTCACCAAAGTATGACAACAAAACTAAAGATTCAGAAAAGTGCAAGTATAAACATTAAGTTAAAGTATGTGACTCTCTCACATTTGTAATTGGAATCATTTAGTTTCTAACATTTGTTATTGTATTACCAAAGCTTCCTACATAAATTACAATTCTTCTCACAAGACATTCATGCCCTATTACATACGAAATTCCTAGACTAATTGGCAAGGAGCTTCCTAACCTAGAACACCAACAAGAGAAAATCGCAAAAAGTGGAACACATAAAGCACAAAGAAATTGTCAAACAAAATAAGAGGCACAGAACCAGACATCAAAACACCTCAAAGGGTGAACTTAATCAATATAACCAAACAGCATCCATAACAGTAATACACAGAACAATAATGGGGTAATGTGGAATTGTTTGACTCAAGAAGCTCCACATGTAATTTATAAGCTTCCTAAAGAAGGCAATAGTGAACAGAACAACCAAAATTTTCTGAAGCAGTATATATCAGGGGAGGTCTACTTAATGCTCTTGCAATACTTCAAATTTTGGTCAAGGATCTCATGAAGATACCTATTTTCAGCTTTCCCATGTTCTGATAAATAATAAAATCAATCACAACAAGACCTATTTGCATCCATATCAGGTTTTGATAAGGCAAATGCAATAATTTCGAATTCAAAATTCATACACTTCATATAAGGAATTTCAGCAGAAAACATATCCGAAAGCATATTAAGAATCACTATATCAATACTCAACAGAAACCCACATGATACGAACTGAAAAATACAAAAGACTATCATACCTCAACCATTAGAGAAAACCACAATTTCACATCTCAAAACACTAGCATACCTCAACCATTAGCAACACTAAACAAACCTCAACAAAAACTCCAACAGCTCGTTAGTCAGAAAGAGAAAATTAACTCCCTTTCGCAAAGCCCAAAACACTATTAACGAAAATCATATTTTGTCAAACACTCAAAATCCTATATCAGCACCACTCAAATTCCCATATAGAAACACCACAATTAAGCAATTAAAGCATAACACTCCATACGCATGTATACATATATAAACATATATATATATATATATAGAGAGAGAGAGAGAGAGAGAGAGAGAGAGAGAGAGAGAGAGAGAGAGAGGAGAGAGAGAGAGAGAGGGAGAGGGAGGGGGAGAGAGGACTGTAGCGAAAAATGGAGCCCATGAATGCCCCACCAGCGGAGTCTCCGCCAAACTTGAGAAGGCAGACAGCAGGGCCATTGTAGGAGGCGGGGAGGGTTTGAAGAAGTAGGGTTAGGGTTAAGGTTTGGATTGGTAATGAGCTTAGTGTCGGTGTCCGGGTCAGACTTTGGAGAATCCACCTACGTCATCGCCATGGCCGTTACTCTCTCTGTTTTCTATGAAGTCATGGCTGAGCAAGATTTGGGAGAGTGCGAGAGAGGAGAGGAGTTGGGTTTCAGAAAATGAATTTTTGAGGGGATAAAGGGTCAATACAAATGTATTTATATGGAGGGCAATTGGGTACTTTCATGTTACAAAGTGAGTATTTCTGATTGAAATTTATAAAGTGAATATATTTGATTATGGTTTATCTTTTGTGATTATCCAAGTCAATTTCCCAAGTTTATATGTGCATTTACACTCATTTAAAAGAATATAAACCGTTAGATTAATCTAATGAATTTTAATAAGTCCACATCATCATAATTGTATCAAACTAAAAATAACCATTTGCACCTTATTATCTATTCAATAACTCTGAAATTAAAATAAAATAAAATACCCCAGCAAACAGCAACGGCCTAACCCTACATGCCACAGCCATGGCTGCCCCTCTCTCTCTTGATTTGGGATGACTGACTCTCAACAAGGCCTAGAAAGAGATTTTATAAAATTCGGATCATTTTAACAAAGTACTGCAATTAAATATGCAAATTCATAAATGAAAATTAGATGGCCACAAATACTGCATATGAAAAATATATCTTATATGTGACTGCCAACCATGGAACCTAGTAAAAAAAGGTGTGTGTGTGTGTGTGTGTGAGGAAAAGAGAGTGAGGGGCGGCTACCATGGCTGGTAGTGAGGTGGGGGAAAGAGGCGGGGTCGGGGTCAGGGAAGTTTTTTTTTTCTTTTTCCAGGGAAGTTGGAAGATGGTTGCTGCTTGCTGGGGTATGTTTTTGTTTTTTATATTTTTTATTTCAGAGTTTTTGGATAAATATAATAAGGTGTAAAAGGCTAGGTTTAATACATTTATTTTGATGTGGACTTGTTAAAATTCATTAGATTAATCTAAACGTTAAATTTCTCTTAAATGCATGTAGATACACATATGCTAAATGTAGAAGTTTGGGATCCAATTCTAGGTGTATTCAATCCAGACTTTGGTGTATTCAATTATAACCTTAAAATACTCCATTAAAATTTGAGTGTATTAAAAAAAAACTCATTGATTTTAAAGGGAATACAAATTGTGGTTGATTTAGATAGATTTTGATAGGGAAGATTGTTAGGTGGTGTTTTAGTTTTGTTGCGTGCAGTGGTACTCTTTTTCCTTGACTGGATTTTCCTTGTTTGGAGGTTTTTTAAGTCAAGGTTTTAACGAGGCCACATAATTGCACTGCAAATTTCCAGTAATTATGGTTGATTGTAAGATGTTTATCTGTTTTGAATGAAGTTCATTTGCTTTTGATTAAAAAAAAAGATAGATTTTAGACCCTTTTTTTTTCTGTGAAGAATCTTCGATTCTCCCCAAAGATTTTGATAAATATATTACTTTTATTCTCAAGAATAGAGTTCACTACCTCTACTACCATCATCTTGTCATGACTATCACCACCACCGCCTCGCCACTGCCCCCACTTGACATGGTCATTGATTCATTACCACCACTCTCCCCACCACCACCATTAATGCAATTATCATCCCCACCACCATCATCTCTACTACCATCACTGCCATCATTATTTCGAATTTATAGAATTTGATAAAAATCTAACAAACTTTATTTGCCTTGCCTGTTGCTTCTATAGCTTGTGTGTTATATTGTCAACAACTTAAAGGTTCTGCTACTTCTGTGATTTTATATATTTATAATCTCAAGTAGATCTTTAAGCAATGATCTTGTTGAATTTATACTTTGTTTACTAGCTTTGTTCAATTTTTACCTCCTTCCCTTGTGAATAAGTTTCAAATATATGTTTTTGTCATGGAGATTGCAAGATTTGCTTCTGATCATACATTAAACATTCAATTATTCCTGAGGCAGGATGGAGAAATAGGGGGAAAAAGCTTGAGATAAAGGTTGAAAATGAGTGTTGAAGCTTTGCAAGTTGCTAAGGTGTACCGCCACCTTCTCAGGGCTGTCAAGAAACACGTTGCCAAAGAAGACAGGGCGAGGCATTTCAAAGAATACGTAACTGAAGAATTCAGGAACAACTGCAAACTGTCAGATCCATCTTCCATTCAGCAGAAGATTAAGCTTGCCCATAACTACACTTTTCTTCTTAACAGTGTGCACCATCACCAGGTACGGATGTAATTCATTGCTCTGTCCGATCAAAGTTTTTTCTTTTTGCAAATTGTAAGGTCCCTGTCATGTTCCATTATGTTGGTTTTCTTTTTAATCTCCATCAAGCATCTAACTTTGTATAATGGATGTGCAGGACCTGTTGTTCTCTTACAACATTGCTGTGGATAGATCAGATGAGATGAAAAAAGTACTTGGAAAATCGGCTGCAAGTGTTGGTCTTCAACTTCCTGAGGTTTATCAGCCTTGATATTTAGTCGGCTATAATCTGCTACATCCTATTCTGGCAGAGAAAAGAAAATCAACAACTTATTTGGATAGGTCAGCCACATAGCATACCTCGCCAGAGTAGGAGTAGCTTGACGGCTGACACGACCGACACGTGTACAACCTTTTACCGTTTGATTCACCATTGGTCAAGCAGGAAGAAGTTGATGGGCACCACCAATTGGCATTGGCAGCTTCTTAGAGAGGAGCCCGATCACAATGCTGACGGGTAGAGACAAAAGGGTGAAGAGAAAGTCAACAAAATCCTTGCCAGCTTCGGCGAAGAGAACTTTTTTATGCTTTTTGTCAATGAGGAGCTTCAAACTAACTGGAGAAGCAGAGACTGATTTGGTTTTGGGTTTGGATTTGGAGGGGGCCATTGAGGAAGAGTGAGTAAGAAACAAGATTATTAAGGACCTATTTATTTGTAGACCCACTACTTTGAGAAATTGAAACGTTTTTCAATGGTCATTTGGATGGACCTTATCCAAATTATACGTTTTTTAATTGTCATTTTGGGGGAAATCCTCTTCTTTTTTGGGATAGATTATTCAATTATCTTTATGACATAACCTAGCATGACATTTCATATTTTTATTCATGGGCTTACGAGATGTTGCAGGATATTCATTCTCGTACCTTGGGGGTGAAGGCTAACGAATCAAATTAAGCAAACAATTTCTTCATCCAAAGGGAAATGATCCGAAATAGTCATTACATAAATCCAAAATAAGGAAAACCTCCAAATTGACATCATAGAATACGAATCTCATTTCACGAAGCACAAATGTTTAGGCCTTCTTATTACGAATCTCATCATAGAATACGAATCTCATTAGTAAGGACTGTAATAGAATAGAAATCCCAATCCACAAACCAAAATGAAACCCCAAAAGCTCAATGTCTCTAGAGGACCAAAGTTGAAAAGTTTGTGCTGTTTCTTTCCGAGGAAGACATTGGTAAGAGCGGTATTTGACTCCAGTGATGCCTTCACCAACTTCAAACCCTACAAGAGAGAGAAATATATGCGTAAGACATTTAGCTATCTAAATAGATCAACAAGCCTCTGATAAGAGTTAGAGAAATATATAGGACATGAAACCTCTTGCATGCCAAGATCAACCTCCTTAACTTGAAGTGCATCAATCCCCTTCACGTTGAACTTTTGAAGCACTGCAACATTTGATTCGGTGGTCATTGGCTTCACTTCCAAATATCCATTATCATGTAAATAACACCACCCTTGACATAGCCAGCCTTAATATTGCTCGAGTCATTGTTGGTCGGCAATGGCAATTGAAGGATATTGGCCGCAGAAATTGTTGTTTTTTGGGTTTGAGCAGGGTGTCCTTAAGATTGAGTGGCAAGTATGAGTCGACACTAAGAGTTTCGGCACTTTCGTAAAGGTTGCCTAAGCAACCAACCATACCATCAGTTGAGAGGAGCCTAGTAACAGTTGCAACATGCAAAGACAGAAAACTGAAAAGGAAATCAACAACTTCCTTGCTTGCTTCAGCTTCAGCAAACAGAACTTTGTGGCTTTTTGTGTCAACCAGAAGCTTCAAACTCATGCTAGCCCTGTTGGTGGTAGCCATTGAGGGGATATTAAGGACAGAGAAGAAGGAGCATGTGCTTAAGCATTCAAAGACCTATTATAAGCTTCACAAAAGAAGTTATCCCAAATTCAAAATTATTCAAAAAGGCAATGGTGAATGGATCGAGAAGGTGGAGGGTCACCTTGGACTCTGCATCATCAGTCGACCAGAAAACAACTCTACATATACAAATCTGTCATTACCTATACATAGGTAATATATTATACGGATGAGTGAATAAATATGTATTTATTTCCACTAGTTGGCATTCATTAACTAAACCAACAGCCAGATTTACAATTCGTTTTGTTTTGTATTTGCTTTTCCATATTAGTTGTATTGTATCTTCAGGCTTACTAGTTTAGAGGCAAAAGACAGTGAAAAAGCCAACTAACAGGTCTATGCTCCCTTCAG